TTATTGTTTTAAAGTTGAGTTTGTGTGCTTCATTTTAATAAAAGTTATTGAATTAAGACTAAGTTGATTAATGTTAGCGTTTTGAAATTTTTTCTCAGTGTGCCTTTGTGAGGCCACAATTGGCATTACATATTTATTTTCTATCCTTTAAAAATATCTTTCATTACTTAAGCTTATTTTTATTAATAGAATTATATTTAAAATAAATCAAAGACTTAATCTTTTAAAACGAACATAAAACATTTATTATTTTCTTATAGATCAATGTAACAGATACTTTTTATTTCATTACTAATGCAGACTTATTAATTCACCGTCACCTCTAATCGAAAACAAAAATCTATTATTAACTTTTTATTCTAAATTTGCAATCGCTAAATGTTTCGGTAGCATGGTTGTAATAATTCTCATAAATTTGTTGGCGACTCGTGATCGCCAAGGTGTTCTTTTAAACCCAATATTGATATGCTGGTTGACTTTGTTTTGGCTATGGTATATTTTGATAAATCGCCAATTTTGGATCTCCTACCCATACTTTCTATTACCGTTAAGAATAATTATATTCACTTTTGATTTCAAACTTGTGGATACTGGGAGTGCCCTTACGGGCCTCCCCAATCTCAATTTCCAACAGTCAGAAAATGATATTCTGGCTGTATGATCTCTCAATAGAGGGTATTCTGATTTCATCCCTTTAAGGGATTTCTTTTTTTCTTTTTTTTTTTTGGATGAAGAAATGACCATTCTCTAAATACCAATTATGCTTAATAAAATCTAAATTTTACTAAACAATTTGTATATTCTTTCCTGGAGACTGTATAATGTTATTTTCCACTATACGAATATTGGCGGCTACTGACCGAGAACAAACCTCCGCCGTAGCCTTTATGTTGAAACAGAAAAATTTCTAATCGATTCCAAATCTTCTTTTTTTTCATATTTTAGTTCTATTATACGCAAAAAATTTTTCCCTATTTTTAATAATTTCTTTCTATTCTGTCATATAATAAATTTTACTATATACAGAAAAAAGATCGGTATTAGTTACGCTTTTCCATATTTAGTCTTTCATTAGTTTAAAAGTATTGACGGTGTAAGTCATCCATGATAATACATTGTAAATTCATCATTTAAGAAAAAATAAGAACAAGAAAAATTATGAGAAATTAAAGTACCTAAAATAAATTTTCTACATGCTCTAGTGGAAACTCTCTGTTTCTCTGTAGAGCAGAGCAAACGAACGATTTCACACATTCATTCTACACAACTCGAAAATAGCAAATGTTTCGCTTGACATTATGTAAAAGCCAGCAAATAATGCGTACACTAAAAGATATATTACAAAATATTTTATAATCAAAGTGATAAGCAAAAAGAAATGAACACACAAATTAAAAATAAATTAGTTAACTTCTATTTTATGAGGCAATAACTTTAAACCAGTTTCTTTTACCGTACCCTGCAATTAAATATTAAAAAACGCGCAGTAAATACTTTTTTTTTTACTAATGATGAAAACCATAACTTAGCAGACATCAATGATGTCATCTTTCCAAATATTTGATAAAACAGTTTAATTTTTATACATAAATATTTTTTTTAAATGGCTAGTTGACATAAAAACAATGGCAACCAATGAGGAAATTCCATTTTTCAAATATTTGTACTGGACGGTATAGCAAGTATTTTTGAATGATTTTTTTAGGATTAGGGGCTTAAATTGTCCCTTTCACCTTCTGTCTAAATTTCAAGATGCTAGCATTATCGGTTTTGGAATTATAAGAAAAACATAAAGGCAAACTCTTAATTTTACTATTATCGGTAATATCTCGTTCCTTCCATAATTTTAAAATTCCCGGATTTCGAAATTTTAACCTCCTAAATTATATATTTTGTTCTCAGCTATAGAATTGGAAATTTTCATCGATATCGTGAATCGTCCAGAGACAAAAGATTCTCCAGACGATTTTAATCATCGCCCCAAGTTTAATGTTCCGGGATCTTCAGCTACCCAACTTGTTATTCATTCTCCTTATCTCTCTGCTAGTCCTTTTACTGAGGGACAATCTTTCCTAGGAGGGAAAAAGTACAAAGTAAGAGTTAGAAAAGTAAGTAATTTCAATTAAAAAAAAAGTATTCAATAAGTAATTGTCTTGTATGAAACATAGAATATACACTATAAAAAAGAAAGTGACGGGACACCCCTCTAAAAGTAGAAAAGTCGACACTACAGCTGACACATGCGCAATAATAGGTATCACGTATCAGCCATATCCTATAAATACTCTGCGGAGTCGACTAGATTTGTTTTTGTCAAGATGCCGCCACGGAAAGAGTTGTCTGAGTTCGAGAAAAGTGTGTTAGTTGGATTACATCTTGCCAATGTGTCAATTAGGGAGATATCCCGTCTCTATAACTGCTCAAAATCAACCGTTTCGCGTGTTTTTGTGTCGCTACAAGACTGAGGGACTCTCTGGGACGAATTGGACCGTCGGTTGAGGGCCTGCACCCCACTCCCCAAAAGCAAACATGAGCTATGGAACTTCCTGTTAAACATTTGGAAAGAAATTCCTCTTGTCACTATGGCTAATTTAGTGGAAAGCATGCCCAGAAGGGTTGCAGCTACAATCGCAGCCAAAGAAGTCCCTACCTCCTATTAATTTTAATAAATATGGGTTTATGTCGTTATAGTGTCGTGTCCCGTCACTTTCTTACAGATAGTGTATACTGATATAAATCTTTTGTGAAAATTGAAAACGATTCGTTTTTTTATTGTTGATACTTTAGTCATGAATTATAATACTTGAAAACGATTTACTGTGACACCATCATAAAATTTTTTCAGTGTCTTTTCCCAGCATTAATAGGTAACTGTTAGCTGATGCAATCGATTTGAGTAGCTGACGCTCTACGATTTCTTTGTGATTTATAATTTTCAAAATGTGTGTTTTTTATTGAAAAAATTGTTCCTGCCATATTTTTATTCACTCATGTTTCTTTCATTATGTTTTATGATTTATTCTACTATAAACAATAACTCTTATCAGTATTTATTTTTCAATTAAGTCTCCAATTACGGATACTTTTGTTGGTATTGTGTTTCATAAAAATCTACAACATATAATTACCGCCAATCGAATAAAATTTGATTAAAATCCCACATGTCTACGAAACACTTTCAAGATTTAACTGCAATTGTGTCAATAACTTGACAAATTTTATTACAATTTACAAAACAGATAGAGTCTATATTTTTTTCACAATTTCGTGTAGCGTAGAATGGTCTATTGCATTTCTAAAAACCTTCTTCTTGTGTTAAGCTCAACGCACAACTATTTGACCACTGTACTAGCGTGCCATAAATAGTTTGTAGCTAATCTTCCTAATATGCCAAACGCGTTCTTCTCAAGCGCATTCATATCTCAAAAAATAAGAATGTGTAATTTTTTTTCATTTCTTTAATATTAAACTATTTTTACGGAAAAAAATTAGCCTTTTTCTAAGTGTTTAAAAATTTTATTTAAGAATGAAAAACATCTTCTTCAGTCTTAAATAAAATATTTAAGCACATGTTAAACTATTATTAATGTTAAAATATTTTTAAGTAGAAAAAATTAGTCTTTTTCTAAGTGCTTAAAAATTTTATTCAAGAATGAAAAACATCTTCTTCATTCTTAAATAAAATATTTAAGCACATGTTAAACTATTATTAATGTTAAAATATTTTTAAGTAGAAAAAGTTAGTATTTTTCAAAGCTCTTAAATATTTTATTTAAGAATGAAAAATATCTTCTTCAGTCTTAAATAAAATATTTAAGCACACGTTAAACTATTATTAATACTAAAATATTTTTAAGTAGAAAAAATTAGTCTTTTTCTAAGTGCTTAAAAATTTTATTCAAGAATGAAAAACATCTTCTTCATTCTTAAATAAAATATTTAAGCACATGTTAAACTATTATTAATGTTAAAATATTTTNTGGAGGAGGATTGATGGTATGGGCCTGTTTCTCCTGGTATGGGGCTGGCCCACTGGTGAAGGTTGATGGTATGATGAATGCCGATGGATACTGTGATATTCTCGACAATCATGTCCTTCCTACCTTGTGGGCAACGTACGGTATGGATGATTGCTTGTATCAAGACGACAACGCAAGATCCCATGTTGCAAGGAGTACTCTTGATTGGTATGTGATCAACAACGTTAAACGCATGGAGTGGTCTGCGAAGAGCCCTGATCTTAACCCAATTGAACATCTCTGGGACGAATTGGACCGTAGGTTGAGGACCTGCACCCCACTCCCCAAAAGCAAGCATGAACTATGGAACTTCCTGTTAAACATTTGGAAGGAAATTCCTCTTGCCACTATGGCTAATTTAGTGGAAAGCATGCCCAAAAGGGTTGCAGCTGTGATCGCAGCCAAAGGAAGCCCTACCTCCTATTAATTTTAATAAATATGGGTTTATGTCGTTATAATGTCGTGTCCCATCACTTTCTTCCAAATAGTGTATATATATATATATATATATAAAAGATATTTTTTCCTTGAAAAAAGTTATTTGCTTTTCTCATTTTGATATACATACAAATTTTGGCGTAGGTGAGGGATGACCTGTTTCTTAAAGCTTTCATTACTTACTTTAAATTTTTTTTTGCTAATAAGAGAGAGGCTGCTTCTATACAGTTAAAATAGCCATGTTTCTTTACTATTGCCTATCTCTTGCATTGAATTTTACTGAGAATAATTTGATTGATTCGTAAAGTTCTTTCATAGATTTGACTTACATGATAAACAGTGAAGGCTTTTAGTTGTTGATATTTAAGTCTTCAAGTCAAGTAATTTACTTATGCTTATAATTTTGATTATTGTGTAGTTATTACTGCAAAAGCTTTGCTGTAGTTTCATTCTCTCCTTTTTTTTTGTAGAAAACGCTATTTTTATTTTAAAAAAATTGTTAAACTTTTCCATAAATTTTTGATATTTTTTTATTGAAATTAATTATTCAATATCTTTTTTCTTATTACAGAAAATTCAATTGAGCTCCAAATGTGCTGATATAGATGCTGAGGTATTAAATTTTTTTTTTCTTTCCAAATCAAATATTTTTAAAGGTATAAAAATATTTTGTCTGTCTTGTTGTATTCCTTTTTGATGTGTCTTTACTGTGTTATCAAGTTTGTTCAAAGCTTTTATGTAGTTAAATATTATAGATTGGGTTATACAGTTTTTTTTTTTTAAAGTTTATTTATTCATCACCCATTATGTGTCTATTTTAGAGTTGAAGAGGCATAGTATCTGTATTAATTTATAATCCGAGGAATAGAAGACCACCTTATGTGTCAGAATATGGTCGATTTCTAAACTTTTTTCGTATATCTCTTATAAATTACACTTAATCAATTTTGAAGCTTCGGAAAAGTATCATTTGATATTACCATGTAAGTGAAAAAAATAAAAAAGCAATGAAATTTTTGACAAATTGTAGCATTTCTAAATATTTGCAGAGTTTAGAAAATGCCTCAGTATTCTGCCGAAGCCATCGTAGAAATTCCTGCCACGACAAATTTGCAAATTAAAACTCTCTTAAAGACATTCCTTACAAATATGGATTTAAAATCATTAAATTCAGTTCATTCATCAAGTGGAACCAAAAGATTTTTTAAATTTTTGTATTTTTTTTAGAAGAGTATTACAAAAGCTGTCTATAACAGGTGTTTTTATCACTTTGATAAAATCCTTATATAAATAGTATGAGGGTATCCGATGGCCTTGTAAGAAGTTAGTTTTTTCTTGAATAGTTACTATAAAGGTGTGATATTCTTCATAATTAAGGTAATTTAGTTGCTAGTTAAAAAAAAATTATATTCGTTTTTAATATATAAATTGATGTCTTGATATCAATTTCTTCCACATAAAATTTTCAGGGTTTCTCACTTTGTGTCACAATTACATACTTTACACAAACTGAAAAAACATTGCAAGCTATTGTTTTTTGTTTTTATTGTTATTGAAAGTTTTTTTTTGCTATTTGTTTACAAAGAATTCTCTAAACTTTGTAGATAGGTTTATGCTTTTATTAAATGGCTGCTAATTTAAAAAACAATCATAGAAATCCCCCCTTTTTTTTAAAGTGACGTAACATTATTTTCTTTTCCTTTTTAGATGATTGGTGCATTAGGAGTTTCAAAAGCAATCCTGAATCACGTAATTTTTTGTCATCAAGAAGAATCAAACTGGTAAGGTTTAATTATAAAATATGAACTTTGTAAATGATATATCTAAAATGTTTAGAAACCATCTCTTTTAATTGAAAATTCTGTAAAATATCTAAATAGGAAAATAATAAATCTTCTACCTATATCACACCATTAAGTGTGTATTTTCCCTCTTATTCGTATCTTGAAATATGAAGGTTTATTTTAATTACAACTCTTTTTATCTGATTTTTTTATAAGCTTAAAAGCTTATAAAAAGATGTTAATTATGAATTTTTTTTATTTTATAAATTACAATAACAAACTTCAATAACCCTTCTAAGTGTTATTTTTGGCTTTTTCTGAACTTTCACTTACCGACTTTCCTATGTTGGAAAACAGTTCCCCCCCCCCCATTCTTTAATCGTAAAGTAATAGGAAGAATGAAAACTTCATTGTACTTTAAGCTAGGGACTTAGAGAGTTTAAGAACCTTAAGTTAATTAGGAAACATTTAGTTTTTCAGATTAAAATGTTTGAAGAACTGCGAATTCAAAAATGTTTAAGTCAGCACAATGTTATAGTTTTTTAAAAAATATCCGTTTAGTAAGCTAAGTGGTTTTATAATTTTCATAGCACACAACACCTATCATGTTTATCAGGTCTTGCATTATTTGCTTGAGTTATTTAAATGTTGTTGTTCTTCAAATGCTACTACAATTATATATATTCACAAAAACTTTCAGTCTTAAATGCCGGTGAAGTTGGCAGATTTCATTTGTATGTAAAAGTTTTCTCTGAAGGTTAACAATTTACAGTTATTATTTCATTAAATAGTTATCTAAACAAAATGTGAAGCATATATATTTTTAAAAAACTTTGTGTGAATGACTGCTACTGTAATTAAAATGTTTTTTTTTCAGAGTTGTATAAAAATTTGCTATTTTTGCAAACCAGGGCAAATATTTGAGAACAAGTAGTTTCATAATATTTTGATTTTCAGATTTTATCGAAAAAAAAATATTAAATTTTATTAACCTCCAGTTACAATACTACAATATTTTTTAGCTATCAAGATTTTACACTATAGTATTCTAAATATTAAGGGGACAATACGTATTTGATTTGTAGACCTGTTTTTCTATATATTAGTTATTCTGCTATTTTATAGCATGGGATATTATTTAACACATTACTTTAGTTATTTTATGTTTGCAGGCCCTTGAGTGAAGGTAGAGCCTTAAAGCAGAAGTTTGATGAAATTTTTGCTGCAACTCGTTATATTAAAGCTTTAGAAGAGATAAGAAAAATCAGAATGTCTAAAGTAATGATTATACTTTTTTTATTTTTATGTTGTAGTCAATTTTTATAACAAAATTTTATTTTTATTTATAATTTAAGTTAAATACTTGATTACATTATTTTGCTTAATTTACATGTATGTGTTTATCTGTGTAATTAATAACTCTTAATGAACATCAATGTTCTCTTCCTATATTTTGAATATTTTATTGAGTCCCGATCGTTCCGGATAATCGGTTCCCTACTGTATAATATACCCATAAAAATAAACTTTAATACTCATTTACTCAAATTCACTAATTTATCACTGAGCCAGCTCTTCTACTATTCTCTTCATGTGTCTTAAGTAAAACCTGGAGAACCCGGTAAACCAGGGAAATTAACTTTTTTACCAGAAATTTTTTATTCTTAAATTTTTTAGACAAAAAATCTTAATTCCTTTCTTAAACCCATTCATATAATTTTCTAATGCATGAGAAGGAATGATAAAGATATGAAGTGTTTAAAAAAATTTTTTATTCTGCAATTATTACTTTAATGAATTTTATGTTTTGAACTAAAATTAAAAGTTAATCATTTTCTTTACATTGCAGGTGGTTAATGCTTAGCACTATTTCGTTTGAAATATTTTAAAAAGTTGGGAATTATTTTAACTCAATAGTTTGATTTTAGATGTATTTATATGCACTATAATATTGTATGATGCATACTGTATGTAAGTACAATAATAATTTTGTATTAATATTAGCATATGACTTAGTTTTTCACGCTTTTAAGATTTCATTGGTATTTTTTGTTGACTAATATCATATTTTCGTAAATAATCTATCGTGTTGTATTATTTTTTAAAATTAATGTTCAGGTTAATAAGGGAAAATTTTCTATCAGAAATTAAGTATGCACTTTGTTTTTATTTTTCAAAAACCTGGATTGCCTTATTAAAATTTTGCACTATTTTCATTTTTTGCATAACTAGTGCCTGTTATAGATGAGCAGAATTTAGAAACTTACAAATTATAGAAACTTGCTATTTTCTAAAATTCAGCATTTTTTAAGATGAAAGAGCCTTATGAAAGAGCCTTTTTAAGATGAAAGAATAAAGTGCTACTGTTTCATCTTTTTAAAAATGTTCTTTTGTCATCTTATTTTATCTTTTAAAAAACCATCATTTCCCACTATATTATATATTATCATATATTTATGTTATCAAACTTACCACTTATACATACTACCACGCTTTTATTATCATATATTTATGTGTGATATTTATAAATTTAATTTACTGATATTCATTTCAAATAGCCAAATTAGTACTAATTATTATTTTATTGTTTTTATTATTATACATTGTTACTGTTAACATTGTTTTTATTTTTTCCTTTTTATTCTAGATGAGTGATATTAAAATATATGAAACAGAAGTTGGGTCATTACAAAGTAACAAGCGCAAAGCAGATGAAGTAAGTGTCAATAATTAAAGTATTTTTTTTAATTAGTTTGAAATACTATTTTTATTTATTAAGTAATTTATGACATAGGCAACTTTATAAGCTGTCTCGTTGAATTTTTTTTTTATAACTTTTAGAATTGTCTATCTAGTTTCTTAAAAATATGAACAAAATATGAATAAATAATTCAAATCTGTCAATAATAATCACTGTGAATGCACATTTAATGTTTTATTAAATTTGTAATTGATTAATATGGCTGTTGCAGCTTTTTTCAATTCCTACTATTAGTTCAAACTTTCCCTATATCTTGTTCAATTTTTCAATCGTTAAGTAAAATACTTTTTTATTCATCCACTCAAGTTCAAATGCATTTTTTTGAACCTGTTAATAAAGTTAATGCAGTTTTTTCAATTATTAATTCATTAATTAAATAGGGATGAGCAAAAAATGAAATGGAATTTTCTGATTGGAATTTTTCTTTGTTGACTAAGTAGGAATTGACTAAAAAAAAATTTTATTTTATATTTCTTGTTTATTAATAACTAAAACAGATACTTTTACTTTCTGGTAGAAGAATAAAAAATATAATTGAACAGCATTGGTTTTGAATTTTAAAATCAACATATGAAGAATTTCAAAACATAATTAACACGTAAATGGATGCAGTTTAAAACATACAGCGAATTTGCAGTTGTTTAATTGTTCTATTATTTTATTTTAGGAGGTGCATACGTCTTACAAAAATGACCCGTGGCTGCTTTTGTAATCACATTAATTTTTACTTAAGTCTTAGTTCATTGAAGAAAAAAACAATTTGGCGACGATTGATATAGAGCAGGGATGGCGAACCAATGCAATGGCACACATGCCATTTATGGCACGCGACACAATATTTTGGGCACTCCACCGATCACAATTGTTTTTACACTATGAATTGTTATTACACTATGAAGCATATGCAACAATTAAATTAAAATTCACAAAAAACAAACAAAATAATAAACAATTATTAATAAAAAAATTAAAAATTAATGCTGAAAAAACAATTAATAATCGTAAAAAACAAGCTAACAGTAAATAACTAGCAAAAAAAATCAACAGTCCTGCTTAAACTAACATCTTACAACCTAATATAAGTTATTGGTCATCTAATCTGCAACAACAGAAGTCACACTGATATTAAAGTTGAATTACGTGTATAACTGAGATATTGCAAAATGTTTTTTTTTTTTTTCAATGTAAATAAAGAGTTTTGAGTTGTTAGTAATTTAGTATTATTATTTTCCCAATAATCACGAAGTCAAAATTATTTGACGGCACGTCTATGGCCTCATTAAGCAATTTTTTTAGAAAAAATGGCACATTGGTGTATAAAGGTTCGCCACCCCTGATATAGAGTGTTTCATGTTCACTGTTTTTAATATATATATTCAGAAACCTTGTCAAAGAATGAAGCCAAAAAACTATAAACATAAAGAGTTAATAAACAAAGGAAATAACCAAAAATGCCATCGAAATCTAATGATTCACTACTGATGAAAGATGGACTGAAAGCATGAAAACTTGCTGATAAAATTATTAAATTTAATGAGCAAGTTTTTAGGCTATTACAGCTTTTTTTATTTATTTATATTACGGTATTTTAAGATTATTTCTCTTAGACAGGAGGCTTGAGTGTTTTTGTTTTGTTTTTGCCTTTTACAAATTTTTATTTTTTTAACGATACGTATATCATATCTAATGTCTTATGTTAGATTAATAGTTATGAAACTACAGTAGAGAACCATTTATCCAGTATACAGAAAACTGGAAAGAATTTTGCTTGGTTTTCCTGCTATTGTGAAGTATAACGATTATAAAAAAAAGCTGAAATTTGACTCATCCTTGAAGTTGAGTAGAGGGAAAGGGGGGAATTCTTCTCATTTGCCCAGAGAAACTTTAATTTTTCCCCTGACCTTGAAGGTCGTTAGATCCAGAAAGTGACAAATGTTTTATTTTCTTTTGTGCATCAGTTGTTTTTCTGATAAGCTGCTGTCAATCAAACTTAAAGGAGTGGCATGCTGATTTCGTTTTCTCTTTGATTTTCAAGGGGGTGGGGAAAATGCATTGCAATCGCATATCAATGAATGTCTGAGTTAAGGAACTTGAAACTTCTGGCTAAGAGTATTGACATGTGAGATTTATTTTAAATCCATTTTAGTTGCTCAGTTTTTGTTATCCCTGATTTATTATGATGAATTGTTTTATTATTTCGGATAATGCGAACAAAATGTTTTTTAATCACCAGTTATATTCATCTATTTGACATGGATTAATAAAACAAGATGTTTTTTTGTTGAATAAATTCTGATTTTTTAGAAATGCGGTATCATTAGCAAGTTTTTCTTGATGTGGAATCACATCTGCTTTTGTTAAAAATAGTTTTTTTATAAAAAATTAAATAAAAGGAGAAGATTGTTTATTAATTTAGGCATATAATTATTTGTTAATAAAAGCAGACGATTATTTTGTGAAGCTGATAGCAGTTTTCTTCTTTTAAATATTGATTATGTTTTTCTTGATTCTTGAGTTGTTTTTTTTTTTTCCTTTTTAAGATAAATTTCTTACTCAATAAATTCTTTTTATTCATATATTTTATCATTAAGTTTTTTTTTTTTTTAATTCCGTTGATCTTATAATATCCTGCCTTGCTCCAGGTTTTAATATTTATGTTAGTGCCTTTTTCAAATTTTCCGGTCGATAATTTTCAAGTGTTATTATTTATTTTAATAAGTTTTCCTTTCATTGTCCCCCCCCCCCCCCGTATAATTAGATATGAAATATATTGCGTTTTTTAACTATTGGTTTTATTTTATACAGTACAGAACCCGTTATCTGGAAATCAGAAAACCAAAAACCGGAACGAAATTCAATAAATTTTCCCGACGTTTTTTTTAAAAAAATGTTTTTTTCCTCATAAGATTTTAGGATTTTTCTTTCTTTTTTGAAAGATGTTTACCTTACCATCATTTTGGAAATAATCATTAGTGTATTACTTCATCGTTTTTTCTTCTTTTTAAGATTATTTCCAACTATTTTCGTTTTTTTTTAGTTGGGTTTAACAATAAAAAAAAACGGCTTTTTGTATCGATTCAGAAAACCGGAAAAATCAGTTATCCGGAATAGCGATGGTCCCGATCGTTCCGGATAATCGGTTCCCTACTGTATTAGTTAATTTTGGGATTTTATTTATTATCAAAAAATAAATATGCGAATTTTGTATTTTTTAAACTTGTTTTTCTTGTCTAAACTTTCAAATGTTTTTGTGCTTTTAAATGTTATTTTTCTACCATTTTTTTTTAATTTAGGAGATCTTTTCATTTTTTTCTTATTTTAAAATGTGTTTCACTTTTTCCTTGTAATTTTGGTTTCATAAAACATCGATTAACGGCACTTTTGTCCGATCCAGAACACCGGGAAATTCAAACATCCGGGATATTGATGGTCCTGACCATCCTAGTTAACTGGGTTTCTACTGTATAATTACTTATCTAAAAGCATGAGAAAGTATTAATGAAAATCTTAAGCATTTTTCTTTTCCCACTGGTAGGAAATTAATGTTTTATCTGTTATCTTTCTTATTTAGTATCAAAAAGAATTAGAGAAAACTGAAACCAGACTATCTGCATGTAAAGATACCATTCAAAATATTGAAAGTAAATTGAAACCTTTGCATGTAAGTATAAAGGGATTTAGATATTGTTTGCAATATTCTGCGTAAATATTTTAACTTTTGTCTTTTAAGTGTTTAAATTTTTTTTCCTAAAATTTCTAATTTATCAATTTACCTCTATGTATTTGTAAAAGAAATCTCAACTTATAAAATCTCTTGTGTACACTATATTTTTGCTTTTTTTTTCAAATAGTAGGCAGAGAGTGAATTTCAGTGAAAATGTTTCTTTGATATCTCTAACATATTAAAAATTCTGATTTACCACACTGTTGTTGATTTGCCATGATTACAGATTTTAACTGTTATAACTTAATTATTTTGAGTTTTATTTACCCTCATTATATCCCATATTTAACATTTTTTATCATGTTTTTTTTTATCAAATTTATATTAGGTGTGTCCCTTTGAAATAAAGCTACCTTGATTTTTTGCCGTAACTGGACAGGTAGCAAACCAATGTGAGAAAAACATATGCACTAAAAAAACTCGTTTACAACTACTTATTTACATTGATTAACTCACTTTTTAAACCTTCAGGGCAGGAAAAATGGAATTTTTAAGAATATATTAATTTTTAAGAATATATAGATATTTTCAGAATATATAAAACGTTTGGCTGAAATATAACCACTATTGTCTATGGTCAATATATTTGTATATGACTTGAAATGATGTTGCATAAAATTTACCAATCCCTCGGATAGTAGCATTAATATTATTTTAGGTTTCAAAGATGGCAGTCTCCAAATCTACCACAGTGGGAAACTGCTTGGCATATACAACCCTAGCAAGGGTACCCTTTATTTTATTTTATAACCGTCGTTGAACAGCCGACCCAATTTAGGGTTTATGATTACTAATGTTCAACTCTGCAGCCTTCTAATTTTGAACCCAATCCAGAAGACAAGGAAACTCCTGGATCAAATAGTGAGAGAAATTTGCCTGTTTGATGGAATTAAGCCGTATTTGCGTTACACAGAGAGGAAAACCATGAAGAACTCTCATGGTTAGCCTGATAGCAAGGGGACTCTAACCCATGATTCGTCTACCACTGAGGATATTTTACGTCAGCACTGTGGTTGGTGTATGTGGAGTGCAGGATTCTTTACGATAGCTCTTCATGTTTTTTAAGTGATTGAAACTATGGCATTCACCCTATTATTTAAACACTATTCTTATGTACTTTTTGCACGATAGACAGAGTGCTGAAAAATTCAACTTTGGCTACCAATTCTCTGTAAAAGGGTTTTTATCATTTTTTCACAATAGGTAATCTTCATACAGCCAGTGGAAAATGCTAGTTTAGGTTTACTACCATGCACCCAAAGCTTACCCACAAAATTAATGACCCTCCATTTCGCTATTGATTTATTCCTTGCTTTTACTTCTTTCTTCATCTTCTGTTTAAATGTTTATATTGTACTAGCCATTTGCAATATCGAAGAATAAAATAGTAGCATATGTTGAAAGTTATCCACACTCAAAGGATAGTAGAATATAAAATATAAAAAATAATTTGTGAAAAATAACTTTTCAATCTATTGCCATGATATGAAAAAAGAAAGGAGGAATTTTTCTCCAATGCAAAATAAGATGGAGTCTTATAAATGTACGAAGACTTCAGCTAGGTTGGTGAACATAAACTAGTTTTTCCCTTAGGCTGTCTGTTACAAAGAAATCCTGTACTGTCTTGTAAGTTAAGAACAAAACCATTATCCCCATGGAGAAAGTCAGTTTGCATCAAAGTGCACGTCAAATGGATACCAAGATCCCAGCCCGAACGTATATCAATATCGGCAATTCTTGAAACGTTACGCTACCTCCTTTTTGCTTGCTTTCTTATTAACAATAATAATCAATTAACAAATAAAAAGTATTTAAAAATTGTGACATGTATATCTTTCCATTTGCAATTAAAGAAACTAGTGAAAGAAAATATTCTTTCCTGTTTACCTCTACATTGAAACAAAAATAAAAATTCTTTATTTCGCATTTGCTTGTTAAGAGCATGTCAGCATAAGACGCGCCATTTTTAGTTTTCTGATCAAATCCAATGCTCTTGCAACATCATATAGTTTTTCTTTTCCAAGAACATAAGTTCTCTTATTTATTGAAATATGTCGCCAAGTCTAGGATTCCAGTAACGCTACAAAACTATAATTTTTAAAAAAAAATATTCTATGATATATATCGAGGAATTATATTTCAATCTGATGTGTTTAAAAGCTTTTATATTGTTTTGAAAGCACATTTGTATAATTCAATAATGAAATAAAACGGAATTATATTCACATGGTGCGTAGAGTTTTTAAAAAGTCTTAAAGGTGCTTATTTTTGATTTTCGTTATTTAAAAGCCTTTAAAGGTGCTTTTTTCATTTGGTGTTTTTAAAAAGTGCTTAATTTTTCCTTTTCAAAAATGATATTTTTTTTGTTACCATGTTGATTTTCGCCACGTATCATGCAAAAGCATGCTTTTCACATTGTTCTATTCAACATTTTCACAATTCATTTCGTCGTACCATATGAAAGCGCCAATCATTTGACATGTTTGATGAAACACTTGCGAGTCCGTATGTGCGTCTACTGAGCTGGGTTCGGTGAGATTATTGCTTTCTCATCTGCAACTCTGCTGCATTTTGCAAGATGTCCTCTATTTCAGACTTCATTTTCCAACCTCTGACATCGAACCGAAAAATCTCGATTATTTTATAACGGCTATTATTAAATAAAATAATAATGAATATATATTGCAATTAAAGAGTGATCATTACTTTACTTGATGTAAATCATGCTAAATAACTAATTCTATAAAATTCTTTTAATTTTAATTTGGAATCCTTAGTTTTGTTTTCACTGTAAACAAGATATATTTTTCTTAAGAATATTTTATTTGAATTTATTATTATATTTTTCTTTCATTCTTATTAAATATATGTGTGTTTCAATCTTTAAAAAGTATTCAATATTATCAACTAAGTATGTTACTTTGGTTTTTAGGACAAGTTGCGTGATGGTCAAATAAAACAAAATGAATTTGGAAAACTTCAGGCAAATCTAGGTTTGTAGATTAATTATTTCATTTATTATCTAATACTTATTGTAATCATATGTAAATGTGACATAAAAGAGAGTCAAAGCATAATATAAAAGAGTCATATGTAACTTAAAAGGAGAGTCAAAAGTAATTTATAGGAAATTGAAAAATGCAACCTTAAAAATGCATTTTTGATAAACTTTTTTGGTATACAAAGGTGTTTTTTTTTTTTTTTTTTTTTTTTTTNGTTCTTTGTAAATAAAATTGTGACATTGTGCACATCTAAGTTAAGGAATGTAGGGAATGCAAATACAAAGTTCAAAAGTTTTAAGATTATAGCACTATAAATAATACATAACAGAATTTTAAGTTTAAAATTTTAAAAAAAATGAAAATTGTTTGGATTTACTCTCAATTTATTTGAAAATAAATATACAAAAATATGCTGAAAATAATGAAATTAAACTTAACCTAAGTAAGTGTTGTTATACTCGTAACTTGTTTCGTATTTTTAATTATTCATTATTTATCAGTTTATGCATTTAAAATTATATATTTTTACATAATCAAGAACGTTTATACTATACCTTTAAGTTAAAAAAAAAATTAAAAGAAATATTGAATATTTATAAATCAAGTAATAGAATATAATTGTTATAAATAGCCTTTCATTTTTAAAGTTAAACCATTTAAGTCTATTGAAAGATAAAACAGCATTTATTCAGTGTAGGTTTTCTAATTTAGCATTGACATAAATCGATTAGCATTTCCAAACACTGGAAATCAAATTATTAGTTATCTGTAATATAATACAGAAAAATTTTTATCACAAGTTTAATACCTTTTTCTCTATTAATAATTATTAATTCTCAATTAATATCAATTTTAAATTTTTTAGAGTTATTCTAACTTATTACTGGTAAGAGTGAAATGTTTATGAGCCCCAGACACTTATTTTAAGTGTTTTTATTTTATGTTCTACATTATTTTTAATTTTCCCCCCAATAATTTCTATTACAAGAAGTAAATAGAAGAAAAACTGCTGCTTCAACTAGTTCTACTTCAATGCTGAAGCTCGCAGTATTTAGTTTATTGATGATTTTTATCGTAAAAATTTATTTAAATGTTTTCAAAATGTTAGAATAAATCATTCAAATGATGTTTTTTACAAATTTTAAAATCTAAAAAAAAAAAAAAAAAATTATATGGTTAAAAATGTATTTAGACATAAAAACAAGGCTATGCGAATTATAATTTTGTTTGTAATTACATTCAATCTATTTTTTATGCTCTTGGATTTCTGTAAAGTTGAATTATTCTATGTAAAAATTGTTCCTATTGTTTAATGTTTCACATGGGCCAGTTAGTTAGCATCACTAGTGATTCACTGTATTTGACTCATCCAATTATTACAATAATGCCCGATTTCATAATTGTGCGTAAAAAGTTTTATGGGTATACTAGAGAGCTACTCAATTATTCCAATAATAATGCCCAACTCTCTCTTTTGTATCTTTCTCTCTATGTAAGAGGATAATACATATATCTTTTGTATGTGTATCTTTGTCATGTTTTTACTAACAAGAAAGACTTCTTATTGATTACTTAATTAACTGCCTCTACAATTTTAATTAAAATTTAGTAAAATATCTGATTAATTTACAAATTTACATTGAGTTTTCATTACGATCTCTTGAAACATTTGTTTAATGCCCTAATTAATAAAAATTACAACTACTGCTAGTTTTATATTGTCCACTTTGATGCTAGAGAGTTTAATATTATAATTTCCAGGTTTATCAAAGGTATCAATCACAAAACCGGATGTGTCTATTATATTATTATTTTTTTTTTTAAATCTAGAAAAATGTAAATTTTGGACAAAGGATCACACAAGTAAAAAATAAATTTTGTGAAAACACTCTGGAAGAGGATGACGAAACAAAATAGGTCAATTGTGTTTGTGTGAAAATTACAATACTTCTCTATTTTCATTTAGCAATGTTACTATGTATGTATATATGTATGAAAAAATTAAATGTAAAAACAAAACTAGGCAATTATTTAAAATAATAATTAGCAAGTAGGGTTTATAGATTGTGTGAACCATATCTATTGAGGATGATAAATTAAAATTCTACCGATTTTAGAATACTTTATGGTTGAGGCAGTTTTCTGTCAATTCTTATAGCCAACTTAGAAACAATAATATCAGTTGTAATAAATTTATATGCAAAATCTAAGAAGTATTATGCATTATTTTTAACATTCATAATAAGAAAAGGCAAAAACTACAAATCAGTTCTAAAAAAATAATTCTAAATATGATTTGAATCTGAGAACAATGTATTTATAAATGTTGTGTATTTTTTATTTTTTTTCCTCAGATAACAATTCAGAACTCATAAAAAAGTATGAGAAGGATGAGCGAGATTTAAGGAACAGCATCACTAACTTCTTTGATGGTAACAAACAAGAACTTGAAAAAGAAATGAAAAATTTTGATGCTATTACATCAGAGAAAGAAAAAAAGTTATCTAAGGTAGGTTTAAGGTTTATATTAAACACTCTGTTTTTTCATAACTGTGAGGAAACATTTTTCTATTATTTCTTATCGTTGGATAGTAGAAGGAATATGTAAATAGTTATTCAAAACTTGGTATTTCAAGCACAATAACCATTGTTTATTTATTTCTTATTTAGTTGAAAAAAGAAATTAATAGTTTGGAGAAAAATCTTAATTCTGATATGAAGATTAAAACTCGGTTGATAGAGGAACTGGGAAAACTGAAAGCTGATCATGAGGTGAGTTGTAGTTAATGTATGTATAAAATTTGATCCTAGAAAATTTTATTTAATAATTAAAAAAATTATATAGTAGAAACATGCATCAAAATAATTCGGTTTTATTGGTGTACTTTGTGAATAAAGTTTTATTAAACAAAGTGTGTTTTCACTAGATATTACATTGATTGCAGTTAAGAGGTCTAAAATAAATTGAGTTATGCTACTCTTTAAAATTTTTTGTGTTAGTATTTATTTTTTTAATTCATGAATTAATAACCAGTTTGAGCATAATCTTGTATCTTTTTAGAATTTAAAAACTCCTTGAAAAAGTTTTTTGTAATAACAGGACCCTATTTGCACAAATTCACAAAAGCAGGACCCTGGTTGAAAGAACGTGACTTAACGTTTATTTTATATTCACAAATCACAAGTCATTTTTTCACAATTTTACAAAAACGGACCNTGCAATTGCAGGGCCCTATTTGCACAAATTCACAAAAGCAGGACACTAGTTGAAAGAATGTGACTTAACGTTTATATTATATTCACAAATTACAAGTCATTTTTTCACCATTTTACAAAAACGAACCTTTCACAAAATGTCTGGACAGACCCCTGATAATAGATATGAAGTAAACAATTAATTGTAATTTTTATAATTTCTAAAGATAAATTGAGTTGAAAATATCATAGCTGCCAACTCTACTGGATGTCCTGGTAGGCTACTGACTTTTGCTAATGTCTACTGGTTTAATAAAAAATTCTCCTGGTTTTTGTACATTTTAAAAAATTCCTTAAAGTTGAGTAAGTTTCCCAACAAAAATCCCTGTTGAAATAGAATGTTTGCACAAATTATTGCTTGCTCGAATATTTAAATAAGTACTATTAATATATAGTGAAGCGAGCCTCATTTATGGAAATCAGTTTAAAACTTTTCTTTTTGATCTAAAATGTTCAGTTTAATTTTATTCAGAACTCCCTTTTTGAATTAATTTTTTCATGAATGAAATAACTATTACTATTTAAAATTTTGAGTAAACGTAATGCACAACATTTCAAGCATATTTAATGACTGGAAAATATTGCAGTTTTTCTTTTTTGATGACTATAACAATCTCAAAAATTCCCTGTGTGTAAAATATTTAGTACATTATGCAACAATTATCATGAAATTTATGTTTGGTAAAATCTATTGGATTTTTTCCTATGTATGTCGGCAGCTATGTAATAGTCTGAGCTATACTTTGTTAAATTTTTTTTAAATTAAAAAGTGGAAACTTTTTGGGGGGTGAGTGTATGCTTTTTTTATTACTCATTTGCAAATTATTTTGCTTTTATTGTAAGCATTACACTGGAGCTAGACTTGTGAGCATTTAGTCAAGGTCTGAAATTCATTGAATGATGTACTAGTGACATGAATTGTAAACAGGCACACTATCATAATTAAGATGTTTGTAGTTTTCTATCTGTTTCGGACTCCACTACCACCTGCGTGAACTACTTCTGGCTCATTCACTATCCCTAGCTTAGATTCAAGACATGGCCTGAAAATATGCAGATCATTTTATCCATAGACCCATAGTTTTTAAAAATTATATCCCATAGTAAATATAAGTATAATATAGTTTTTAAATATTATATTTTTAATAGTTCAGATGGGATATTTGTCTAATTTTTGTTTTCAGACTTCGAGAAAAAATATATTAAATTAATGAACCTATTTTTGAAATAAAATTTCAAAATGTCTATTTTTTCCTCCTGTAGTAAATGTAGTAATTCCAAGTATAACCTTTATAATATTGATTCAGTAGTTTAATTATAAGTGTTCCACTATCTTTCTTAGGAGTTACATTAATACAGTAACTATTTTAACACATTTTATTTCTAGGTGATATTAATTTCTAGAAACACTCATTGTTTTCTGTGTCAAACCATTGTTAATGCAGTTTTTGTTCATTCTTTTATATTGCATTGTTAATCCAGTGTCTTATTTTTTTTTTTTTATCAACTCCAAACAATAGCTTTCTGAAGTGCTTGTTAAGTTATATTCTGACTATTTTAAAAAAATCTTTATAATTGTGTAAATCACTGTGTAAAAAAAAAAAAATTATTTGGTACCTATTAATGTGTTTTTTTCTTTAGCGTCATAAAGAACTTATATCCCAAAGGGACTCTAAATTGAGAATAATGCGGAAGAAACTTGGCATGGGAGATTTGGGTTTGGATGAAGATGAACCTTTGGAAAATTCGGAGGTGATGGGTATAATGCGAAACTTGAAGCAAAGGAACAGTACAACACAAAATGAGCTTCAAAATTGCAAGGTATGTTTCCTTTTCTTTTTTAGAATTTATTTCTAGAGCCAATAGTCTGCACAGAGTTGATTTAATGGTATGAATATTTTTTTTTAGATAAAGCATGAAGCAAATGAAAATAGAGTTCAAGCTGAAATTGATGAATCTAATTCTGAAAAAGCTAAAAAACAACAAAAGCTTTCTAGTTGCAATGAACAGATGGTAGGTTAACCTTACATTGCAAGAATTTTTTTTAAAAATGTTGTCTTTAAATAAAAACTGTCTTATTAGCCGATACAAAAAAATTTAAAATTGGAAATCTAACATGCTGTTTTTAATGTGAAAAAAAAAACATTCTTTAGAACATAAAAAATCCAGTATCAAATGCATGTGAACATGGTAAATATATCAATTACATTGAATAGTGCTTTAAGATTTTTCAACAAAATTAATTTAAAAGACTTTAAAAATACAAAAATTGGATAAGAAGGGTTTAGTTTTTTCAAAAAGATGAATAAAAGTGCATTTACCCAAGAGTATGAAAGGGAAAAAATTATTTAACTTATAGTATCTAGTGATCTTGCAAGACATTCGAAACTACAGATCTTTAGGTCATAGGGTTTCTGATTTTCAGGATTTTTCATTAAAAGTGGGTCCCTAGTTAAAATGTGAATTCTTTATCGGATATTAATGTGCACATTCATAATTATTTTATTTATTAATGAACAAAACAAAGAATTTCTAAACAAGAAAAGTCTTATATTTGAACAAACAAGACTTTTATTTAAGACTGAGTAAGTCCTGTATCTAGGAATGTCAACAAATGTAATATGATACTCAGAATAATTTTAATTTTCTCTTTCCGCTACCCATAAAGAAGAATAAGAAGTTATTTACATAAAACTTAGTTATAACTTCGCCTATGCACTTTATGTCTCTCAATACTGATCGTAAAGATAGTAACTGTGTAACACTGATCGTAAAGATGCTGTTTGCTGCAGAACACCAAAGTCAAGCATCACTGGCTGTGGCCAGTAAGCGTGTGGGTGACGACCTTGATCATCATGCGTAGGGCCAGAGGGTGCACGTTATCGGTCCCTGTTATTAAACTGTTCTACTGTCAAGTGCTCGACTTCACTCGCAAGTCGTCAGGCTACCAAAGCAGGGGAACCTTCCTCTTTGCAGAGGATCGAAATTGCAATGACTTGTCTTCGGATCATACTCAGGGATGCTTCCCAGACTGTATGCTAGTAATTCATTGTACAGCTCTATTGAGACAAAAATAAAGTAACTACCTATCTAAAGCACTTTATCTATGTTCTTTTTTTTTGCTGGAGAAATTTGTCTCTGGAATCATGTGATAGCTTATTTTTCAAACTGTCTGTGATTTTTGACACATTATATTCCATAAGCAACCAATCACTGGTCTAGTGGTTACTGTACTGAATAAGGGGGGCAGTGATTGTGGGTTCGTGGGAAGTAACTCTCTCTGTGTTCTATGTCGTTTCTTTTGTGTGAATGAAACCCACCCTATAAACGGGTTTGTGGCTGTATGACGTGGGCGACACTACTCCGCCTCCTACTAGCCATAGGTGTTCATTGAGTAATGATAAGAGAGTAGCAATTCTTGCATTTCTGTCCCAATAAATGGCGGGCACTAGATCCAAGTGCCCACCATTAAAAAAATAAATATATTCCATAAGTGGAATTACTGTGTCCATCTATTTATTGATTTTANGAAGGCCAAGGCCCATCCTGGGCTGTCGTGCCAATGAGAAGAAGAAGAAGGAATTACTGTGTGTCTTAAAATCAATCATGTTTAAAATTTGTTTGTTTTTTCACATTACTTCAGACTTCTTTATTAGTAAAGTTCTTTATGGATTTTTTAAATAATAGTTGTTGGTATGCAATAAAAGAAATTCAAATTATATATTTCCCAAAACAGGATGCCATAAAAAAGTATTTATTTTATTTTTATTTATAATGTAGACCCTCCTTAATTAAATTTACTTTTGTCAATATGTAATTGTTTTTAAGTAAAATATTATTTCTTTACTATGCATACAAGGGCATTATTTATGTTAGTAAATTTTATAGTGTTACTATTTATAAAATGACTTATTTATTATAGGCTAAAAATAAGTTGAATTCAAGAAATATTAGTGCTGAATTATCTCGATTAGACTCGCTGGCATCTCTTCAAGATAATGTTGAAAAAGATCTAAAAGATGCTGTAAGTACTATTATAAAATGAATACAGTAATATATATATATACATATATATATATATATTCTTTTTTTAACTTCGAAACCTAAGATCATTTTTTATTTTAAGTATTTGAATTTACTCTTTTTAATTGTTAACTCTCAAATTATTTTTTTTAAAGGAATATTATTATTTTATCTGTTTAAATGAAAAATATTAACAGTCATTAGTGAAATTTAGAATGTAATAAATACACATTAAAAAATTTTCATTTATAATTTTAATTGAAATTTTATTTAATATTGCAAATGCTTTTTGCATTTAGTCTTATCTGTGTGTGTGTGTGATTGTCATTCTCAGTTCACAAAAGCAGGAAAATCCTAAATAACTTATCTAGTGATCAGATCTTCCTTCTCATATTAGGACTCAATCTTAAAGGGGGGACCTCAAATAAACTAATTAATCAGTTCAGCTATTTTAAGTTATAAAAACTATCTTTCAAATTCTTTTTGACTGATTTGGATTCTTAATTCTCAAAATATAGGGGGTAGCTGCAATTTGAGAAACAAGGTTCATATAGTTTGTTTGAGAGAGCTATTGAAAGTTATGTTAATTTTACATTTAGCATATTTGGCCACATTTTGTGACTTCTTTAAGAAATTAAAAAATTTTTGCACTATATTATAAAATTCCTTTATCCGAAGGTTGTTTCGTGTTGAAAATATTTTTTCAATAATTATTTACTTTTTTTTATTATTTTATTATATAAAAGCTTATAAATATAATAAGCCGAAGAAAGTTTAAATTGTAAATTATGCAAATTTTTAAATGATTTAAAAGAATGTATTTTATGTAACAAAATACAAAGTTTGAACAAAATTGTTCAAATAGTTTCTGAGAAATAAAATTCTAAATATTGGTCTTATTTGTAAATGTAGTTTTAATATTTGCTTCTAATTTTGAGTAAATTCTAATTTTCTGTTTTGTGCTTATGTTTAAAACTGTACATCAGGTTGTACAGCTATACATAATGCCAAATTTCCTTAAAATGAAAAAAAATGAAATACACTGAATTTTTTTGTTTTTTTCATCAATATCACAAAACTTCAGTAAATTTTAATATAATTTTTTTTAAAAATATTTATGTCATAAGTTTGTTCAGCTTCTTTAGATCCATTGCTCTTCTAAGGTAAATCCTTTGAAACTCCACTAGAGGTGTTCACTAGTGAAAAAAATGTCTTATATATATTTTTTTTAGGTGAATGCTCCAAATGTTTTAATCCAAATTTTAGAAAAGAGAAAGAAAAAAAATATTGATAATTGTGAATGCTAATGAAGGCTCACAAGTCGTCTCCCACCTGGTTTATCTAGGACAAACTAATTCAAAAATGTCAAATATACAGGTATAGGTCAAAATAATAGGAATACCTGCACATAATACCACTATACGCAGGTGTTCCTATTATTTTGTCCTTATAGTGAATCAAAAGTAACATGTATTTTAAATAAATCACTCTTTTTTATATTATGGCAAAAGAGGTCTGTATCAATATCTTTCCAGTTAAACTTAGTATATATGCTCTCTAACTATTTTTTACATTATTTCACTAAACATTAATATAAATTGCATTCAATAGAAAGTACCAAATCTCTTAATTTAGGAATTTAAAGATACAGTGTAACAATAGTATATTATATCCTTTTGCAATTTAAATTCTGTGATTGAAAATAATTTTATGTCTTTTTAATAAATGTGTGCAGATAGTTTCATGATAATCAACAATCCTACTTTTTTGTTACTATACCTGTTTTTGTCAAAGGCATCAGCTACATTTACAAACGTTGTTTTGCAGGAAGATGATTTGACAGTTTTAGAAAATAGTGTGAATCTTGAAGAACTTCAGAAAGAATTAACCCTTAAGCAACGCAAGAAATCTGAAACCTCTCTCCAATTGTCTCAATTAAAGTAACGTAAACTTTGAACTTTTTATATAGAATTGAACACGATTCTAACTGTTATCGCCTAGACTTAATCGGATAATAGGTTGTTTAACGATTATTGAATTGTGTGTTTCTGTTTAAATGCAGTAGTCTCAATACTTACTTTTTTCTTTAACATTTACCATAATAATATAATAAATCAAACTATCAATGTTTGCTTAATATTGATGGCTTTTGTGAGGGATATGATTATGTAAGGGATCTTAAAAAGGTAAAATAAAAACTTTTTTATTCATAACTTTTAAAAGTTTCTGAGTTTAATATGGTAGACTCAAGGAAAGCAACATGTTTACTGTATTTTATTAGTGGGATTATTCATTAGTTAATTTTTGTTTACATTTTAGTTTTTATCAATTAAACTTAAGTTTCTATTCTTTGTTATCAAAGTCTTTTATGTTTAGTATGGCAGCATTATATGGAATAAGAAAGCATATGCAACAATAAAGTTAGATAATGCTTCCAAGCAAATTCTGGAAAGTTGATAGGTCGACTGTCCACTTGGTTCTATTACAAGATCAGACCACATGATTTTTGTCAAAATTATTAATTGTCAAACAATTGAGCAAGAGAAATGCCACTGTGAATGATGTGACATCAGATTAATTGTTACTTATAAAAGTAAAATCAAATTTTATTTACATTCCCAATATCATATGAGCATTTTTTAAGTACTCTATTTTCCAAAAAGTTTATCTAGTAGTGATATGATATATCAACCATTGTTTAAAGTTTTAAAAAACATTCCAGCAAATTATTTATTTATATATTTATAAATATAATTTTATTCCACTCCATGAAGTTAATTTTTTTAAAAAAAAAACATTTACTTTGTTCAATTTCTTATTTTTATTTCCAATTCATTCTTTTAATTTTTATTTTACATGTTTACCCCTTCCCACCATTTTGTGAAAAAGAGGGTACAGGGTATAAAATAAAAATTTAAAGAATGCATTTGAAAATTCTTTTGTTAATATGACTAGCAGTTGTTGTTCAGAATTTCAAAGCTATATTAGTTTAATATAAGATTGTTATTAACATCTTTCAGTTGAATAAAAGACTTAATAATTTATTCGATGTCGATATTAATGTTTACATATATTTTTTAAAATAAGAATTGTAGCAATAGGATTTAGGTAAAGGGAAAAATGTTATCAAAACTGATAAATCATTATTTTGGTCAATCAGAGGAAAGGAGCTATTTAAACAATAAAAAAAGATAGATTTTAATACTAAGACTAATCTATTTGAGGATGGATTTGAAAATACAGCTCATCATAATAAATGAATTCTCAATTAAATGTATTGCAATCTTTGATGTATAAGGTAGAAAATAACTTAAACACCTTTTTATGAGATTTTTAATGCTTATTAAAATATCACAAGCAAATATTTGAATGAACAATGAGAACATAATCACTTGTTTAGCATTCACAAGTTGATTTCTCTTATGCATACTTGAATATATGTAATTTATTAAATATATATGTATGTATGTGTAATGCATTAACTATGTGTAACATATTTTATAGACATTTCATGTTTATATAAATTTGTATATTTATGTACATGTATATACATGTACATGTTTCATATACATAGCTGTAAACTTGTAACAAAATTTAGAAAATTCTGTGGTGTGTTTATAACTTTGGTCTTAACGCTGAGCTGTAAACATGTCATAAACTTTTCTGCTCTTGAGTCGCAAGGAATTTTTCTTGAGTGCCAAAGCCTTTCAAGGTCTAGCACAAACTTTTATCTTCAAGATGGGTAAAACAAAAATTCTGATAAATTTAAGTTTGAATGATTAGTTGACCATTCTTATACTGTCAAAAGTAAAGAAAATGTAACACCAACACTATTTTTGAATGCCTTTAGCTCTGTGTGTTGGAGTTAAATCCTTTTGGAAGTTTTTTGTTTTCGAAGAATTTTTGTGACTTAAGAAACCTAATATCTTTTTAAATAAGTTAGCTGTGTCTTGTGACAGAAACATTTAGTCTTAAATATTGTTCCAGGCTTTTTTTCTTTTTGTATGTGCTATTTTAATAATTAGTTTATTCAAAACATCTTGTGTATTTTATAATTAGGAAAAATAGTATATTAAATCAGTTCAAAACAAACTCTCTTTTCAATTTATGCATGCAATATAAATAATGCGATGCTGTTTTTCAGCCAAGAAATGCAACACTTGCAAAAGGAAAGTAAAATCCGATCAGAAATTGACTTTGTAAATAAAGATATTTCTTCTAAACAGGAACTGGTGGATAAAATGTGAGTATAGATTATTGCTAAAAAATATATATATATTAAATCATCATTTCTTAATTTTTGCTTCTGTACACAATAATATTATAAAATAGAAGCATAATCAATTAACCATATTCTTTTAAATAACAATATCCTTTGTTCTGAATTTTGTTTTAAATGTTATTATTCGTGTTTTAAATTTTTTTTTAAAATAAATATTTTTATTTTAGTTTGAATCGTCAAAAGGAAACTTTAAAGCATCTTATTACTGAAATACCAGATCATGGAGTATATGATAAAGTTTCTAAATTAGCGAGGTATGTTTAATTTAATATTTTTTAAATAAATTCAGAAGTTAAATATTCTATTTTTTTTTCATGCTTAAAACCTCCTCTTAGAGATTAGCTTAACCCAGGTTGAGAAACTTTTAATCTTGTCTTAAGCAGCAAAAATTTGCTTTCATGTTTGTATGATATGATGCAATTTACTGTTTTTCAAGATAGCGTGATCGCAGAATTGTTTATTAAGAAGTACAAAATATCTTTCATTTAAGGAGCATGTGCATCTCTCTGGATTTGAACTGGTTTTTCTTATTTTTCTAGTGTTGGCCATCTAGGCAAATTTGAGCAGAATTTGTTTTCTTTGTATATCTATATTCCATTGAATAATATGTGAAGATAAGCAGTGATAAGATAAGAATATAAATTTGTGTTGAAGGCTTTTATTTTAATGAGGTTCAACTCTATATGAAAAATACTATTAAGAAGTTAAAAAATATCTTTCATTTAAGGAGCATGTGTTGTTCCTTCCTAGGTTTGGACTCAGTACAGTTCACTTCATTTTCTTAAATTTATTTAATTTTTCTTATTTTTCTAGAGTTAGCCATCTAGGCAAGTTTGAACAGAATTTGTTTTCTGTGTATATCTATTTTTCTTTAAATAATACATGAAGATGAGCAGAAATATGTAAATTTATAACTAGAAAGGCAATCAGTTTAAGTCCAGATTTGCCTTTTAGTTGGGTAGTTTGTTCTTTTGATTTATTACATAATTTATGAAGCAAATTGAAAAAAAATATTTGAGCAGAGTTAACTATTTGTACAGGATTTCTGAAATGCAAAAAAACATGGATAAATAAACATACCATCTTAACATTTTTCATAGTTTATAAATAATCAATATATAATTGAAAATAAACAATTTAATTGCATTTGTGTTTTTTTTAAAACATACACATTTCTTAAATGCAGTGTTTCCTAGTATTTAAATTTATTCTACTTTTTTTAGAGATTTAAATAAGAAAGCTCAAGAGATAGGAAAAGATATGGAAAAAGAACGTTCAAAATTATCTTCATTGGAAACTACTAAAAAATTTCACATGTAAGTTGACTGTAAAAAAATTTTTATCATTTTTTATTTATGTTAATTTTTCATTATTATTAATATGGATTCAAAAATTTATTATTATTATTATTTTTTATATAAATAATATTTTATTTTATTTTTATTTATAATTTTTTTCATTGAGCAATGAAATTTCTATATAAAATTTGTTTGGGAATCATTAAAAATATTATTTTTGAGGATATTTATGGATGCATTATTTTTTATAACCTAGAATTTTAATTATATGTTTTCTACAATTAAAATTATATGTTTTCTATAATTAAAATTACTGTACTCACTTAAGAAAAATAAACTTATCTTCATTTCATTTTTACTAAATGAACATCTTAAAATCACAATCATTGCAAAAGCAATAATGAATTTGTAAAAAAATAATTATCATTGTTAGAATTTCTAAGTGCTATTGGTATAAAGGGTTGATACAACTTGTCTTTTACAATTGTTTCATTTCATAAATTAAGGTATTATTAAGGAGATATGTATATGAATTAATATTGAAATATTTACAATATTCAAGTTTATTTAATAAACTTTCAAAATTTTATTGTATAGTTAATTTTTTATGCAAATGTAGTGTCTTTATCTTTATTTTTTTCTGCTTGGTTATGTTTTTCTATTTTTATCTGCAGGAATCAGCTATCATCCAAGAAAGAAACATTGAATGAAAATCAAAATAAAATTTTTGATGTGTGTGGTAGTCAAGATTTTGAATCTGGTTGTGATACTTTGAGAAGTAACATTAAAGAACTGCAAGAGTAATTTTCAGCTTTTTATTCATATTTTTTTAATGTTGGGCTTTCTGTTAATTATCATTAAAAAAGAATTTTATCATGTTTTTAAAACATTTCTAAATTTTTCAATTTCATGTCTTATTGCATTTTGTATGATTATTCTATTATAGTTAATTCATATCATATTTTTAAATTATTTTCTAAACATGTATCTAAATTTTCCAATGATTATTTGTTATGGGCTGTTTGTAAAACCTTTTTATAATGACATAAAAATTTTCTACCTTAAAATCCAAAATTTTTCAACAAAAAAAAATTATTAATATTTATTAAAAGCTATTTTTTGCATGGAATTATTATTATTATGCAATCAAGCCTCAATCCATCTTTCCACCATCTTTTGTTTTCCCATATGTATTGTCTTGTTTTAATGGTCCCGTTACTTCTGTTCTTATAATGTTAATCCCCCGTTCCCTGTTTCAGATTCCCTTTAGCAGATTCTTGTTTCTAACATTCAAAAATTTTACCGGCATTTTAAAAAAAATTTAAGTTAATTTGTTTTGAGAAATAAAACAGTAACTTATCCTGCTAGTGATGAAGAAAATGTGGATTTGTTACTTATAAGGTAAAATGCCTCAAGCAACAGGTTTGATATTTATGCATCCGTTGATAAAAATGTTGAAACTTGTGGCAGAAGCTGAAAAATTTATAACAATGGAGACCGAACTTAACTCAACCAATTAGAGCAAAAATTTGCAGTGCCTTTAAAAAGAAAACGAACACAAACTTTTAAAAAATGAATAGCAACTGTTACAATAAATGTCAAAAATTTTTGTTTGTGCTGAGATAAAGAAAACAAATGTTTCCAAATAGTTTAAATAAATTTATTTATTTATCGTCCTTTTGCATCATAAAAATATTTGTAGGAAGTACTTAACTTTTTAAACTAAAAATTTTATACTTATTGTAAATTTATTTATTTTCATACATTTTTAATCATTATTTGATTTTTTAAGTTGACCTATATTCAACGTTTCCCATCTCTATCATATGTAATTGAGGAAGATTCTAGTGTATTTGATGAAATTAATTTTATGATTGTATGCAAGAGTTCTAGAAGTATGCCAAATTTTTCAAAAAATAAAATTAACATTAAGGGATCTAAACTTTGGACCACTTTCCTGATCAAACTACAGGGACCATATTTCCAAGATTAATGCTACCCACTATATTTTGGGAGTCTGAAATTAGAATCTGTCGGAAAAAAAGAAGAAAAAAATTATGTTTATTCAGAGAAAGTACGTTTTTGTGTCTGATTTTGTATTTTAATTAATTGTTAGCACTAGTTATTTAGCATATTTGAAGTCACCCTCTCGAACCATTAAGATTGAATCTGAGAATGTGAAAATCTGATCATTAGATCAAAAGTTATTCAGGGTAGTCCGATTTTATTTTGCGCACTGTACACTAGATTCAGCTTAAAACCTGTTTAAAAGTTCATGGTCTTACAATATAAATATACTGTTGTTTATTTCTGTAATGAAAGTTGATTTTTCATAAAATTCATCAGGAAATCATTATTCTGTTCTATTTAAGATAAATATGTTATTAACAATATAAAAGTGTTATGATTATTTAAACTTAAGTACAGTACAGAACCCGTTATCCGGAAATCAGAAAACCAAAAAACCGGAACGAAATTCAATTAGTTTTCCCGCCATTTTTAGAAAAAATTATTTTTTTTCCTCATATGGATTTTTTGTTCTTTTTTGAAAGATGTTTACCTTACCATCATTTTGGAAATAATCATTAGTGTATTACTTCATCGTTTTTTCTTCTTTTTAAGATTATTTTTAATTTTTTTTTTTTTTAGTTGGGTTTAACTATAAAAAAACGGCATTTTGTAGCGATTCAGAAAACCGGAAAAATCAGTTATCCGGAATATCGATGGTCCCGATCGTTCCGGATAATCGGTTCCCTACTGTACAATGCAGCAATGCACGATAGCTTTAAAATGCTTTCTATGTTATTTTCAAGCATTTAATGAAAATGTTGAAATTGAGGAAAGTTTTTAGCATATTTTTTACTTACAGTAGACTTTTTAGACTTGGTTGCACAGGTTCAAATTGCATTTGAAAGTTATTTTTCAAGTTAAAATTTCCACCATCAATCCAATTAAAACAAATAATATAACAGAGATGATCTTATAACAGCTCTGGAAAAAATCTGGTTTTCCTGATTTTTTGCTAATTGCGATCCGGAAGTTTCTGGAAAGCCAAGGTCCAGAAGTTTCAAGAAATCATCGATTACATTTATGTATAAAAGATCTTGTATATTTTATTTAGAAATACTTGAACTAGAATTTATACTTGGCGTATTTTTCATTTGTAAATATTTTTTCTGGTAGAATAATGAATATGATTAGAGAAAAAAGTAAACTTTATACATAATTATTTATTTAAATTATGCTGCATATAATTTATTTAGAATTTCATGTTTTGGAAATATCAATGACTTAAATTTATAAAGACATAAATTTTTTGAAATGCGTCATTAATGATTTTACTCAAGAAATTTTCAGGATTTTTGAGTTGGGCTCACAATCACCCCTTTTATAAACAGTTAATTTTTGTAGTATTAAATTCATCTTTATGATGTTAAGACCCAACATTTGATTGCAAATGTTTTGATAAAACAAAACAAAAAAAAACAGGTCAATTTTTAGTTTATTATTAAACAAACTTTTTTTATTAATCAAATTTTTATTTATTCTTAAACAAAGCATCAAATTTTTACAAAATACTTTTCTTTTAAGTGAAAAAGGAGCCTTAACAGGAAGTTTGTACCTTTTCAATAAATATATTGAAAAAGTTCGCAAGCCTCGTCCTAGTTGTCCTCTTTGTAAAAGATCTTTTCAAGCAGGGAATGAAGCAGAAGCTCTTATTTCAGATGTAAGATATGTCACTAATGGTTGGAAATTTCAGATTTGGTGATTTTGTTTAAATTTACTCAACTCTAACATTAACTTATTAAAACTTTGATTTGTTATGTTATAACTTTTTTTTTTTGTCTATAGCTTCAAAAGAAACTTCAAAATGTACCCTCTCATCTGGAAAATAAAACTCGCTTGATTGCAGAAAAAGAAAAACAGTTGAATAAAATGTTGGAACTGAAACCTATTAAAGAATCTGTAAGTGCTTTATTAGTATTCAATAAATTTAATACTGCAATTAATTATGAGAAAGAAGTTATTTAGTTTTGTAAATGTAGATTTCTCTGTTTAGAGCTTTTTATGCTTGGAAATAAATTTTTATATAAATTTGATCTTTATTTCTGTAAAAAAAAGTGTGTTGTAAATTAACTGAAATAAACTAGATAACTCTTAGATATTTAAGCAATTATGTAATTATGCTTGAAATATATATGATTGGAAAGTTATTAAATTAGCTAAATTTTCTTCGTGATTAAATTTGATAACTAAACATTTTTAATTATTGAAGTGATGTTGTTCATAAATCTATTAAGGAAATCGAATGTAACGAAAAACTAAGTATGACGTCGGTGAAATATTATTAAGAAGCTTCTTTCTTTTAATTTGAGAGAATGTGTTGCTTACTTTACTTTATTTAACAATAAGGAAAGTTATTATTTTTCTTCATTTGGCAAATTAAATAGTGTAATTTAATCCTATACTTGAGTAGTAAATTGTTTCAAATTGTGGTTTTCTTTAGAGAATGGTTTATTAATTTTATTTTTGTGACCATGCAAATGTTACGTAAACACTCTGGGGTTTGCTAATTATGATGTGTAGCAATCAAGTTAAATTTTTAGCTATGTAGTGCCAGGTATGCATCTCTTAATATTGAATATGCCAAATAAATGTCACTGGAATGTTTAGCAAACCTGTTGAGGGGAGACCGAAGTCTTAAATGATATTATCATCGATAACTATTTTGTCAGTTATTGACCCTAGCAAACTCCTTTTATTAACTTTTTTTAAACAGTTTCATTTTAATTTGCATTTCTTAAATATTAGTTTGAGGTTGCTTCGTTCTTCCTAACTTGCGATATCCGTGTTATGGAGTCTGTGTTATTTTTATAATTAAAGCGGTTGTTATTTCTTGCAAAAAAAAAGTGAGGATCGACCTTTATTCTTTTTTTACTTTCCCAGTTTGACAAATACCGTTTCTAGCTGGTGCTATCAAAGACTCTTGGCCTGTGATCCAACAATCAACAGGCAGTCGATTTTGTCAAGTGTTGAAGCTAATGCATTGAAAAGGAGCTTAAACTCTCTGTCGGTGTACGGCCCTCTGTGACATTCAATTTTCATACGAAAAAAGAAAAAAACTTTTCTATAAAAAAAACCCTATAAAAGTTGCCAAAAATGTTTAACAGCAATGGTAACATTGGAAAAAACAAGCCGAACCGGCTCAGTAGGGTGCTAGCTATGTCACGCATCCCAATCTTTCTGCTCCTATCTTACACCTGGTCAGAAGGGGAAGATAAAAGAGATTTTTAGAAATTATGGTATTTGTTTATGCTTAAAGTAGTTCTCAAAATAAAATATAGATGGCATCATAAAGTCACGTTATTAGTAAATGTTAATTTTTGTTTTGTGTGTATGTAGTTTAGTTCTATGTGTTTTGTCTCAATAAAGTTGTGTAATTAAAATTGGCATGGTAATTTCTAAATGATTATTGTCCCCAAGAAGAATATCCTTTTACGTTGTTCTTTCAAAAAATGAAGGAAAGAACATCATTTCTAGAGCGAATTATTTTTAAAACTTCCTTGATTTCAGAATTTTTTAATCTATGTATTATTTTTCATTTTATCAATTTAAAATTCTAGTTAAGGCTTTTTATATAAAACTTACTTTTAAGAAGAAGTAAAACAGGCTTAAATAACTACATATATCTGACTGTATTTAGTTATTTGCTTTTGCTCTGTTATTATGCTCTATTTTGCTCTATCTATTGCTATTTTATTGCTTCAACTCTTTCTTTTCTCTGCTTTTTAAGTTTTAAATCAATAAAAATGAAGATGCAAGGTATAAAAGTTTTGTTTATACCTGTCACCTATGGTTATACCTTATGGTTATACCTTATGGTTATACCTAATGTTATTATAATGCTTTTTAAATTTATTGTTGTGTTTTTGTCAGAGAAAATAGTAACTTAGGTAAGTTATGAAAAATTCTTGGAATTATTCATGAAAAGTCATAGATTTGAAAATCCAAAATGTTAAATTTTTTCTTTTGTGAAGAAATCTTAAATAAGCATGGGGTAAATAATTCCAAAAATCTCAAGAATGTGCTTCAAGGAAATAATGAATCTGCACATTCATGATCCTATAACCTTTTTGTTTCCTTTAGATGTCTATATTGGCAGAAAAGGAAATTCCAGAATTGGAATCAAAACTTGAAGCAGTGAGTGCAGATATAGGAAAGTCTTCTGCAAAAATTGCAGAGGTATTTATGTTGTTTTTCATTCTTGTATTTTAAATCCTTGTTATCCTGATTTATGGCTTTGCAATTGGCAATTATTAATTGATCTAAACTAATTTTTTTCATATGAATCCTGTTTGTGTATATATTTGCAAATTATATATTTAATTACGATTGAATTTTTCGTTTTTTTCTCTCTACAGAACTGTTTCTGCTTAATTATTTAAAATTATAGTTGTGTATGTCTAGAAGAATATGCTAAGTAATTTCTTTAATTAACAGAACTCTGCTTTGCTTTATAAGGAAAAAGAATTATTTGACTTGTTATTCAAAATCTTTCTAAAGGCAATCACTTTACAACATTAATATTTAAATACTTAAAGAAATGATGTATGTCTTAGTGTAGTAATAATGAGTTTAAATTAATGTACTGTTAAAGAAATAAAGAAAGAAATTAAAATATATGAAAAGGGGAAATTTTTATGCAAATTTTGCAATGTCACGTCAAAGCTTCTATCAAACAGTTTGCTTTTTTGTGTTCGTTTATTTAAATAGTAATGAAATTTCAAATAATTAAAATAAAATGTAAATGTGTGATCACTGAATATTTAATTTATATTGTTTTTAATTTACCTTAGAGTCAACATTGCTTCTTTAAAAAAGTATCCACACATTAACTGTTAAGAAAAATATGAGTTTCTCCTTTATGAATTTTTTATACATTTAAAAATATGAGTAAATTATTGTTGTAGGAAAACATGTTGATCTCAATCTGAATAGAAATGAAGTGATTGTTTAAACACCTAGTAGTTTTCATATGTTATAATAAATATATGTTTTGATGATAGTTTTTAAATTAGTTTATTATATTATAAATACCTTCAGCGGTGCCCTGCTCCTATAATTTCACCTTTACTTTGTGATACACAAGCACTTGCACTCCAACTTGCAGTGACTCATTGTAAAAAAAGTTTCTACCAACGTACGATGCTACATATCAGTCTACCTCCTGCGCTGGTTGATGAAGCATGGCTGTCCCATAATGTCAATTTTATTTAACTTACTGTATTCATTATTTATAACTTCTAGTTAATTCATTATTTGTAACTTTTAATCATGTTTTAAGTGAATTTATTCTTTAAATCTTAATTGGTAATTTTTTTAATGTTAACAGAAACTTAATTTACCAAATAACTATTGATAAAAATTTAATGTGACTAAAAACTGTTCAGCTCGAAGAAACGTTAGATGGAATCTCCAGTGATAAAGAAACTGCTTCCATTTTATTACCAGACTTAATAAAAGTTGATCAACATCAGCAGGAAATAGAAAGCTTGAATAGGCGTTTATCTGCCTTAAAAACACGCATTGGTGGCAAAGGTAAGACACATGCCCTTTCTGCAACAATTTAATTTATCATAATTTGTTTCTCATGTTCATTAATTCCGTTTTATGTCCAATTTAGATATTTCTCGTAACATTCATCAAGTTAGTGAAGATCAAAATGCTTGTCAAGAAAAATTGTAAGAATTACTCTTATAAGATAGTCATTTTATTTTTATTTAATTTTTTGTTTTCTGTTGTAACACATCACTCAATAAGTCTCCAGTCTGACTCTTATATCGCAACACTGTTGACAGTTTTATACATGGTGCATAGAGTTTTTAAAAAGTTCTTAAAGGTGCTTATTTTCGATTTTCGCTTTTGAAGGTGCTTTTTTCATTGGGTATTTTTAAAAAGTGCTGAAATTTCTATTTTCGAAAATGAGATTTTTTTTCTTTACCATGTCTATTTTCGCCATGTATTATGCAAAAGCATGCTTTTCGCATTGTTCTGTTCAATGTTTTCACAATTCATTCAACCACAATCCATTTCCACATTCATTCAACTACAATGCTTCACATGCAAAAGAAAATAGTGTTGTTTCACTAAGACGATGCCCGATGTCACAAGTCAAGGAGAACAATGATTAAATTTAGTGAATTACATTTTGAAATGCTTGCCCACTTTCAGTGAGTACTGGCTTTTGCAATCATCAAGAAGATGCTTAAGGGAAAGAAAATTGCTTGAATGAGGAAGTGATTGCCAAAGCTGAGGCACATTTTGAGAGTAAAGACAAAAACGACGTTCTACAAAAAAGGCATCAAAATTTTATTGGTGTATTAGGATAGATGTATCACTCTTGAAGTAAAGTATATTGATGAAAAAAATTTAGTTATTAAAAATAAATTCAAAATAAAATAAAAATTCTTATAGACCAGAGATTTATTGAGTGATGTGTAAACTTATTTTCGTAATAATTACTTAGTTTAAAAAGGTATTAAAGTAAAAAGATTTCCCACTGATGTTTTCTCGAAAGCCTAATACTGCATGAAAATGGCATTTATTGAATGCAGAAATGCTAAATACTTGAGTCAAAAAGTTTGTTCTCTTCTGCAAATTAATTAAAATTTTTAAATTTAATTATTTATTGGCATATGCTTTTATTTCAGCAATATGATTGAATATTATTTATGTTTTATTAGCTCCACTTTTATTTTTTTAACTTTCTTACTTTATAAATTTTTAAACTTTCAACCTAGCAGTTTAATCGCATCTTTTTAGTGCTTTCTTTGAACATTTTTATTAATTTATAAGGCTGGAATAAGCTTTAACACTCTTTTTAATGGCTTGCAAGGATACCAGCTAACATATTTATATTAGCCCTTTACTAATCATGGAAATCATATCGTAGCAGAAATTTAAACATTAAGTATATTCTACCTTCAAGTTTAGAGTGAATTTTTTCCGTTAAATTTTTTATTTAAATTTTTTTTTAATTATGTTAAAAATATTTGTTCCTGCTTTTTCATGAACAAAAGCTTTCTTGATCATGTTTCAATGTTGGTCAAAACTAATTTTTTTTTTTTTAAATTTTTTACTGTAGTTAAATAAATTAATAAAAGTTCTTTGCAAGTTCACATTATATTTTAAAATTGTTAATTATTGTTAAATCAGCTTTCATAAGTGAAATGTTCCTTGCTTCAGATCAAACGGAGTTTGTTTTTATATATATAATTTTTTTTTTTAAGAATTCACGTAGCAGTTTCTAAGCATCTGGATTTCATTTAGTGAACAAAAGACATTGTTCTATGTTTCCTTCTACTTTCAGTAACAGATGTTAAATGGAAATTTTAGTAATCTTTTTGAGTACTTCTCACTAATTTATCGTGACCAACAAAGTGTGATTGTTCTAAAGTGATGAGTTCTATTTTCAATATTTATGATGATGCAATTAAATGTTTTCAGCATTAAGAATTAAAGTAACTATTGTCCCTGTGTTCTTTTCTTAGAAATTCTTTAAGTAGAGAAATCGATTCATTGCATCAACAAATTAATGAATACAAAGACCAACTTCAGCAGTTGCGTAGTCGAATCAATGACCTCAAAGCCGAGAAAAATAAAATGTGCAGTGATATGCAAAAGAAGTCATCATTGATTGAACAACTTGAGAATTTAGAAAAAGAAAATGTAAAGCTTGCAGAGACTGTTAGTGTAAGTAGACATTGTTAACACAGAAGGAACAAAAAACATTTTAAAGATTAAAAGTTGTGGTCATTAACTGCTGTAGAACAAATTGTTGTTTATAATATTTTATTTATTCAAAAACTTATTCGCCTACTCAGTAGCATGCTAATTCAATCATCTGCACCTTTACTAACATGCCAATTTAATTGAACTATCTATTAACTATATCTCTGGTTGCCTAATTCTCTAACATGCTAATTCATTGATATACTACCTTTCTTATTTTTCTCTGTTTCAAGNGAACTCATAAGGGCCCCATCTTTTTCAGTAGCTTGGGGCCTCGCCAAACTTAAATCCGGCCCTGGTTTCAAGAATCATTTTAATAACAGTAGCGATACATATAAACCTGTATTATTATGCTTTCAAAATTGAAAATAACAAATTTATAAACATTATTAAGTAAGGGTGTAAAAAATTGAAAACTTGAACTCATTTCTAATATGTTAACAAAAAGTTAATAATTATCATGGTTACAATAAATTTTAAATAATGCTTGCAAGTTTTCCTTGTTCTCCAAACCAACAAAAGTTTATTTATCTTAATATATACAGTGAATTCGCGATAACTCGAATCTGATAGTACTGACGATAAACTTTGACATATCGGAAGTTCAACTTACCGTTAGTTTCGGTTTTAGACTTTCAAAATATTGTCGGATTATTTAATTAATGCTTATTTATTAATTACAAATCTTCTAAATGCTTACAATATTTAAGATCATTTTTCTGACAAGCCATTTATGATAAGACTGTTTGAAGCACTTTATGATACCCTGGTCCATCGGCTGCAACTTTGCTGTTGTGTTTGGCGGGAGAAACTGCAAGTTTACGGCTTTCAAATTAGGTAGATCACTATGCGCTGTGCATTTATCCATAAAGAGTATCACTTTTCTTTTTTTAGCGAAGAATTTCCGATCCAATTTTCTTACATAGTCTTCAAATAAAACTGATGTCATCCAAAACTTTTTGTTAGACTTGTAATCCAAAGGATACGTTTTTACATTCTTGAAACATCGGGGATTTCGGTATTTTCCGATAACAAGTAAGGGCAATTTCTCTGTCCCAGACGCATTTCCTCCAACTAGGACAGTCAAACGTTCCTTGCTCATTTTACCCCCTGAGCAGTTTTCATCCTTAAACATCATAGTCTTATTTGGAAGACATTTAAAAAATAAACCCATTTCATCAATATTGAAAACATCATTTTAACTGTATCCTTGAAGTAAATTTGGTAACGTTTCATTTAACCACTGTTCACATACTTCAAGAGGGACAGCTTTAGCTTCTCCATGAAGAGTGCGAAAGACATTGTGTGTGTGTTGCAAAGGAAGGGGCAAGATATCAGCTCCTAGGTTTTTTTTCTTGCTTTAAAAGATCCAAAAAAAATCGAGTTAAAGGGAGTAAAATTCGAGTAATCGAGAATAATTAACATGAAATTGAAGATAAAAGGGTCGGGATCTCATAAAAAAATCGAGTTATAGTAATATTCGAGTTATCGTACTTCAAGTTATAGCGAATTGACTGTATATATGATTGTGTGTGTATATATATGCATTAAAGTTGGTTTGCGCATAGTTGTTTGATAATAGTATTTTTACTATTAGGTTTTTTGTTCAACTTTATGTTTATTTTGCCTATTAATAAGTAAATCTAATGTTAAAAAAACCGATTTTAGTTTATACGATGATATAGGGAATAAAGATAATGCCTTGCTGTTATTTCTTGTCCACAAGTTCCCAATTAGCAAAATCTTTAATCTTCATGTTCCTAACTTTAACGTTTAAATTGTTCATGTCATATGGTTCACACTCTTCTCATTTTAATTTGATATTAATTAAAATACTCGTTTACTGTTGCTAAATGCACTTTAAACCTTCTTTTCTAAAAACACTTAAACATTGCCACATATCTCTGGCCACTAAATCAAATTTTAATTTTACTTAGAAAATATAATCAATGTTTTGTAGTTACCTAAAACTCTAATCAGATTTTTTTCTCAGATAAGTCAATTTTTTTTCTTCTTTTAAAAATACGATTTGGAACTTCTTTCTCCAAGTTCTTCAGTTGCCTTGTAAGTTTCTCCTTAAGCTTTTGTTTTATTCATTGCTTTTTAAGCCTTTCGAGGGTAATGGAATAAAATTGTCCCACTTATTTTTGACAATGTTATAAATCTTTAAAATTGTAATAGTTTTTATCTCATAAACTACTTGGTATATCTTATTTAGTAATCAGCATTCAACAGCCTATCAAATTGAGTTTATGAATGATCAATATTCAGCTCCATAGCTTTGTAGTTTTGAGCCCAACTTAGAAGACAGGGGAACTCCAGCATTGAGCATGAGGGCAAACTAGCATTCTTGGAGTTTTTTTTCCTTTTTTGATGGAATTACCCTCATCTGCATTACATGAAGAGGAACACCTTCTACAGTTAGCCTGGCAACTAGGGGATTCTAATCCATGATTCGCCTACCACTGAGGATATTTTACGTCAGCACTGTAGTCTGTGCAAGCCACCACTGTGATTCGAACCTGTGAAAGCTCTATGAGGTGTGACCTGTGAGGTGTGACCTATAACCTGTGAAAGCTCTGTGAGGTGAATGCTCTATCCTCTGAGCCACCGCAACTCAAACTACTTTGTATAATCAACAACTTTAAATTTTGAAAGATTAAATCATGAAATAGATAGCTTTCTTTTAGAGGCACATATGTTGACCTCAGTTTTAATGGCCTTTCCTAGCTAAAATTCTTAGGTTGAAAGTTTTCTTCCCCACAAAGGGTTGAGGGCTAAAAGTGATCTTCCCAAAAATAATAGTTATAAATATTTATTTCTTGATAACAATTTTTTAATATTTCAATTGCATTTGATTGTATTCTGACTTTTATAATGAATGCTTTATAAATTCTCTCTTCTAGGAGCTGAAAACAGAAATCTCTACATTGTTGGTAAGCTGAGTTTTCCAATTATTTTCATTGCTATATTTGGTTTCCTATTTGAATTTTTGTAGCAATTTTAAAATTACAACTTATGCAAATTTTAAAATAAAACCATCTAAGCTTATTGAGAATTGAATATTTTCTCATTTTGTTAATATATTTATGTTTTATATTCATTAGTAACAATATAAAATTATTTAAAAAAGATTTAAAAATAATGTAAAAATAATATTAAAATAAAATTGTGTGTTGACACACTGTCTGCAAACACACAGGAGCCTTTCTGTTGTTAGTGGCAAAGCCAAAATTAACAGTGACAACAAAGTGACAGCAAAGACAAAATTAACCCGAGGCCCCTAATGATAATACAAACATAAAGAATAATAATAATTACCACATTAAAAATCACATAAATTTGCAAGAGAATCACATTCAAATTAACAAATATAGAAAACACTACAATGAAATGCCCCCAAAGCACATTATAAATAATCAAAACTATAAACAGTTACTGTAATTGTTTATAGTTTTGATTATTAGTTTTGATTGTTTTTAAATAATTTTATATTGTTACTAGTTTGTATAATTTGAATTTGGTTTTAGCTGCCTTTTGCTCTGTTCCAATTTGAATTAGTGTTGTAATGGTTTTTTATTTTTCCTAACTCCTGTTTAATAATTTTGACTTAAGAATTTGAGTTTATATTTGGATTTATGTTTTATATTCACTCACATGAAAATGTTTATTTTGCGTAATTGAATAATGCTGTTGATGATTTGGTTTTCTGTAGGAAAAATCAAAAGAACTTAGTAATGCTAAAAGAACTGCTACCAGGATGAAAGATCAGGAATTGGAAAAAATAAGTAACAAAGTAAGAAAAATATATCTTCCAACCTTTTTAATGCCATATCAATTCAATATTCCATTTCATAATTTTATGTAAATTGTTCCCCACTGACAAATAGAAGTATTTATTTTGCGATAAATAGGCTCTTTGTTTAACTAAAAACTTAAAAATAACTTAACTTTATTGATTTTTTGTTTGTTTTTTAAAGACATTTTATGTTGTTTGAAGCTTCTTTCTTTCAAGAAAGTCACTATGAATTTCATACTAATTATGTTTAAAAGACTTTGTAATTCAAATCAATTTGCTTTTTGAGGAGTTTTGCTTTTGAAGTGATTTGAAAATTTGCTTATATCCTTGAAGTCTTATGATATTATTTGTACATGAAATATTTTAAAATAAATTGCAGCCCTCATAATAGTCTTTTTATTAAAGAGTATTTATTAACTTACTAAATATGGTGAAAAATTAAAAGCCTTTTTTTTTTAATGCAGAGACTATAAAATGTGTTAGCAATTTTTTTGCTTTGTTTTTTCATCCAAAGCATATTTTTTTTTACTGTTATCATAATTGTATATTCTTATTGTTATCATAATTATATATCTGAATTATAATTTTTTTCTAGATTCGAGAAGAAGAGAAAGAGTTAGATATCATAGAAATTATATCCAAAGAAATTGATGCGTAAGTACTGAATGTTGAATTCATTTAAAAGTTATTCTATACATGTGTTTAGAAGTATGAACTCAGTTAATATTTCTAAATCTATGTCTATCTAAAGATTTGACTTTTTATTGTGAGTTAAATTGTTTAGCTTTTCTATATGCAATTATAAAATTTGCCTTCAAGGATACTATTTAATATTATTAAAAATGGTGACTTTTTTATTTAACTGTATTATTTGAAAAAAAATTCATAAAATTTTATTTATTTATTTATTTTTTTTTTTGCAAAAAATACAGCAAAGCTTATTTTACTCCCAAATTAAGTTGTAAGTCTGCCGTTGAATTTTAAAGAAAGTTGATGAATGAGTTATATTTACAATTGTCCAAACAAAACTACCTTTCCGTAGTGTACTTGCATATTATATCTTGTTAGCAATTTGTTAATTAAAATTAATTTATCTATTATGCTTCATCATTTTTAAGAATTACTTCATCTGAATATTCATTATTTTTTAGATATATTCGTGATGACAAAGAAAAAACACTAATTGATCAAGAAGATCGTATTAGTGGCCTCAACTCTCAAATAAGTGTGAAAAAAGAAGAACTTCATGAGCAAAAAGAGTATGATAAAGAGCTTACTGATGATATCAGATCACAAAATGTAGGTATTTAACTAAGCATTCAACATTATTTTCATGATGTTTAATCTAGTTAATAATTAATACATTCAATTAATTTTTAATTTTTTTTTCTTTTTGCTACCCAAAATTAAAATTGAATTTTAGGATAAAAATGCATGTTCAATTATTTTGAGATATTGTTCAAGATGTTCTGAAAACAATCTTGTAGAATCTTAATTATGACTACAGAATTACNACCATGCACCTTTTTTTACCCCTCCTGAAATCTCCTGAATTCTTGTTAGGGAAACTCCTGAATGTTAATTTTGCTAGGTTGGCACGTCTGCAATTTTTAAAAAAAAAAATTCTAGTACATTTTATTTTTATATTTATTTTCTATTTGGTGCAATTTATATATATATATCTAGTATACATCCCTGAGCCCTCGATGGCTCAGGGGGTAGATCTTTTGCCTTCCAATGAGGTGAGCCCAATGAGTTCAAATCCTAGCAATGGCTGGTTGATATGAATTCTGCATTTGTCTGCTACCGACCTCAGTGCTGACGTGAAATATCCTCAATGGTAGACGAATCATAGGTTAGAGTCCCCTTGTTATCAGATCCTTGTGATCTTCCTCTCCATGTAATGCAAATTTGCCTTCATGGAGGACTTTTTGAAGGTTACTTCCATCAAAAAGTCCTCCACGAAGGCAAATTCCCCCTTTACTTGTTCTAGGAGTTCCCTTGTCTTCTGGATTAGATTCAAAATTACGAGGCTACGTTGTTGAACATTAGTAGTCGTAAACCCAAAAATTGGGTCGTTTATTATAAAATAAAACATATATCTGGTTTCATGTATATATGTAGGATGATGTTGATGACCATTGATTAAGTCACTCAAAATCAATAATGATCATACTTATCATTTAATAATTAACAAAACTTTCACATAAAATTATGAGTCATACTTCTCGAACTACACAGGTTAGTTTTACACTTCTTTAAACACAAGTCAGACTCATATTTTAACCATCTGGGTTTGCTTTTTCATTTTCAACAACTACTCTTCCTTCCCATCGAAATAGTTCTCACAGTTTTATTTAGGAGATTTTGACATCTATCGGTCTTTATTCACACAGAGGTTGTTTCGTCTCGTTTTGTCACATATATATACAGTCAAACCCCGCTATAGTGAACACGGCTTATAGTGAACTCCCGGATATAGTGAACGAAATGCTCGGTCCCGTGCCTTGCTATACACGTATAATGTTATTTTTAGTGGATATAGTGAACCAAAAAAGTGAGGAAGTTGGATATAATGAACTTTTTTCTGTCTTCGACTGATTCCCCCCCCATTTTCTTTGTAATAATTTTGAAATTTCTACTTCAAAATAAATACATATACCGATTTCTAAAACCATCTATAGAAACTACTTTTATGTGCTTGAATGGCAGGTTAGACAGTTTTAAAAAGCGGAATAACAGAAATTCAGGAAAAATTATCTGAGAGTCGGGAAGTGTTTCAATATCTGATGTTGAGGATTGCTCATCAGCTAAAGATTACTAACTTTTATTTGTACGCAAGACGAAGAGTGATGAAAAATAACACATTTTTTGCTACTACATAATATTTTTCAGTCATTTATATGAATATAATGTAATAAAAGGGAGGAGTTTGGGAACCATTAGTGAAATTCCCTGCGTAACGGATATAGTGAACTCCCGGTTATAGTGAACCGAAATTTCGGTCTCTTGAAAGTTCACTATAGCGGGGTTTGACTGTATATATATGTTATATATTTTATTTTCTACTGCGACTTTTTTCCCCAGTTTTTAGAGAAATTCTAATTTAATTTGCATGCTGGCTATCTGACTGAATTTTAAAAGTTATATTGTGTATATAATGTTATTTCAAAAACCTGTAAAGTCTGTTTTTTATGTATTAAATTTAAACATTTTTCTTGTTTCTCTTCACTCATTATAGGCTTAAAAAAAATCTCTGTTTTATTTCTGTAGGTGAAGAAGCGAGATTTGAAAGACAACATGAAACTTATTGATACGATTGAAGAGATTGGAAAATTGAATGCAGTTTGTCAAAACTTGAAAGACAAAATTGGTGGTTATAACATCCGATCACTATTAGCGTAAGAATATAAGCTTGTATTTTTATTGGTTATGTCTGCATGATTTCACTTAATTTTTACTTGGTGTTTTAAAAAGTATCTATTGCAGTATTTTTGTACAAAACTAACAGAACTGAAAGGATCACCTGAACCTTTATAAACATATTACTTTGCTAAGACATTTTAAATTCCAATTCTCTTTGACATTCGAAAATAAATTTTGCTTTTAATCCATTGGTAATATTTAAATTTCAAAGTATCTATTACATTATTGTTTTCAAATTAACTATTGCATTATTTTTATACAAAACTAACAGAGATAAAAGTAACATCTGAACCTTTATAAGCATAATACTTTGCTATTGATCCATTGTTAGAATTATATTTCAAAGTATCTATTGCATTATTGTTTTCAAAGTATCTATTGCATTAATTCTATACAAAACTGGCAGATTTAAAAATGATATCTGAACCTTTATAAACATATTACTTTGCTGAGACATTTCAAGTTCCAATTCTTTTTTACTTTGAAAAAAAAAAAAAATTTATTATTTTTTTTTTTAAATCTAGGAATTAATGGTATTAAAGATTTTAATCAGGGTTGAGAAATTTATTCAAATTGAGATTTAGTTTTAATTTGTTTTTGTGTCAATAAATTGTCTGAAGGCCGTAAAATCATTATTAAAATGTAGATATATATATTTTTTATTTCCTGTCTATTTGTACTCCCATAATTGCACTCATTCGAAGACATGGTATCTAATTTATTTTCTTCTTATGACAATGTAGTTTATGTACAAAAATTATTACTATTATTAATTTTTATTATTTGGATACCCTCTTTTATATATTCTGAGGTAAGCAAAGGAAACTAGGCAACAGAAAAAAAGTATACTCAGACTATTAATGTAATCACAGATACTATAAAGCTAATTTTATATTTATTTTTAACATTAACTATTTTATAACTTAGAAGTACAAATTTAGAGCTTTATCACTCATATAATGAACCCAACATTATTAACTTTATTAAACGACAAGGAATAAAATAGGCAGGCCACGTTATCACAGGGTTCCCACGTGTCAGGGAGAACAGGGAAAACCTGGAATTGTCAGGGAATTTTATTTCAACTACAAAAATCAGGGAAAGTTGCAATTTTTTTACAAAAACCTGGAAAATTCCTTCATTATACCTGGAAAAAAAATAGTCTAAAAATCGTCAGTAACAGTACTCAATTGTTGAGATTAGAGTTAAATAATTCTAAGATCTATTACAATTATTTATTATAAAAGTTTCACATTTTAGACAAACTGAAATGCTTCCATCCTCATATAATGATATTTATTTTACATAGAAAATCTAATACTTGGCATTACAAGTAAAAGAATCAAAATTTTCTGATGAAAAATTTCGTAGTATTGAAGAAATATGGTATTGATTTTCATTGAAATTTACCTGGAAAAGTCAGGGAATTCTTTTTCTGAAATTGAGTGGGAACCCTGTTATCAGAATGGATGAAGACCGTCCCTCAAAAAGAGTTTTCAATGCCAGACCAGTTGGCACACGAAAAAGAGGCAGGCCTAATTTGAGATGGATAGATGGCCTAGAAAAAGACCTTTTGGTCTTAAAAACTAAAAACTGGAAAACACTAGCAGGAAAAAGGTTAGCCTGGAAAAAACTTTTTGAGAAGGCAAAATCCCACCCTGGGCTGTCGAGGCATTGATGATGATGCGTGTACTTTTTTAGTCCTTAAACTGAAGTGAAATTCTGTATATCTTTTTGTTCTTAATGGTGCACTAATTTCTATTTCCTAAGTTATTTTATGTTATTTATACTGTCATAACTGCTTGGTTGTTCAATATTTTGTAATCAAAATTTTTCTGTTGCTACTCAAAGTTCTTGTTCTCTTGTTCTATAATGATTGCTGAATCAAATGTATTTTTTCTTGTAAAAAAATGTCACATTCATTTTTATTCATTAACAAGGTTTATATGAACTTTTACCTATTTCAGTGAAATGGACAAGCTCTCTAAACAAATTCAAACTCTCACCAAGGAGAGAGATGAAACGATTGGTCGTGAGAGTGGTTTAAAAGAAAAGATCCGGGAGTGTAGGAATCAACTTCTAGATCCAATGTTTAAGGACGCTGAGAAAAAACATCGAAGCAAGTGCATAGAACTGAGAGTAAGTCATCTAAATAAACAAATTATTTAACTAGAATTATTAAAAAGAACTATTTATTATTCAACTAGAAAATTATTTCATTGAAAATTCATATTTAGTTATAATACATTATGATTAAAAGCAAGGGGGAAAAAAAGAAAGGTTGAGGTGCAAAAGTGTTCTAGTTAAGTAATAAATAGTTATTTTATTCCTTTTATCTTTCCTTTTATCCTTTTTTTCTCATGGAAATAAGTATTCGTCTTATTATCATATGCAAGGTGATCTTTGTGTTTAATTTTGTGAGACTTTAAATATTTAATATTAATTGTTTCACTTATTTTATTTGTTAGCATTTTAAGACTCATCTACTCAGAATACATTTTTTATCTGATGTTTACTTTTATTTATCGAATTTTAGACTACACAGCTTGCTTGTGAAGATTTGAGCAAATATTATATGGCTCTAAATAAAGCAATAATCAACTATCATCAAATAAAAATGTCTGAAATTAACAAGATCATCAAAGATTTATGGAGGGATACATATGCTGGAAATGGTAGGTGTGCATCACTTGAATTGTACTTTTTGCATTTTATTACATTAGTTCTGTATTGTACTTTTTGCAGATATTGGTATGGTTTTTATCAAGGTCTTTCTTTTCTTTCTATGCTGGAATTATATTTGATGTGGGTTTAAATCAGTGGCAGGAAGTAGCACACTGCAAGTAGTGAAGCTACATTTATTACTAATTTTTCAAATTTGATGGGTACAAATCTTAGCTTTTCTTTCAATGGATGCAATGAAATTGACGATATAAAATTATGTACAAAAATTTCTTATTTAAAATCACATATAATTAATACTTAAAACGAACCATTATGTAAAATAGATAATTAATCACTTTCGTCACACTTTCACATATGTGTGCACATTCGTAAAACATTGATGTTATTTAAAAGTAAAGGAACATATTTTTGATATACACTAGCGTGCAAAAGTTTTTGGTCAACGCGTGAAAAGCATTTTAACCTTTCTATGTGGATTTATTTATTTATTTATTTTTTGTAAAGATGATTTCCATTTTATTTACTCAAGCTAACATATATATTGCACTTGATTTCAGAATTTTTACTTTTCTTGCAATTTAATGGAAAATTTAATCTTCTTTGGATTAAATTTAAATATTTGTACTCAGTTTAGTTGAATATTTCTTTTTGTCTCATAAGAACTAATTCTTCAAAAATAAATGTCAATATTAAATGAAAGTTAAAATCACGATTTTCCTAAATAAAATGCAAAACTTTTGCTTATTTGTTAAAATTGTATTTTCAACCAAAAAATTGTATCTTTCAATTGTATTTTCAACCAATTCTTAGATGTAAGAAAATCGCTTCATGAAAATCGAATATAAAAATTGATAAACACTGATATAAAAATTGCATTTGATTTAAAATGACTTTCAAAGCGCTAACTTTACTTTCTGGTTGATAAGATATTGAGAATGTTTAGGAATAAAATTATACATTATTTATTACATTTCCAATCAACCATCTATATTGAGTTTGACCAAGACTTTTGCACACTAGGGTACTGAATTTCTCGGTGCTAAAAGAGCCTTTCTTAAATTAAATATTCGCTGTCGAAAAAGGCATAAAAAGTTGAAAGTTAAATTTAAAAAATTTTAAAAAAATGCTTTGCAATAACACACTTGTTCATGTAAACATGAATGAATATTTTTTTAATTATTCCCTAATATCTAATGTAAGCCAATTTCTTAGTCAAAACCATTATAATCATAGGTGTAAATTTAAGTTCTGCAACAAATTTTGTCTCCTTAAATTAGTGAAGTAGTTACTACAATTTCAAAGTACTTTGTAGTCACTTCACTTAAAAAAAAAAGTAATTGTAGTTAACTACATTTGTAACAAATAGTTGTAGTGGTAGTAAACTACAACAAAGAAGTAGTTTTCCCGACCACTGGTTAAATATGCTCTTACAGTTTCATTATTTGAGTTAAAAGACCATATTTTATGAATTTGTAACTTTTGTCCTAATATTTTCTTAGGCTTTAAGATAATGCTTTTTTTAAAAAAAATTTTTATTTAAGATATTGATTACATCGAAATCCAGTCCGATGGTGACACTGAGAGTGGTCTTGAAAAAAGTCGACGCACTTACAATTATCGAGTAGTCATGTTTAAAGGTGATACTCCTATTGATATGAGAGGAAGATGCAGTGCTGGACAAAAGGTGGGTCCAATTTTTCTTTTTACTTGTTTAATATTTATTTTAACAATTTCTAGTGTTTAAAATACGCCCAGCAAATTTTTCATTGAATAACTAGGAGGAAGAAGTTGCCTGAAAAATCAATCAGGTCCTTATCAAAATTTTTATAATTGGAAGATTAATATGATTGCTTTTACTTAAACATGGAGCAATTTTTTTATTCACTTTTTATTTTGATTTTTTAAGTTTTGCTTTCAGTAATTTAATGATTTGTTTCATAAAATGTTGTATTTTTAATGAGGTGCTATCTTATAACTTAAATTCATTTTTTATTCCTTGAAGATGTAACTAAGAACATTAGTTTTCAAAACAGAGGTTAGTAATAAAATCAGACTACAGTTAATAAAATAAAACTACTATACCCAAACTAATAAGTTTGTAATGAATTAAATTGAGTTTTTTTTCTTTTTTTTTTGCTTTGATGAACTATGACACTATGTAGCTGTGTGTATATATATGTAACATTTTTCTTTTAGGGGGGGGGGTAAATTTTAACTAATATAATTTGTAGAATCCTTCTACTAATCAACAAACAAATATTTACTTTGTATTTTTCTCTCCTCAAACTCTCTTTTGATTTAATGTATATTTAAATGAATATGTTAATTGTTATTAAATCATATATCAGGACAAATATCCAAGTCTGTCTATCAGGCTTGTCCAAATATATCAGGACAAAATATTGTTTTCCTGAAAAAAAATATTTTGTCCTGATATTTTGCTTTTTGTCCTGATATTCTTGATTTTTGTAAGTAATTAGAACATCCCATTTTGTTTTTACCTTGAAGTGAAATCACAGCAAATATGCCACTTAACATTTCAAGAACAAAAAATTTAATCCGTCTTTTTATTTTACTGAATTTTTCTAATAGAAATCGCAACATTTAATAGTTCCAATTTAGGGACTGTGTACCAATTATTATGGTTTAGGAATATAACTTTACCCACTTAGGTCTCTGTTTAAGCCTTTTTGAGAACGCAGTCAATCTATGAAAAGGAGACTATTAACAATATTAAATAATCAACTATTTACGGTGATCAATTCAGGTGTTATACATTTATTTATTATTTTAAGCAAATGCAGTAACAATTCTGGACTTTGGTACTTTTATAATTCTTAATTTGTCTCTTTCATGTAATTTTTAAAAATGATAGATTCTAATCAACATGTCATGGAATTTTATATGATGAATTGGGGATCATCCACTAAAATTACTTTTGTTAAAAAATGTTAAGTGGCATATTTGCTGTATTTTCGTTTCGAGATAATTGAAATCCCACTTTAAAAGTATTTGATTAAGAAAATCTCGAACTCAATTTCAAATGTTAATTATATATTGGTATGAAGAAAGGAAATATTAACTAATTGAAGTTAGTTATTTTTTTTAATGCAACAGTTCTATATAAACTCCCAGGCATTGATATAAAATAACTATTATGAGTTGTTATATTCAATATAAGGCAAACTTAGGAAATTCTCCTATTGGCCAGTGGCAGAATTTTTAAGTGTGGCCGCATTTTAAAATACATGGCTACTTCATACCCTCCAACTGCTACGGAATTTCCGTAGTTTCAGAAATCTTCTTTTCAGACTGTAGCAAAATTAATGTCTTAATATTTAAAAAAAATTAATTTTAGCGTAACTTGTCCACTATTACTTATAAAAGTGCAAGCCATATGGCTAGATTCTTAAGTTCTGATAAAAGTTTTATGAGAGATCCATTTGCTTTAAAAATTTCTACTTTGATTCGATACCACTAGAAAGAATTATTTTCAAAATCTTCATGAGTTGCAGGGTATGCTACTTTTTAAAATGAAGAAAATTTTATACAATTTAAAAAACTATTAAAAAAAATAATTTCTTTTGAAGCATTTCTTAACATAGGCATAACCATGTTCATTTTTAAAACATCGAAAAATTTGAGAAGCAAGCAGGAAATTATCAGAATATTAGTAATTTTCAGAATGATATATTCATATTAATTCTATATTTATGAAAATACTAATAATAAAAGGTGCACTTTTGACCAGCTGACAATTTTTTAATTGTCATTTGTTCTATTTAGTCATCTTGTAGCCAGTAGAGATCATTAGTTTGAACTAAATGATACAATATTGATAAAATTACTCTGAAAATTGGCTATTCTGAACAGTCATTCTGACATTAAAAAATATTTTATTTTGTTATTCTTTTATGATATAATTTGCATTTACGTAGAGCAAAATATGCTTTGGTTTTGCTTTGCCTTTTTTAAAAGTCATCTGGTATATGTATGATGTTTAAAAAAAAAGTCCTGATTTTGTTGTAATTTTTTTATTTATTTATATTATTTTTTTTCACAAATGTTGTCTTGATTTCTTTTTTAGGCTCACTACAAAGATTTCATTTATGTAGTTTCTTACGTTTATAATTTTGTTTAATGACATTAACTATTAGTAACAATTATTTATTAACAGGAATTATTTTTGAACTATTTTCTCTGTAGAATTTTAGGTTTTTCTTTCAGTTTTTCATATTGAAATTAACATCAATACCAATTGGAAAAACTTATTTTTACCAATATATCATGTGTTAAATACATCAATCATATGTCACCCTCTTAAAAGGTAATGATACATATTGATATCTGCATATAACTCTTAAAAGTAAACTTACCGAACAAAACTTTTTAGTAACTTATAAATTTAAAACATGTGATTTTTCCAAAAAATATTAAATTTGGATGCAAAATCTTTATGTAATTATATATATATATATANAGTTGATATATATATATATATATTATATATATATATGTGTGTGTGTATATACACACACAAAATTCTCCCTAAGAATAAGAAAGGGCTAAGTGCTTCCTCACAGAAAAGGGCATTTTGAGCTGTTTTAAAAAGGCATCCCCAATTTTTAAACCACCCTCTTATACTATTATATGTGTATATTTTACAAAGTAATTCTCACTCATTACCAAAATAACAGAAAAATATGAAGCTTTCGAATAATAATTAATAGCAGGCGAAAAGACAAGTGTGAATTTTTTTTTAAAAAAATAAAAAGTAAACTAATAAATAAAGGATTAATTGAAAAACATCTATAAAGCTTTCTTTATATTTTAAACTGAAAATTATAAGAAAATAAATATTTAAAGGTGCATTTTTAAATAATAGTAAAATTTAATATGACTAAAATATTCATTAATATTAGCTCCACCCCTCCCCCAAAAAAATGAGATATGGATATTTCTGGGGCTGAATATCATACAAATTTTAACAATATAACTGGACAACATAAAAAAAAAATCTTATTAAAATGAAGGCAAAAAATTAAAAATTGATTTGAAGTTAAATAATTATCAATAACTAAATAAATAAAAAAGAGACTTTTCATTAAAACAGATGGTTAAGAAAACCATCTTTTCCTGAAGAAATAAAATTTAAAAAACAGTGTTTTTAAGGAATGGCGGCTTTTGTTCTACAAAAAGGATGAAGAGGGCAGATTAGGTGGGCTACCCTTTTAAAAATGCTTGTGGAGAACACTGTATATATTTGAATGAAAAATTGAATGCCTATTTCTTTTATAAAGTTAATGTTTGCATTCAGGAAAAATTTAAAGGTGGATGAATACTGGAAAAACTATTTATTAGTCATATATAAGCTATTTTCTATTTCAGGTGCTGGCGTCTTTAATAATTAGATTAGCTTTAGCAGAAACATTTTGTTTGAATTGTGGGATCCTGGCATTGGATGAACCAACAACTAACCTTGATCGTGAAAATATCTCTAAATTAGCTAAAGCACTTGTCGAGTATGTTCAACATTTCCTTTCAATCTACTGCTTCCCATAATGTCAATAATCATTTTCTTGACATTATACTTCTGTTGCAAGTTAAGAAAAAACCATTATCCCTATGGAAAAAGCCTTTTTGCATCTGAGTATATGCCAAATGGCTGCAAAGCTCGCAGCCCGAACATACCTCAACATTGCTGTATTGCCTCCTTTTGACTTGCTTTCTAATTAACTACAGTAATCAACACTTAATACAAATTAATAAAAATGATATCAAAAATCGCATATCAAAAATTTCTTTTCGCATATTAAGAAACTAATGAAGGAATAATAAATATTATTTCTTGCAGAAATTTTTTTTTACCTCAGAACAAAAGTAAAAATTTTTTATCTTGCATTTGATTTGCTAAGAACGTGTCAGCATAAGTCGCAAAATTTTTAGAGGTCCAATGAAATCTAATGCTCTTGCAATGTCATGTAGTTCTGTTTTTTCTTCAAGAACGAATGCTCTCCTTATTTATCGCAAAGTCTAGGATTCCAGCTAGACTACGAAACCATAACCTTTTTTTAAAATATATCTATGATATATAATGCAAGCAATAGCATGAATTATATTTCCAACTGACGTGTTTAACTTTTAAAAGCTTTTATATTGTTTTGAAAGCTTATTTTCGCCAATTACAGTCGCCAATTTTTACTTAAATCCTATACCGCAATGGCTTTTTCTTAACTTGCACCGGAGTATAGATTAACTTGCACCGGAGTCTATTTTATCAGAAATTTTCTTATACATTTTTTTTTTCAAATTGAGAACCATTAATGAAAAATCTGATCTGTGAAAAACTTTTGTTGATTATGAAAAACTTTGCTTTTATGTAAATATTTTGATTGAATATTATTTATTAACTGTGCTTGATTTTTAAACTTTGCGGTTCTGAAAACTTAATCTATCACAAAGCCTTAAAGTATAATGATATTCCACAAGAGATGGTGTTGAGTTCTCCCAATAACTTCTTTAACCATTTTTTTTTATGTTAAAATTATATTTCAACACAAATCTAGACACATAATTAATTTTATGATAGTTTTAAAGAGTTCATGTAAAGCATTTATTAACAATTTGTTTGGAAATTAATACGGTGAAACCTGCACAGTTGTAGTGCTATATTTTACTTTAGTGGTTAAATAATAAATGAGATGGGATCAGAATCAACAAAAGATAAGCACAGAAATATCAGAAGTTTCTTTATTTAAAAATTTTTTTTATCAGGTTTTGAAATTTATATGAAAAGCCAATTATAAATTATTTTAATTTTATTAAATTGCTAAAAATGATAAGCAAAACCCACATAATCACTAGTATTTAGATACTTTTAAGCTATTTTTCACCTTACTCTATGGCTACTTATATTCTTATTAAATACATACCTGCCAACTTTTAATCCCTTTCATTATCATTTTCCCCTGTGGTATTAAAATGAAATTAAAACTTCAATTTTAAGCAAACAAATACGTTGCATTTGAAAAAACTTAAGTTGACAACCATGATGGTAACGCATATTGATATATGTGCTTAATTTTTGTAAGAATAGTGGTGATCAAAATCATTTAAAAATTAAGTTTATAAAAGAAAAAATNTGATGCATACTTTGCTACCACTTTAAATATGAAAATAAAATCTTCCGGAAAATCCGGAAGAGTTGGCAGGTATGTAAATATATTTGATTTAATGAAATTGGGAATTTGGTTATTTTAGTACTATTTTCATTATAATTTTATTATTGACTTTATAGGATTGTGAAAAGCAGGTCAGCACAACGTAATTTTCAATTGATTATAATTACTCACGATGAAGACTTTATAGAGCTGCTTGGGAGATCTGACAATGTGGACTATTTTTATAAAGTTTCGAAAGATAACTAGTAAGTTTCATCAGTCTTTATAAAGTGGTTTGTATAGACCTTTATAAATATAAACCTCTCATTTATAACTATAGGTTGCCAGTGTAATTTTCATCTCTGCTTTCATTTTATATGTGTACAGTGAAACCTCTCGGGAGCGACCACTCTTTCAGGGTGCATAGCGTTTTAAAAAAGTGCTTAAAGGTGCTTATTTTTGATTTTCGTTTTTTAAACGTCCTTAAAGGTGCCTTTTTCATTTGGTGTTTTTTAAATAAAAAAAGAGCTTAATTTTCCCTTTTCCGAAATGTGATATTTTTCTTTACCATGTTGATTTTCGCCACAAATTATGCAAAAAGACATTGTCCTAGTCAACGTTTTCGCAATTAATTCAACCTCAATCTATTCCGGTTTTCCTGTCTGTAGTGTATGAAAGCACCATTTGTTTTGCATTTTTGATGAAATACTTGCGGGACCGCACTTGTGTATACTGAGCTGGATTCAGTGTGTGGTAAGGATTTTTTACTCTCATGTGCAACCCTGCTGCATTATGCAAGAGATTCTCAATTTCAGACTTCATTTCCCACCCTCTGTAATAGAATCGAAAAATCTCTTGTATTTTTGCTGATTACAGGGACCAACTAAACATTAGTGATAGAAAATTTCATTTCTCATGTTAATTTCATTGTTTGTGACGCTCCATCGTCTTCGTCACTGTAAATGAAACCGGATAAAACCATAAATTGTCAAAAACTTGCCAACCCTGTCGAATTATAATATTTTTCAAAGCGCTTAAAAATATTTTCTGAGTGCTTAAAAGGTGCTTATTTTTTGTTGAAAAATTTGGCTATGCACCTTGTGTCTGTTCCACAGTAAAATGATCGTTAATGGTGATTGTTCTTTCTTAGAGGCTACCTCCATTGACTTCAAAATATTATTGAAGGTACATGATTTTTTTCGCAAACGATTTTAGTTTGTCATTTTCTTGGCACTTGTGTTGGCGTCATGAAAGCTGGATTGAATAAAATTTTGCTTCACTAAAAATTATCCCTTCTGATGTAATTATGTGTAAAAACAAATGTACCAATGAAGAAGGATAGAATTGTTTTAAATAAAAAAAAAATTTTTTTGTTTAAGTTTGCTTTTGATTTTATATCATAATCATAGTTCGATTTAAAAAATGCGATGAGCTTTGTTGGTTTGAGATACTTAGTTCTTTCGGAAGAAAACTTTTTTTTTCAAATTCAACTTTTGATTCTAAAATTAAATCAATGAATCAATCATAAAATTAAATCAATCAATCATATCATAAAATCATGAATCAATCATAAAATTAAATCAATCAATGAATTTGTCATTGTCTTTAATGCACTCTGACTGCAACATGAGATTGTAGATCTCTTTCAGAGATCGTCAAAAAGAGCTCTCTAAATAAGAACCTCATGCTAATATATTGAATAAATTTTAATCTACACATTTGTTTTGTTAATATTTTTTATTTTCATATTTTATCGTGTGTTCTTTTTTCTTTTTTTACTTCTTCCGCATTGGTGCAGAAGTTTGCCTGATCGTTGGAAGAAATTTTAATGGGTCTCTCTTAAAGCTTTTCTTCAACACAAAGTCTATGGCAAAAATTCTGCACCTCCCAAAAGCGGTCACAATACAGAGGTGGTCTTTTCTATTGATATCACTATGTACAAATATATAAAAATAAAACATATTGGTAAAATCAGATAATAAATCAATCTTTAAAGTTTTCTGATTATGGGTGGAGGGACACTTAAATAGAAAAAAAAAAGACTACTCTTTGTGATAAAAAAAATAAAATTTTTATTAGTAGTAGTACATGGCATGAGCATACTTTTAAGATATTGGGTAACTTTAAATTCAATGTCTAAAGGTTTTACTGGGGAAAGGGAATAAAATTAAATATGGCCTAGGCAAAAAAGATATTGTTTTGACTGTACTTTTTACGCACTAATTTATAAGAAACCAAAGCAAGATCTATGTAGAATTATTGGGGTATTGTTTACCACATATGTTATATTAGCTATCACATAAATACATTTTTATTTTTAACCTTATTGTAGATTCAAGTACAATATGCTTTAATTAATTGATAAAAAATTGCATTCATGCAATCTTGTTACTTTTGATATGGTATTAGTTTTTAATTAATTACTTTCATATGTTATTATACTTTAAATTAATTAATAATTTGAGTAGGATTATATTGAGTTAATTACTACACCCATGTGATCAATTATGAGTAATTTACTTCCCTCAACGATATTTTTATCTTCAAATGGAATAAAAATTTTGAATTACAAAGATAATTGTTTTGGATTTATACCTTTTTATATGTCTGTCATTGCCAAGGCAAGTAAGGTATTGTTTTCTGTGTATTTTTGATGGCTAAATCAGATGTGTTAAAAACCAAGTGGATAGAACTAATAGTTTTGAAGTTGTAAGGGTTTTATAAGTAAAAGAGTGACACTCAAAAATTAAAATTTTCAGTCATAAAATCCTCATTACTTCCTAAGTTTTATTACTGATTCTGATTTTGTAGTATTTACTGTAAAAATTTTCTTCAGGAACAATGCTTCATTTGTCAAGATGCTTTTATAATACATCGTAGCAAAACTAGATGTTTTATCAGGTACTAATGCAAAACTACACAGAAAATATGATTTTGATACATAAAAATTTTAAAGTATTGATTCTATTTATTTGTTTTGGTTTCATTCTATATAACAGACAAAAAACGCAATTAAGGAGAAGTCGAACACTTGCCTAGATAGCAGTGTCAATTATGTAAATAGTATAAGTATGAAATTTTGTAAATTATGTAAATAGTATATGTTATGTAAATGTAATAGTAATATGTAAATAGTATACAATTATGTAAATAGTATAAGTATTTTTTTTTTTTTTTAATACATTAAACCTAAGCAACTTAACCATGATAAACTAAAAATTAGTTTCACTGGCCTCGGTGTGAAAAAAAAATTACATTTGAAGCAATATCTCAATTGTTTAGATTGAAATATATTTTTTCTCTCCTCTTCCCAGTATAAGTCTTCAATATGGAATATAAAGTTGTGCTTATATTACTTTATAACAATGATGAAAATTTGAAGATTTAATTACCAGTTTGCTTTACTATGTACCTTATTCGAAACAAGAATGATATTTAAAAGGAAGACAAATTATTTTCAGATAGATTATGTAGGAAAAACAACGTTGCTATAAAGTGTCCAAAATTTGCTTAATTTTTGAAACCTCCAAAAAGCTAATATTATCTTTTAATGTGTGTGAAAATGATATCAGAACTAGTTTACTAAGAAGAAATAAGAACATGTGATACAGAATTCTCATGAGTTTTGGAAATATGATTTTGGATAAAGAAGTGGGAAATGTTGCATGTTCTAGACAAAATTATTGATAAACCTAGGAAACTACCAGTCTTGAAATTTACATCAACATTAAGTGACTAATGAGGTTTGAATTAAATAAATTTAACGTCTATTGCAATTTTTTAAAATTCTACTGCAACATGGNTTCGAAACAAGAATGATATTTAAAAGGAAGACAAATTATTTTCAGATAGATTATGTAGGAAAAACAACGTTGCTATAAAGTGTCCAAAATTTGCTTAATTTTTGAAACCTCCAAAAAGCTAATTATATCTTTTAATGTGTGTGAAAATGATATCAGAACTAGTTTACAAGGAAGAAATAAGAACATGTGATACAGAATTCTCATAAGTTTTGGAAATATGATTTTGGATAAAGAAGTGGGAAATGTTGCATGTTCTAGACAAAATTATTGATAAACCAAGGAAACTACCAGTCTTGAAATTTACATCAACATTAAGTAACTAATGAGGTTTGAATTAAATAAATTTAACATCTATTGCAATTTTTTTAAATTCTACTGCAACATGGGTTTCATTTTTTTTTTTTTAATTCTTGCAATAATTTATTGTTTCAAGTGTTTTTAAATCTAATCATATTAGTACTTCGATGATACTATTCTCCAGACTAAGAGCAATTAATGCAAATAATAATAAGTAAGTTTTATTGCTTATTGGATTAACGAAATAACATGTTTCTGATGTAATATTGCAACTCATAGATAAACGTCTTGAATTTTGTTGACACCTGGTGAAAATTAAAATAGTTGAGAAATTTTTTTTTTTTTTGGATACTTTTAAAATTATTCCGTAATCTATATAATTACCATTTTCCTTTATTTCTTATTTTTTTGAAGTTCTTTTTCTTTATATTTTTAATAAAGCTCTTTTGTAAAGTGAAACAAACTTAAGTTCTGATTGATTTACTTTCTTTTCTAGTGCTTTCTCAAAAGTGTCGAAGCTCTACATCTCAGATATGGCGTAACTGTGTTAAACTCTGTGATCACACATTCTATGTTATGTATATTAGTAACTGTATGTTTTGTTAAATATATAATTTTATACCATTTTAAGTTGTTATTTGTAATTAATTTTTATACATAACTTAGCCTAAACTATGCATTGGTTTTGGTTACTCAGTTTTCATCTATACCATCCTAGTTTAAAATACTTCTTGAACCAAGACAGCGTTACAGAGTAAATCCATTGTCATAAGCTAGTGTGAAAACTCGTTGGAAACAAATGATTTTAAATACAAAAATAATAATTTTAATAATAAAAAAAAAATAATAATTTTAATAATAAAAACAAAAATAATTTTAATAATAAAAACAAAAATAATTTTAATAATAAAAACAAAAATAATAATTTTAACCCACACAAAGCTTGTACTACCAAACAAGTTTTAGACTATAATGTTGTCACTTTACATTAATTTGTAACATTCAAATGATTCTTCAAGTTTAAACTCTTTTTTTTTGTCCAACACATTTGGTTTTGTGAGTTATGAATTCTGTAACTTAACCCAGCGGTTCCTAAATGGTGTTCTGCAGAACCCTAGGGAAAAAGTGAAAGGGATTTCGTGAGTTCGTTCTTTTTATTACCAGTGATGAGTTTGAATCCTCTGATTATGATACAACTTTTAATTCATAATTTATTTAATCTTTTGGTTGCATTTAGTAGATTATTTCAAATACAAAAATAATGATTTTAATTACAAAAATAATAATTTTAATAATGAAAACTAAAATAATTATTTTAACCCACACAAAGCTTGTACTACCGAAGAAGTTTTTAGACTGTAATGTTGCCACATTACACCTTACATTAATTTGTAACATTCAAATGATTCTTCAAGTTTAAACTCTATTTCTTGCTCAGCTTTAGAAATTAAGTAAAATTTCTTGTCCAGCTTTTTTAGTTTTGTGAGTTTAGGATTCTGTAATTTTACCCAGCGGTTCCCAAATGGTGTTCTGCTAGGAACCCTAGGGAAAAAAAGTGGAAGGGGTTTTGCGAGTTAATACTTTTTATCACCAGTGAAGAGTTTTGATCCTCTGATTGCATTTAGCTACAACCTGTAATTCATAATTTATTTAATCTTTCGGTTGCCGTTATGAAATTATTTAAAATAAAATGCCAATGAAAAAGAAATGGCATTTTTTGAAGCAATATATTGAACAAATTATGAAAAGATCAGGCATATTATAAAATATTGCATTACTATTTTCGATCACGCTTTTGAAATAAAAATAAAATAATCCTTTAATCAAGAAATGATTCCCCAATAACCATTTTCATCAACAGTTTTCACATTGAAGTAAACCATAATTCATTTTATTTTATTCATTTATGTATATATGCCAAAACATTCATAAGACTGCATATAGAGCAAGAACTGCAAATTTAATTGTCGAACCTAATTTAATCAAACTAATTTAAGATTATTAATGATAAAACGTTAAAAAATCTTCAATCCTTTATTTAAATATTTTAAAAATAGTTTTTTGAAGGTTATAACGTACACAATTGCATTATTAAACTTTAATTATGAAGTCTGGATTCGATGGCAGACATCATTTTGACGATTTTGCTAAGACACGAAACCGCATAGATTTTAGCTGAAATTTTAATACAATCCCCACTGGCACACCTAGGGTAAAATTATTGGAATGACTGATATTTAAGTAATATGCAGATCTGATTTAATTTCTTACATTCAGTAATTTATAAGACGAGCCGTGATGGATCAGGGGATAGAGCTTTCGCCTTCCAATGAGGCGAACCGAGTTCGAATCCCAGCAATAGCTGGTCGATACCAGGGTGGGTAGCGTTTTTAATAAGTGCTTCAAGGTGCTTATTTCCTTTTTTTAAAAGCCCTTAAAGGTACTTTTTTTCATTGGATGTTTTTAAAAAGTGCTTACTTTTCCCTTTTTCAAAATGAGATTTTTCTTTTACTATGTTGATTTTTGTTTCAAATTATGCAAAAAGACGCAGTTCACATTGTTCTATTCAACGTTTTCACATTTAATTCAACGCCAATCTATTTCGGCATATTGTCAGTCCGTGATGTATGAAAACGCCATTCGTTTTCCATGATTAAAAATTTCCTGATTTTTTTGACAATTGTCAAAAACAACGCCGAAAGTTTTTTTTTTTTTTACATGACGATTAAAACAAGATAAAACCGTTAATTGTCAAAAACTTTTCAACCCTGCCGAATTATGACATTTTTTTAAAGTGCTTAAAAGGTGCCTATTTTTTGTTGAATAATTTGGCTACGTGCCCTGGATACGAATTCTGTATCCGGCTTGCACTGACCACAATGCTGGCATAAAATATCCTCAGTGGTACATGGATCATGGGTTAGAGTCCTCTTGCCGTTAGGCTAACCGTGGGAAGTTTTGTGGTTTTCCTCTCCATGTAACGCAAATGCGGCTTAGTTCCATCAAAAAGTCCTCCACGAAAGCAAATTTCTCAAAATACTTGATCCAGAAGTTCCCTTGTCTTCTGAATTGAGTTCAAAATTACAAGGCTATGGAGTTGAACATTAGTAGTTGAAAGCCAAAAAAAAAATTCTGTCTGCTGTTCAACGCCGGCTATGAAAAATAAAATTTATAAGACTATTATTTACGTATATTTACACTTTGAGGGTGTGCTAACTCGGAAGGGGACATGTGGCAGGTTATGAAGAAAGACACACCAGCTTTCTTCTAGTGGCAATGACTTAAAGGAATCACCTGTTGTGTACTACAACATGAATTTTTTTTAAAAAAAATATGGAGTAGTCAACAACAGTTACAGATGTACAAGTCGTTCTCCTCTTACACAGCTGCATGCAAGATGAAGTGATATTGTTAATGAATAAAGGTATGATAATTCGGCCATAGAATGTAGTTCAGCTTCCTTTTTATTTTGAGATGTTTGGAGTGATCTTTTCTTGGGGATTGTTCTCCTTGACCAGGATTTTCTGCATCCATCTGTTCAATGCAATGTCTACATTTCGTCTTGCGTCCCTCTATGCATGGGAGATGTATGGTAAGTTTTTTATTATCTATCTGCCTTNTTTTTTTTTTTTTTTTTTTTTTTTTTTTTTTTTTGAAAATATTATATGCACCTTTGTTTTAACTGCATCATTTTCCTTTATTAAAATTTTTTACATGCATTTATGTATCTAGGTTCTTATTACTAATAAGTAATTAATATAAATTAAATCAATAGGTTAGATGCAGGACAGAGACATTATCAGGGTGCGTAGCGTTTTTAAAAAATGCTTATTTTTGATTTAAGTTTTTTAAAAGCCCTTAAAGGTGCTTTTTATTTGGTGNTTTTTTTTTTTTTTTTTGTTCGTGATTTGTAAAAAGGGCTTAATTTTCTATCTTTTAAAAATAGATTTTTTCTTTGCCCTATCGATTGTCATTCTAAATTCCAAAAAATACATGATTTTCACAATTTTTTCTGCAATATTTACCAGAAACTAGTTATTTTATCATGATTATGTAAAGTTTTTGAAAAGGTTTTTTTAATTTTATTGATTTTATGTTTATAAATTAAGAACTTTAAACAATAGAAGGAAATAATTCTTATTACTGCACATATCCTAATTATGATTTTTTTTTTTAGAAAGTGATTAAAAATATTTTTGGAGTGCTTAAAAAGTGCTTATTTTTTTGTTGAAAAATCTGGCTACACACGCTGACTATACTTTTCTAAATCACAAAAATTTTGAAATTATTTGATTGCCTCAACTAATTATTTAGTTTTACTTATTTATTATTTTAATATTAAGTACATTAAGCTCTAACGATAGAGAAAATTCAAATTTCATAATCATTTTTATTGTGAAAAGGTGCTATATTGTTCAAAGAAGGAAGTTTAATTTCTTCTGTTTACCATAGTTGATTTAATTGAAGTTAGCAGAGTGGAGGAAAAAGTTGTTTCCTAAGTTTAAAAAAATTGAAATTCCTTAATTTTAACAAATAAATGTATTTATACAAATTCAAAATTCTACTTGATAATTTTTTTAAACTATAATTTCAAGGTTCTTAATTGTCCTGATATTCCTGATTAAAATTACGTCCCAACTTTTGGCTTTCTGTCGTAATGTTTATGATTTTTCTATGCATTCAGAACATCCCATTCGTAAAGTGCAGTTTTAAAAATAATCTATTTAAAGAATTAATTAAAAAATTTGAATTTTTTATGTAACATCTTTTTGTGTAAATTAATATCGCTTATAAAAATTGCAAAATTTGATAGTTGAAATGTGGGACCTTCTACTAATTATAGAAATGGTTCAGGCTTATAGCCTTTGTGATGCCACAATTGGCATTACATATTTATTTCCTATCTTTTTAAAATATCCTTCATTACTTAAGCTTATTTTTATTAATAGAATTACATTTAAAAATAAATCAAAAACTTAATCTTTTTAAACGAACATAAAATATTTATTTCTTCTCTTCCAGATCAATGTAACGGATACTTTTTTTTATTTCATTACTAATGCAGACTTATAAATTCACTGTCGCCTCTAATCGAAAACAAAAATCTATTTATAACTTTTTATTCTAAATTTCCAACGGCTAAATGTTTCGGTTGCATGGTTGTAATAATTCTCATAAATTTGTAGGCGACTCGTGATCACCAAGGTGTTCTTTTAAATCCATGTTGATATGCTAGTTGGCTTTGTTTTGGCTATGGTATATTAGGAAAAATCGCCAAATTATGGATCTCCTACCCATACTTTCTCTGTCCGTTGAGAATAATTATATTCACTTTTAATTTCAAATTTGTGGAGGCTGGGAGCCCTTTGGGGGCATCCCCAGTCTCAATTTTCTAACCGTCAGAAATGATATTCTGGCTGTATGATCTCTCAATCGAGAGTATTCTGATTTGATCCCTTTAAGGGATTTCTTATTTTTTGGATGAAGAAATGGCCATTGTCTAAATCTCAAATTATGCTTAATAAAATCTAAATTTACATTCAACGATTTGTACATTATTTCCTGGAAACTCAATTGTTCAATTCATTCATTAATGGCCTAAATGAACATTCATGTACTACACTATACAACTATGGGCGGCTACTGACGGAGACACAAACCTTCCGTCATAGCCTTGCTTGCAGCACGATTCCTAGTTTCAAAATTTTTGAGAATTAAATGGTTTGATGAAAAAAAGCTCAATTAGCAATTTTATCAAATCAAAATTTTAAAGGGATAATTTCAGGGATCATTCACTTATTTATTATATTCGGCAAATGGTGGTGGGTTGCCACAGTTGACTGAAATGCTACTATTTTCGGCATGAGGCGATTATGGCAACTTTTTATGCCTGAAAAGGCTAAAGAACTATTTTCAGAAAAAAGAGACTATTGGGAGACTTTTCTGTACTCCTAGCGTTGTTTTATTTAACATAAATTGGGTTGAAAACCTGCAGCCCACGGGAGCTTCTAAACATACTAGATTTTTATTTCCCTTAAAAAAGTTTAACATTTTGAATTGCGTAATCACTTTTCACAATATATATATATTAATTATATTTGCTAAATCAATTATTGATAAAAGGAAAATTTTCTTTAGAAAAAGTTTTTTTGAATGAGTTCTAGAAATTAAAAGTATTTAATTTTCTATCATATTGGCCACCAACTTGACTGAATGGATCGTAGTATATGACAATTAAATTATTTAATAAAGTTTCAGTCCTATTTTTATTCTGATTTAGGCATATATTTTCATAGTTTTCAGCAACTATTTTCAAGCTTTAGGCTATTAAAAGCAGCTATTTTGTTCATTTTTTTTCTCTCTGTGGTAACCTTAAGTAACAAATCTTATGCGATGGAGCTGTGCAGTTTCACAATTATTGATTCATCTCTTTTAATCTAATTTTTAAAATTATCAATTTCAATAATTAAGGCTGTAACCATATCATTAATTTTAACGTTGAATTGAGTGATCATCCTCTAAATTAGTTAAGTAAAAAAATGTTGAGTGGAAAAATTACAACTTTAAAATTGTTTTATTAGAGAGAAGTCTTGAACTCTATTACAAATTTTAATTAAATATTGGTATAAGGAAATATTAACATATTGATACAGCTTATTTCTAATATGGAGAGTGTTATAAACATTTTCTGTATATTTATTTGAAACTTTTATGTGTTGTTCAGTGTATCATTAATAAAACTATACTAGGAACTGTTCCTTTTTCTCTATTCTAAACTAGGTAATTCTGAAGTTCAAATAAATAAATTATTTGTTTGCAATAAAATTGCCTGTATTATATTTAAGCAGTACAAGTTGCGTTTAATTTCATCATCATCTTGGCGCTACAGCCATTGCAGAAACCTCCGTTTTAGACCACCTTTTTCTGTTAGTCCTCTTTTCTTCGTAATTAGTAATTTCATGTACTCTTTAGTTTGTACGTTCCATGGAGTTCTGGGTTTTTATCTAAATCTTGACCCTCCTGATATTTTTTTCACCGTCTATTCTTAGGCTGTCTCCAAACTATTATATTTGTTTTTAACCATAAAACTGTTTATTTGTTCTGATCCTCCAATTTTTTCTTCACAAATTCTGCCAAAAAGCTTCCGTAAAATTTTCCTTTCCCAAGTTTATCGTTTGCCTTTCTCAAAAGTAGTCTGGTGTGTGTATATTGTTCTAAAAAATATTCTGATTTTCGGCATTTTTATGAAATTTTTCTTCTTTTGAGCTTAAATTAAATCAAGCACCTTCATTATTGTTTTAAGTTAACATAATTTGAATTAACGTTTACAATGTGTATGAATTTAAATTGATGGATGAAAGAAAAACCAAATCATTTTGAAGAGTTTTAATAATATTAAAATTTTTGTCATGATGATAATAATTTTAGATACACATTAACACTTATAACAATAAAAACAAATGTATAACAAGATAAAAACAACATAATTTCTCAATTTTATTGAGTCTCACATAAAGAATCTCTCTAAAAGAACTGATAAGAAACAGTTTTTAAAAAAAATGTAGACAATTATTGCAAATTACATCATTGAACAATGATTATTCAGGAAATCTATTGAAACTTATCTGTAATTCATTCTAATTTCATTTATTTACTTATTTTTGGGTAATGCTCAGCTATGTCAAGCTGCTCTGCTTTGTGAAAAAATTTTTACTAGTGGTTTAAAAATTCGTATTTTAATGTTTGGTTTTTGTCAATTTGATTTACAATTTTTTGCGTCTTATATGGTCATTTAAATAATTTAAAATATCATATAAAACGCTAACTTAATTCCAACTATGAGCTTTGTGCAGTTCTGGTAAAATACAGAAAATGAGACAAATTTTAGTTAGTAATTTCTCTACCACCTTATAAAAAAATTTTTTTTGCCGTAAATGGAGCAGTTGACATTTCTGAATGCTGATAGTGAATTCAAACAATGCTTGATGAGACTGTAAATAACTGGGTTTGCAGTATGTTGAAAACTTTCAAAATCAATAATAAATTGTAGTGGAAAAGTTGGCCTTTCTATTTAATTTTAAAATTTTTGTAATTTTTTTTGTTTGGTGAGACTGAATAACTGGGTTGGCAGTTTGTTGAAAACTTTCAAAATCAATAATAAATTGTAGTCGAAAAGTTGGCTTTTTTATTTCATTTTAAAATTTTGTTAATTTTTGTAATAATTAAGAGTTGAAAAGTTCTCCTTTTATATCATGTTAAAATTTTGGTTTGGTAGATATGTAATTAAAAATTTTTGGGAGGGTAAGTGGCAATGTTGGTTGGCAGGTTTTCGAAAATTTTCAAAATTATTAATAATTATGTGGAAAACTTGATATTTTCTTTAGTTATTTTTTTTTTTTTTTTTTTTTTTTTTTTTTTTTTTTTTTTTTTAGTTGGACAGATTTTTGTTTTATATTCCTTTCGCACAGTGATATTGCACTGTAAATTTGGATAATGCAGGAGACATTGCAAACCATTGAGTTAGTATTTTTTTCCAAATTTTTAAAATCAAAAAAAATTTGCAAGGAAAATGCTGACATTTTATCTAATTCTAAACATTTGTTAATTCTTAAATTTGGCAGATTTTTGTTTTTTTATTTATTTAATTTTTTTTTTTTGGTTGACTTTGAATAATCTGGTTGGCAGATATTTTAAAATCTTCTAAATTGAGTGTGAAAAAGTAATTTTCTAAATTATCATATAAAATTGAACAATATCTTATCTTAACTATCTGAATTTTAGTCATTTTATTATTTAATGAAATTTTATGTAATTTTTTTTTCAATATAAATTTTTTTAAAAATCAAATTGCTCACTTAATTGTAAAAAATACTTCCCCTCACAACTATCTATTTCTTATAAAATTAAAAAAAAAAAACATTACAGAAATTAATAGTTACAATAAATTATTTATGTAAATTATATTAAAATCTAAAAAATTAACATAGATTATTTTAAATAAAAGATGCATTTGATAACCCATCAGTACTTTAATGCTTCTTTTAGCTATAACAGCTAAAACAGTTGGCAGTAACAATCTCTTTATAGCTTTTAGCTATAAAGAGATTGTTACTGCCTATCTAGGGAACGTAAATTTTTAATTCCCTGTGTCAAATTTTGATCAACAGAGGCCATTTTTAATCATCTGATTTTGAACACCAAACTTTGGCAATATGGCCAAAACCAAAGGAATTAACAGCTTTTTACATATTCAGACGCCATCAATGTCCAGTGAAACACTATTGAGGAAGAGAAACATCAAAACCTGTATGTACTGGATTTTCCAGTAGACTACTGGATTTTACCAGTTCCTCTTGGTCTTCTGGTTTAATAAAAAATTCTTTTTTTTTTGTTCAATTTTAGAAAATTCTCTGAAATTTAGTAAATTTCCTAATAAAATCCCTATTGAAATAGCATTTTTGCTCTGATTATTGCTTGCTCGAATATTTAAACACGTATTACTGACGCATAATGAAGCGAGCCTCATTTATCGAAATCAGTTTAAAACATTTTTTTGTTCTAAAATGTTCATTTTTTTTCATTTTTTTAAATTTTTTATTTAGAACTCCCTTTTTAAATTAATTGAAAAGTCTTAATTATCTTTGAATTGAATGCCTATTACTATTCTAAATTATGAGTAAACATAATACACAGCATTTCAAGTTCATTTAATGTCAATCATCACTGGAAATTATTGCAGTTTTTCTATTTTGATGACCATAAAAATCCCTAAAATTCCCTATGTGTAAAATATTTAGTATATTTTGCAACAATTATCATGAAATTTATATTGTTTCTTAAAATCTACTGGATTTTTTCCAATCCATGTTGGCAGCTATGTGAAAGGAGTTGTTAGCGATTATTAGAAACATCTCCATATAGGGCACTAGAATTGATGTCTTCCACCCTGCAATTCCTCCATCGTAATTTGACAGGATTCGTTAAAAATTTTGTTTCTTACTTTAATGTTTCTTCTGTTACGTTATTATCTTGTGTTTTATGGTATTTTGATTAGTATTATAATTTAATAGTTACTTTATCCACATTAATTGCTTTTTATACTAAAGATCGAAGTTAAGATTCAATTGATTTCTGGTTCTACCCTATCTTTGGTGAATACTGGATTGGGGGAAGAATTCTGACCCCTTTAATTTTTCATGACCATTTACTTGACTGTTTTTCCATTCTCTGTGAGAAAAGTGTCAATTAAGGGATTTCAAATAACTTTTGGCCAGATGTTTTTATAAGGGTTAGGTGGGTCATAAATTGACCCTTAGGCTTGGCTTTTAGTCTTTGATGGGGTTCATATCCATAACCTAAGATGATTGATTTTTAATTCCTTAGTGGGATTCTTAAGGATTGCCAAAAAGATTTTCTCGAGTGATTAGAGAATTAAGCATGAAAAAGTCATTTTAAAAAAATAAAAAAACTTGAAGGTGTATTGACATAAAAAGGAAATTGAATCAGTTAAATTATAATATTAGTTGAGTCACAATGCAATAAAAGATGATATTGTAACACTTCCTCAAAGAATTATAAATAAAAACAGTAAATTTTACATTAGCGATGTGGAAGTATATTTTTAGACTTAAATTCATAAATTTGGAAGAACAAAAATTTCCTGATTAAATTTTCTCTTGACTCTTTTTTTCCATAGTGAATTGAAATATTACATTGACCAAGAAGCACAAAATTGACATTGTATCATTATCAGAATAACTTCAGTTGAAAATTTTTTTAAATTTCTGTTTCGGAAACACAAAAGTAGAATTTTGACTGATCTGAAGCTTCTTATAGGGAATTAAATTAATCAGAATCAGAAAACTGGAACTAAACAGCAACACTTTCTGATGTTTTAATGATACAGCATAATATCAATAGAATAAGCGATGTCATTTGAATATAGAATTTGTTCATAATATCTTAATTTAATAAATTAAAAGAAGTTCTGGCTGATTTGAAATTTTTGTAAATCTCTATTTAGGAAAGAAAAAAATATTAGAAATATTTAAAGAAATAAAATTAGATAAAATACTCATGATTAAAATGTAATAGTTTTCAAGGAATGGGATTTTGTTAATCTATCTATAAAGTAAAAACATTAAACTACTTTCAGCATTTACAATTGATTCAGAACAGTTTTTATATTGCACATTAATTCAGCATGGATGTGTAGACCTTGCATAGGCCTCACATAGCTTTTCTGGAATGTTTTCAAGAACCTGACGCAGTTGTCGTAATCTAGACAACTGCTCTGACCTATTTGATTAGAGTCCACATAGACAAAAATAAATAGTTCCTCTTAGAAACGAACTTAAATTTTTTTCAATTTGATTAAAATTGGAATCAGTCAACAATGCTGCTATTATTGTTTTTGCAGGTCAGCTCTAATCTTCTATCAAAGCAGGTGGTGGCGAGAAATCTAACAAAACTGCCCATCTGGAACAGAACTTATCCTGTTATACGTGGGCAGTTATTTTTCAACTTCAAGGCAGAATTTCTATAATACAAGAATGAACAAGGAAGAAAATTTCTCGTGCAAGTTATGTATTTGGTTGAGGATACCACGATGAACCATTTGCTGTGTGATGTGATGTTTTGCTGCTTGAAGATGGATGATAAAGATGAAAGCCACTTGCATGGTGGGCATACAGTTGTTGCTGCTGTTCAGGACTCAGACCCTGCTGAGAATGTCCATATGCAGCTGGATCTAGAGTTCCTGGATGAACAAACACTTGCGGTTTCAGAGGAAGGTGTTGCAGAGTACCATCTGACACGTAGTGGTGCATGTGTGGTATGGCCGCGGCAGCTGCTGCAGCAGCAGCTTCACTGAATGCTGCAGTGTCTGAAATACCAGGATGGAACTTGTCTCTTGGAGAAACAGATGCTGGTGGAGTCATCGCTGAATAAGTGTCCATGTAACTTGTGACCGTTGCTGGTGCTGTTGAGTAACCGGCGATGACTCCATAAGATTCGGCACTCATCTTGCTTGGTATCATGAACTGGTTTTGGTCAGGATAAGCCTCGCCACTACCACCACTACCTGGTGGTGTTGGCAAGGGACCTTGTGATTCTCCGTAATAAGTTGGTCTGCTTATATGGGTTCCGGACCTAATTACCGACTCTCTATTAACATAAATTTGTCGAAGGAGAGACGATGCTGGTAAGGTCGTCTGTGGGGCACCAATCCATTGTATGGTTGATCTTTGCTGCTGATTGCCATTGACCTTGCCAAGTGGATCATGCCCATCTTGTGCCGAAGGTAAATGTTTGTTCATAACGTCCTCTAATTCTTTCACTGACATAGCAGAACCATTTGAAGAATTGTAAGCGTTTCTTGCTGAAGAGCTATTGCTGGGAGACCTTTTCCAAGGTCTATCTATTTTATCACTATCACCCGATGAAGGTGGTGTTGTGGGTCGATGGCATATGCCATCAGAGGAAGTGTTCAGTCCAGTTCGGTCTGGCGTGACCCTATCCACCAAAGTTCCTCCGTTGTCCAGAGGGCTTGTTGCATTAAGACTAGATACCACATTGTCAGGAGGACTCTTACGATCTCCATTACTCATTGAAGTATCACTATAATTAATTTGATGTCCGTTGCTGATAAGTCGCCTTTTTTTTACTCGCCCATGAGGTTGACTATCAATACATGGGTGATGACTGGAATGTTTTACTGTTTCTTGATAACGATTTATATCTACTGATAAGTCTAACTGCTTTGGTTCCATATCATATCCATTGCTTGCAACCGAAACATCATCTTGTAAAGAGCATCTCTCCTACAAGTAATAAACAGTTGTCATTATTGTTGTGATTATTAACTATAACATGTATAAGAAACACTAAACGAAGTATTATATCTTTTTTAAAAATATATTGTCCACTAACACCAGTTTTTTTCCACCTTATTACATCATAAGTGTCCATTATTATGCTTATGAGTTAATTATAGTGTAACAAAACTTGCTACTTCTTTCTGTTGAGACAGTGGTACCGTGATAAAGCATCAGACTACTAAGCTAAAGGTTGGTGTTCGAATCCCGTCCAGGGCAGGTTCCCTAAGTTTAGTTTTTGTTGAAAAAAGTACATTATAATTCACTCTTATTCTTTTGTTTATGCTATTAATTATTTAATTTCTAGAATTTTCGGATTCTGAAATGCTCTGTTCAAGAAAGATCGACAATTGTATATAAGCACTTGTAGCATTCATTACTGTTGCTTAAAATCGCTAGTTCAGTAATTTCACACTTATCTAATCTACGGGACAATAGCAACTTCATGATTTATGCATAAAGAAGTACAGATTGTTTTTGTTAGTTAAAAAGTTAGTGCCATTCGGGCAGTTGAAAATTAGCTTTTTTTTAACGTAAACTTTCTTTTAAATAATTCATTTCAATTCTCGAAGTTCATGCCGCATAAAATTAACTCTTTTTTCCATCTAATGATCTGATTTCTTAAATAGTAACGTCAATGATGTAGAACTGAATCAGTATTTCCTAATAAGGTGTTTTGATGAATTGCAAATTTGATTTAGTTACTTTAATAAGTTTTTCCTAACTCTGTTCAGTTTTAGTTACGCTAGCTGCAGACATATCTAACTTAAAATTGAGTTTGTGTGCTTCTACTTACCCCTGGAGGTCGCAGAACATTCGAATGTTTCACTAAATGAGATATATGATGATCACTGTCACCGCCTGCAGTTGACGAGGAACATCGACCTCCATCTGTTTTTGGTGTGCAGCAACCTTCTCTCGAAGATCCTTCCTCTGTAAGAATAACCGTTACTATTAATTTTAATTAATAATTAATTATTTTTAAATTATATTTAATTTTCTTTATTTCCCATAGGGAGTAGAAATATAGTTTTATAAAATAAAATCATAAATAATTAAATTATGGAAAAAGATTTTTTGTGTGTGTGTGAATCAACAGCAATTTTGTACTCAAGATTGCAACGCAACTGTAAAAAATTGTATGGAACACAATTGAATCAATGAGCCCAACAACAAGTCACCTATATAGGGAATTATTCTAGATAACATACTTTTGATGTATGAAATTGATAAGTTCAAGAATAATTTTTTAACTCAGAATTACCACGCAACTTTAAATAATTCTAAGGATCACAATTGAATCAATGAGCCCCAAAACGAGTCACCTACATAGGAAATTATTCTAGATAACCTGTTCTTGAACTCATCAATTTCATACATCAACAGTAATTTTTTAACTCAGAATTACAACGCAACTTTAAGTAAATGTATGGAACACAATGGAATCAATGAGCCCAAAAACAAGTCACTTACGTAGGAAATTATTCTAGATGATAGATGACCTGTTCTTGAACTCGTCAATTCATACATCAACCACAATTTTGTACGCAAAATTACAATGAAATATTAAAAATTCTCGAGGAACACAATTTAATCATTGAATCTGAAAGCAAATCTTCATGAAAAAGCCACTCTAGATCATCTATTTTTGAACTCGTCAATTATTAACACCAATTTTAAACGTAACATGCAATTTCGAAAAAATTTGTGGAATTGTGGTCACCTCCATATGAAATCAACTGTAGATGGCTTGTTTTTGTACTCATCTATTTAATTATCAACAAAAATTTTGAACGTAAGTTTTAAAAATTATTTGGTACACAACTGAATCAATGAGATCATAAACGGATCATCAACACTAAGAAATGACATGTTTTCAAACTCCTCGATTCAATTATTTTATTCATGACTTTTTGATAATATATTATATAAGTTAGAGTTCATTGGCTAGGTTGACGACAGAATAAAACCGATTTGGCAGGGAAAGATCAACTTTTCATCATCGCTTGGAAATTATGAAGGGAAGTTTTTATTGGTTTGTGCGATAATGAAATATAAAAGTGTTGTAAACGGATAGATTCGTTCAAGATGCTGATTTGCTTATAAGAAGAAGATAAAAACTTTCTTAAAAAGTTTGCTTTTGCTCACCTCTAGGGTCGGCTTCTGGAGACGATCCTCTTTCAGAATTGCTGGGATCATCTGGTTTCAGATTTCCAGAATTCGGCATCTGGCTACAATCTAGGATACAATTTTCGTATTCAATCCCACTGGAGAAAAAAAAGACATTGTTTGAAATTCGTAATGAGGAAAGATGCATTGTTCTCAGAGCAAGTACGATCTTTCAATGATATTATTTTTGTAACCAAATAGATCAAAAAATAAAAAAATAGTTACCTTATAATATAATTAACACAGATAATACTCTGCTCATCAGAGTTCTTAGAATTGCAAATGACCGTTGCGCAGGTCTGCACCCAAGTATAGCCGCCATTTTTATTGATGAGTCGATAGTAGCTGCTCATCACTTGCCCTTTATTGATAACTGAAATGACAGGAAAATGAAATTTTGTAAGTAACACACTACAATTTTAATATTTCGCATATAAAACCATATTCTGTACAGAATGGCCAAAGTATTGAAACATTTAAAAAGGGATGACACCTGTTCTATGAGGTTATAGTAAATTTTCTAGGCTTTAATTTTCACGTCGATTTTAGGCATTGTATTGGTCAGTTGTGACACAAATATTTAATTTACGAGTATTTTCCGTCTTTAATTATTAGCTAAATAATTTTGTTTCTTTGATCGTTTTCAATAAGTTTGTGAATTTTTCCTGCTATGCAAAAAAAAAAAATTATTACGACCAGACAACTTACCTGCAATAGTTGAAGATTAAAGACACCATTAAAGCCCTTTACATAGTTAGTAAACTTAATTTAAGTAAAAAGAAGTATAATCACGCATTTTCAGATTTAGTGTATTACTTCAGCAAAGAAATTTTTTGAAATTAAAAAAAAATTAGCCATTTTAAATGTACTTTAAATAGTTGCATTCTTATATATTTTTTTTTAATATTAAGTGTTCTAAAATATTATTAGTGAAATTCGACAGAAAAGTAAACGAAATTAAAGTACTAAACTTCACATATTTAGGATTTTTTTTAATCAAATTCTTCATTGTTCTTAGCTCTCGAACAAAACTAGATGTTTCAACAAGATCACGCTATTGCGCGAAAGACAAACATTGCAAAACCCATTTTTCGAATTTCATAAAAACAGCTGATTGATTTGCCAACAATTTCGCATTGTCTTGTTGTTTCAACTTGTGATGAGTTTTAATAGCCAAGGACCTCCCCTTGGCGCTTACGTTCTTCGGAAGTTTACGTCAGAAAAAAAATTGGAGCTGAAGGACATGCAGCTCGTCGCCCAACTCCAAGAAACTTCCGAAGCTTTTATATAGGCTCTGGAAAGAGGCCATTTCGGAACTGCTTAAAAATTCATTAAAGTTGAGCCACAGTGGGTTGATGGTAATAAACGGTTCCTTGTAGGCCATTGAATTTAAGCATCACTGATAGTGAGCGGGTGGGTGACCACTTTGATCTGCCTGTTAAAGGACCGAGGGTGTGCAGAATGTTGGTAAACTGCTCTGTTATTTATGCCACTTGCCAATACCAGCAAGCTTCCTTGAAATCAAGCAAATTTTTAAGGCAGAGGGTGCGTTTCTTGTTTTTCAGTGGCGCCATCTATGGCCGAGTATACGACTTCAGCTATACACATATCACAGCCCGTTTTAGAGGGAGGACCCAATCATACCTCATCCATATTCCATTGTAATTTTGATCTGAATCAGAGAATGATCAATCTATAATTCAGTACCCCAAGAGGTACTGATTAAATATCGAAACTTGGATCACTTTGTGACCTTGACATATTTCGCGTGCACCAGCCTCTATTTAATGCACGGAGATTCGATCATTCAGCCTCTATTTAATACACGGTCAACGAGATTCGAACGCGTGTTCTCACGAACACGAGCCCATCATCTTAGCAACCAGACTATCCCGGCCCTGTTTTACTGTAAATTGCTCGATTTCGTGCGCAGGTCGTTTGTAATCTACCAAAGCTGAAGGTGCATTCTCTCTGCAGAAGATTAAAATTGTAAGTGCATGTTATAAGATTATCCTCAGAAATGTTTCCCAGACTGTCGCCAATGTGCAGTTCTAATGCGACGTAATAAAAAACTACTACTTTTCAAAGTTAACATTATTATTTTATATTGCTAACAAAGTTTGTATATCTATGTTTTATTGCTAATAAACGTTTTTATGTTTTTCGTTGTACTGTTAATCGTTTTATTTCTTAATATTTTGAGACATCTTGTAATTACAAATAATTCTTTCTATTGTATTTAGATTACCATCCATTAAAATTATTTTAAACTTCGGTGTGACGTTGCTTTGTTAGAGTGTGTTTATTATTACTGACAAAAAAAAATTTCGATTTCAAAAGAAGTTTGTGTAAAGTACATTAATTAACTATTTCAATTGCAATTTATATTAGAGCTAAATGCATAGTATAAAAAAAATAATAAACTGTTGAGGTGTACTTACGATCAACATGGCATTTTCTTAGTTTCTGAACATCTTGCCCGTGGCAAAGGGTATACATATTTTTCCCTGTCAACTCATCGGCTGTGTAGTCTAAAAGGTCAGATACCCTGAAGAAAAAAAAAACTATTTAAAAAAATGTGTAATCACTACAGAAAGTATGAATAAGTTACTGTGAATGACCGAAATCGGTGGTTGTTGACTTCCGCCGGTGAATGTTGACAATCACATAGTCGCTCTGGTAAATGTCCGAAATATATAATAAGTCTAGTTAAGTGCCACTACCCGCTATACCCTATACTGATGCTTTTTAATGTTTAGTGCTGCTGTCCGGTATACATTTGCCCGGTAAGGTTCAGTGCCACTGCCCGGTATAAAATTGTCCAGTACTCGGAACACTGGTCCCGCAGTGGACTGATCGTTAAGACACGGTTCCCAGCAGATCACCGAAGTCAAGCATCACTGACTCAGTCAGTGTGCGGGTGGATGACCACTTGGACCAGTCTGCGTAGGGATCGAGGGTGTGCGGTATTGGCCCTCGTTAAACTGTGCTACCGTGAAATGCTCGACTTCGCGCGCAGGTCGTCGGACTACCGAAGCGGGGGTGCCATCCCCTCCGCAGAGGATCAAAATTGTGATGGCATGTCTTCGGATCATCCTCCGGGATGTTTCCCAGACCGTCGCCAATAGCCCATTGTGCAGCTCTAGTGCGACGTAAATTAACAACAACGACATCAGAACAGATGTTTCTCCTAATCTATCCTCAGCTGGTATTAAAATATGGAATGAATTAATATCAAATCGGATATAACAAATATTTCGGACATTCACCAAAGCGACTATGTGATTCTTAACATTCACCGATGAAAGTCGACATTCTCTTGATTTCGATCATTCACGTTAACATACATACTAATATAAAATCATTCTACAGTTTTGATACTATTACATAATAGTGAAAAAAATAATGTAGCAAATGGCTGAAATATCTTAAAAATAAATGCGTATGCATAAAAATAATTTTAATGGCACAAAAACCTGCAAAAAATGAAAATTTTTAGTTGTTATTTTAGTTTGATCCCATTTAAATAAAATTATTTTTTAAAAAAAATGAATCCGTTTCCCAACACAGCTTTTGGAGCACGCTCCGAACTGTTCTGACGATGTCGTTCGAAAATAAACTGAAAAGTTTAATCAGTTTTCACCTCAAGAGAAGCCTAGACATATTCTTCCCTTTTTTTCCCACATTTTCCCTTTTCCTGTTATAAATAAACAATTTTGTATAGAATTCACATATTTTGAAAGCAAACTTACCATTTCACTACAAAATATTTTCCAACTCTTCGGCGACAATATTTTCTGTCACTTTTTCATCAAAATTAAAATTTATATGAATTATACATTTAGAATCTGAGAATTTGATTAGTGCATTTAGAGTAGAATGTTAAAACTACATTCATAAGTTTGTAAATATCGTGAATTGTATTTCATTATTCTTTAAGATTTTAACTTTTTTATTATAATTCAATTCGCTGATGGAAATATTTAAAATATTGATAAAAGAACTATTATTAAATGAAGAATGATGACGATATGTGAATATTATTGAATTAAATCAATAAAAAAATCAACAGTTAACCGTCAAACGATAAACTTTTCAAAAGTTGAAGAAATTTTTAGCGGGCTCTAAAAGCTCCGTATCTCGAACAGATCCATTGTTTTTAATATTTTTTTAAAGCCTACGGTGATTTCTTTATACACACAGGTCAGATAAATAACTTTTCAACAAAAGAAAAAAACAATAGCCAATGTTGAATTCTGTACTTTAAAAGTTGACTTATTCAACCTACAAATTTCATCCTTGTGTTCTAATAATTTTTTTTTTGGTCTATATAAATTAAATTATATATATTTTTTCATTTAGTTAACATAATTTTTTGTTAATTATAATTAAACAAACTAGTTTTTATCATACTCTACATGCTAAAATGCTGCTTTCGGATGCGTATTTTTTAAAATTAAGTTATAAGGTGACCTCAGAATCACGTTTTGCTAATACTAACTTACGGTTGAGACCACCTAATATGTTAGTATTCTGGAATCTGATTTTGCAAATCAAGCACTCGCTACAAGCACGCTGATTGTTTTCTTAACTTAATACTTTGTACATAATTTTTTTATTCTTTTTTTGCAGTTTTGCTAGTTGGTTGGTGCGATCCGGGTGCGGAATTCGTATCGATCCGCCATTGCTGTGATTCGAACCTGGATGTCACCTCATTGGAAGGCGAACGCTCTATCTCCTGAGCCAACACGGGTCAGATGATGTAAGATTGTAAGGTAAAAAGATGTGAGATTTTTAAAAAAAAAATTTGGTTGTTCTTTTGGTTGATAGATTATAGTAGGATTTAAAAACAGCACAGTAACCCAGAAGCTTTATGAGTTTGGCGACCACTTATATAAATGGATGTTATGGACAATCAGAATCTGCTAACACTCACCTCGGTTCGCAATGTGCGATCCTGAATTCGAATGTTAGCCTGGTCACAAACATATCACTCTCTAGTCTCACCTCGTTGATGGAAGGGGGCGGCAAGGCGATGGCCATGGCCACCATGCCCATAACAGTTTGTGGCCCTGCCCCAGCCCCCTGTTGCTTGCGACCGGAGAAATTGTACTGAGGTCTCATGTGAGACAGGACCAACACTACCTGAAAATAAACATAGTGTAATGCTTTTGGTTGTTGAAAGAACTTTTTTTAAATAAAATACTCAGATCTGAACTAGATCATTAAACTGCAATTAGTAAAGGCGTAACATATTTTATCGAAAATAGATAGAGAGAGGCTTGAAAACTTACCCTATAGCCTGAACTTTTAAAATGGCACCCACGCTTCGTGAGCGTAGACTTCATTCTTATGCAAAAAGATCTGTCCATCCCTTTGTATGGTGTATTGCTGTTCAGTGTCATCACAGGTACTAAAATTGAAAAAAAATTTAGTATAAAGTATTATTGGTATAGTAGTAAATTATATACAGTTTGTTCTTTAATGACAGCCCAAACCGCGCAAGAGTTGAAAATGAAATTGTGCAAGACGAAAGTTTCGAATCACTATTATTGTTGCCTGTAATAAGGCTCTTTAAGTAAAGTTTTGTGCACATTTTCTTTTGATAAAAAGCATTTTTGTCCCTATTTTGTTAAGCACATTTGATTTACATAATTTAAATAGGAAAACAAAAACTCTTTTGAAGTCTACTAGTTTGACAAAGTGTTTATCATTAAAAATTAGGAGATGGTATTGCTAGTACTGAGAAAATACTTTGTTCTTATATGACCACATTTAAACTTTGTTTGCTTTGCTTTGTGATTTTAATTCCTCACTCTAAGGGAGACCTCGTCGGCTTCGGCAATATAAGGCGGGTCTCTCGGAGCTAACTTCATTTTTTGCTGCTGTTGCCATCCAGTTTTTTAATTTTGTAATTTTGTATGTTTATTTTAGTAAATGTCAAGGGTGGAGCCTAGCTGGCTGGTTGGTCGGCCGGGGGCACGTGTTGGTTGTCGGATTGCGGTCCTCTCGGAAGGACTGTCGTGACGGCGAGTTGACTTTCCGTATGCCCAAATGAGGGTGGGGTAGGAAATTTCTTTCTTAGTACTGAGCACGTTAGGAGATAATTGTGATATAAATGTGTGAGAGTGTAATGGTTTACTTAGAGAAGATGATACAGTGCTATGATCAGAAATGACTTGTCTACCAGTTATGGATTATTTAGAGTAGGTGGATGTAAACTTACTTTGTCTGTCCAGGCCCGTTGGAGTGGATGTTCCGCCGGGCGTGGAAGAGGACGAGCCATCATCTGATGCTACAGAACCAGGACTAGAGGCCATTGTTGTCTGTTGCTGCGCCAAGTTGATACCGATCTGCTCCGCCAATTCTGCGTGATCTTGTTGGTGAATATAGTCGAATATACTACTGCCAGTCATTTCAACCTGGTAAGAAAATAAGTTGTTAAATCATCTGGAATTCCTAAGACTTATTAGAATAGTATTAATCTAGAATTACAAGAAAACGTAATTAATTGCCATAAAGTCTAACCATGCATTGTCATTAAACAAATTCGGCATGACCATAAAAACCTTTATTTTATCTATTTGTTTTTCTGCAATAAGATTTATTTGCAATTCGGCAGTTTAAATAAAGAGATTCTGATTACGAATTTTTTATTTATAGCAGAATTTTCGATTAATATCGATCAATTATTAATCTAGTTTTACTGTGCTTTGAAATTTAAACTTAACTGATAATTTGTAAAATGAACTTAATCTCGCTGCTTGAACAATATGCTAACAATAAGTATGGTGGGGTACACGCCTTGCAATAAGAACAAATAGTAATAAATAAGTAAAAAGAGGCCAAATCAGGACTGCCAAAAAAGCGAGTACTTTCTTAATCTAGCAATCATATCACCTTTTCTTAACAATACATCTATAAATAACTATAACAAATTTCCACTTCCAAACTCATTATAACTAATCAATATCTTTTAAAATACAGCAGATTTGAGCTCAAATTATTTCTTTCATTAAAAACAAAATTATCTGTTTGAAAATATCGCCTCGCAGAATAAGCTATAGTAAGCAGCTGTATACTTTCTAACCGAAAGTAGAGCAGGCCAAGAGATCAAGATTGTTGTTGTTTACATTTATATTGAAAACACCATCCATTCTTACATCTACTATGCGGAAGAAATGAGTTGGGTGGCACTTTTATTCAACTGTACAAAACGGTGCAGTGATATAGTATTATTTATATCCAATATTTAACAGAAGCCTATTATTTTTGAAATTCAGGGCAATTTCTCTCAAATTTAGATGTGACCATGAATCTTAACCAGAACTTGTTTTGTAACAAGCTATTGAATACTTGGATAATTTAATTAATTTTCATTAATTTTTGTTTTTTAGTTGGAAATTTAAATTGAATTTTAGAAAATAAAGTATCATAAAATACTATGCCTCCTTATTGAAACTAAACGACATTAAAATATAACTAATATTCCAATTAGTTTGTTTTAACTCTTGTATTTAATAATGAAGGCTAAATTGAGTGTGATTGAAAGTTTGAAGTAGAGAAAAAAATTTTAATAAGGTATGTAAATGTTTTTTTTTAAAAATATCAATTTAAATAATTGTATCATTCTTTAAATTTTTAATGTGTCATAATATTTTAAAATATGTATACGTTCTAGAAGCAGATTAATTATTAAAAAGATTTTTTTATACACGTAGAAACGTACATTCGGATCGACAATAATTGACTTTTACATCTCAATAAATGAAGATTAATATCTTCACGTTCTACGGTTATATATTCGATGTATAACAACGATGGTATAGTAGTAAAAGCATTGAGCTATCATTAAAAAGAATTTGGTTTCTGCTGCAAGTAGGAATCTGTTAGTAAGAACTGAAACTTGGACCTCATTAGCACTTTCATGTAGTTGGTTTCGAAATTTTTAGGACTTCTTCTCCTTGGCTGGCAGTTCGCTGTTACGGGTATACTTGTATTCTTATTCTAAATGCACCTATACAAGAAAATGCATTTTTATAACGAAATAATCGTCCTAACCCCAAATTGAAGAACTGATTTCACCCTGAATTTGATAGTTATCACAAGGTTATTCCATAAATGAAAAAGAAATCAGAAATAAACATTTTCTATTTAGATTTATATGCTTACAACAACGCACAGTGGGACAAAATCAGAAAAATGCGGCCTAAATTAGAAAATTAACTTCAATGTTCTAAAAATTGATCACCTATAGGTTTTTTGGGTCGCTGATTTCAAATATGAAGTCAAAATTTCAAAAAAGCAAAATGGCGGATGATTATTGAAAAAATTGTAAATAATTAAATAAAAATTATTTACTAGTAGTTTCTGAGATCTTTGATTACAAATTTGTGGTTAATAATTTTAATAAATAAAGTAATGGATGTAAAATCGCAAATATTCATCAAAACAAATTTAAACTAAATAAATTGAATCAAAATATTTGAGATTGTTAATTACAAATTCGATTATCGAATTTAAAAAAAATAATGAATCTATTTTGCTAGATATAAAAAATTTTGAAAATGTTATAACAAAAATAATAATCTCAAGCAGGGCTCGAAAAAACTCAGAAATTTTATCCGTCCCCGAGGACGGCATGTCCAACAATGTACCCGTCCTCATTTGAAACTAACCCGTAGCTTCTAAATAAATAAAAACATAATTTCCTCCTATTTATTACAAATATTTATATAAATTGCACAATGAATTAGTATTTACTAGGATTACAAATACTAGGATTACATTATACAGTAATAAGAGAAATACTAGGTTACTAATAGTAACCTAGTATTTATTTTATGAAATAATTTAAATGACAAAAGTCAAGTTATCTGGAATGTCAATTTATCCGAGGGTACTGCGTTTTTTTAAAATGAATCAAATATGATGTTTGCCAGTTCCACAATCAAGCTAATGATTTACATAGGTTTCTGCACAGAAATCTGAAAGGGGTTTTGCATTCAAGTAGATGTTCATAATTGCGTTTAACGCTTGTTTAAGACCAGTACGTAATGTGTTTTTTTTAAGTTCATTGCTGAAAAGCCCCTTTCAACCGCTACAGTACTCCCAGACAGAGAAAACATCAATTCCACCATACGCAGTAGGATGCTGTATTTCTAGATTAGAGGATCATTTTAGAAGTTAGGCGCTATACTTTTGTAAGACAACAAAAATTGCAAATGTATCACGAACATTAACGGGAAAATGGCCGTCCGCGCGGACGTCGGATTCGAGAAATTCGTTGTCCGCGGGGAATATTTGACCGCCGAGGACGGGCGGTTTTTCGAGCCCTGATCTCAAGTTTATTTTTATAATTTTTTCATTACTTTTATCATTATTATAAAAATGACACGAACTATAAAAATATATCAGCCAAATTCGCAAATATTCGCAGATAATTTTTTTTTAGTTCTTGAGTATATATACCAAACAAATGTACAAATTTTTTTTTTACCTCGGCAACGTAAAGTTACAATTTCATTGTGCACGGCAGAAATAGGGAAATGGCTCTGGTTTTAATAGTATTTTTATAAAATAATGAATTCATATATATTTTAGAAATACATTTATGTATAAATCATGCATAGTTTTAATATTTTCATTTACTATAATGATTTATCATATTAATAAAAATTTAATTTTCTTTTATTTCGACTTTGTTTCCATTTAATTGCTATTTCCATTAATAAACCAAAGAAACAAAATACACCGTCATATTCCTTGAACATTTTCTACAAAAAACCATAGTGAGATTTTTTTTTCTTATAACTTCATTTTTTTTATTTTTGACAGCGAAAAATGATTTTTGTTCCACAGTACAACGTCCAAAAATTGTCTCATGACGTTAAAGGATCATCTTCTGTCGTAAATTTGCGCTTGGATTTCAACTGCAGAAAAAAATTACTACAACCCAGCCATCTTTATGACTTTGTGAGATCTGCGTAGATATCATTGCAGTTTGCTTATCTTTTTTAAACGCTTTTTGAGGATATCGTCTCGTCGTTCACAAAATTTTACGATCCGGATTAAGGGCTTTTTGTGACAATTAAAATGAAGATGTCGTGATTCGAATACTGGAGGTGATAATTTTATGACTCTTCAGAGGACTTCTATGACTCTCTAAACTTAACCAACTTTCCTAAATGTAAGAATGATGCGGTAGGGGAGAGTGGGGTCAATTGTAACGTTTTTAATTAACTATTTTTAACTAACAAAAAAACCATATATATTTTTAATATTAATTGACAGACGAGTAAAGTAGACTATCCTCTACTAGAAAAAAAACCTTATTTTAAATGTTATTATATTAGTTATTAACAATTTTTGACAGTCGTGCACTTGTTACAATTGTCCCCACTTACGGTCAATTGTAACAGTTCATAAATTCAACTAAAACATAGTTAATTATACATATTATCATAGTTGTGATAATATGTATAATTAACTATGTTAAAGCAGCAGAATGTATTTAATAAAAATAATAATGAGCAGAGACCTAAAGGGTTAAACTTTTAACTTTAAGGGGTTAAAAATTTTAATTTATGCTGTGAAAGGTGACAAATAAAATAATGCACATGCAACATAATATAAATGATATAGGAAACTATTGGTGGTTCTTAAAGAGTTAAGTAATGGTTTGTAAACATAAAATTATTTATTTTCAGCTGTTACAATCGTCCCTTTACTTATTGTTACAATCGTCCCCAAGACGCCATTTCAGCTTTATTTGTTAAAAACAATGCTAGTTAATTAACAAAACTGATCTTTTTTTTGAAGTGTTAATTAAGGTGTCCACTTACATATACGGTTAATAATTTTTACTTGTTTAAACAAAATTACATTGTTGCAATATAATATTCTAATGCCAAAAAAAGTACTTACGTAGCGTGAAAATATCTTTTGTGACATAACTCTTTCAAAAGTACATAAAAATGGTTACCAGCAGGGGTATACATGTAGATTTATTAAATGCACCTTGTGCGCCACCTAGGAACCAAATCTAGAATCCGACACTCAATATTTTTGCTCTGTTACAATCGTACCCTGTTACAATTGACCCCACTCTCCCCTACATGCACATTTTATTGTGAATATTTTGTAATTAAAATATTTTTCTTTTTGATTTTGCAGAGTTTTAGAACTACATATGTCAAGTTATTTATTTCCGTTAAAGGGCTTTTATTTTTTATAAAATTGAATCATTTATTCAATTATTCTTAACTTGAAGAAAATTTAATTATACAAAAGCAAAATTATTAATTTCATTTAAAGGGAATTGCAAAATATTTCATAATACATCTACACTTTAAGCACTGATATCAAAATGACGTATCTAAACTTTAATCTCTTTTAAATTTAATTCACATCGAATTCTTTTTCACTAAATTTATAATTCTGTCTTTCAAGTCAGAATTACAATCTGTGGATGCATTATAAATGACAATTTACTCTGTAAAATGGGCTTTGACGTGTGTGTGGTTGAAGTCGTATTTTTGGCCATAGATGGCGCCACTGAAAAACAAGAAACGCACCCTCTGCCTTAAACTTTGCTTGCAATAGCAAGCTTGCTAGTATTGGCAAGTGGCAATGACAACAACCTAATGTCTTGAGGCAGGAGTCCAAATGCATTATCACAAAAGTTTTCTATAAATATCTTGAAAAAAAAATTTTTTTTTCCTACTTGGACATTCATGATGTTAACTGTGCCAATAAACACAGACCAGAAAAAAATTAAATTGCGTTTAGATGTTTAGAAATACAAATAAAGTTCAAATAAGACTGTTAGTTGATAATATTCTTAACAAATAGCAACATTAGTAATGTGCTAAAAGTTTTAGATAAAGCAATTATGTGTTTTGATGCATGTCCAATAAGGTAACGCGTGAAATTGCTATTATTTTTACAGAAAATAGAATAAGGTAAATACTTTTATCCATTTCAAATTAATCCATTATCCGTTTTATCCATTTTAAATTAATATTTCAAGTCTTTTCTTTCATTTTTATTGAAAGCTTTCTGTAATGCTTTCATTTTTATTGAAAGCTTTCTGTAAAGCTTTCTGTAATGCTTCTGTAATCCTTACGCGTGAAATATATTTGTCAAAGCTATGTAACGTAAGCAACTCCGTTATTTTTCCTTATTGTTTAAGATAATCTGATGTCCTAAAATTCGATAAAAAAAACTATTACAGTATTAATTTTATTCAAATGGAATAGTATATTGCATAAGCAAGAAATATTTAGTACATGCAACATAAATATTAATATAATTTCAAACTAGCTGCTGTTAACTTTATTATTTCCACATTTTAAAAAGTACCTACAGTACACTCTCGATATCCTGAACTACGATATATCGAAAACCTTGTTACGTCAAAAAAATATTTTTCCCCTTAGCATTATACATTTAATTAATTTTTTTTGTCTTGCTTTTAAAAAGTAAAATTATCATTGTTGTATTTAGACTTATAGTCAACTATCATTGCAGACATATTAAATAGCTCTTATTCTTATGTTTCATGACTCAACTTATTAGAGTAATATTTTAGAATATATTTCTCTTTTTTTCAGAAACTATTTAGTTCTGAGCATGTTATCTCAAAAACTCGCAATCTTGAAATTTTTTTAGCGCCCCTTCAACTTTGAGATATCAAAAGTATACACATCTCTTCCTGTAAGTTAGCATTTGAGAGATAACTCTAACGTAAAGGAGAAACGGTTTTACAGGTTCGGAAAATTCGATTTCACAATTCGGGTGAAATATATTAAGGATGTATTTTTTGTCCGTTATCTATTTTGACTAAATTCTTTATGAATGCATAAACATTTTGGTGACAAAATGCATACTAAAAAGTACAGTAAAATCATAAAAACTCTGCTGTCAATTATTAAAGGCGGTTATTGTGCTGTGAATCTGCGGAGAGTTTTGTGACAAAAACGATTTAATTAGGCAGAAAAATTAAATATCTGTAGGGTGTTCAGTATTCACAACCTTTTATACGTATTTTTAGTGTCCTTATAGAAAATGAATCTAATAAAAATTTTAGTAGGGAAGGTAATTAAATTTTTTCATCGAACAAAACGCAAAACCAAAGTAGATGATTGACAAATAGTAATTGAAGACGGTAAAAACATTAAAACCTGTCTGATTGAAACTTGGAAGCCAGATTGCGTTTCCATTAATAACCTTTTCAATTTCTCTGAGTTTCTCTAGGCAATCAAACATGTTTTTGTGCTTTCAATTTCATCTTCCTCATCAGTGGTAGTTTCGATTGTGTTTTGCATTAATTGTTTCGTTACATTTATTTGCTGTCTTCTAACAAATAAATTTTTTAATTTCATTTTTTATAAGTATTTTAAATATATATATATAAATAGGGTGGTTATTGCGGGACACCTTATACATTGAAATAAAACATGCACAACGTAACCGAAAGAAGACTTTACCTGAGAAAGGCCTAAGTAAATAGAAACTGTTTCTGATATGTATAAAAACCTTCCATCTGCACTGAGGGCGAAAGCAAAGCCATCTAGTGACTGAAAATGAAAACAACATAATTAATCATAATAAATGGAGCATTATGAAATATTATCTCACTGAGTTTGTACAAAATAAGTCTTTTTTTTTTTTAATGCAGCGTAGCTAAATTGCATTAGAATGCTTAGTATCAAAATCTTGTTCTCAGTTTGCAATATATATATATTGCAAACTGAGAGCAAGATTTTGCTACTAAGAATTTTAATGCAAATTAGTTTGCTTCTTGTTGCTCATATACATGGTTCACAATAAAACTAGTACTTATTATTCAATTAAGATACTGAATGAAATTTCTTTTTATTTAACTACTTACATAGTTTCTACAGTACTTATTTACTTTTACCCCTTCAGGACTGGCGGATGGAGAAAAAAGCACTTCCCCCAAGGCCACCAACTCTGAGTTTATTCGTACTAAAGAGTACGTATAGGTGCTAATACGATATGTAATACGAGAGAACCGTATTGATCATGTGATCTTGGGCAGCTAGGGTCAGAAAAGCTCGTCTCATATTCATATGTTATATTATGGACTGTGAAGAGAGAATTTCGTGATCATGTAAATGTGATCAAAGGAAGAATTGGAGATCAAAGGTGAATCAGAAGTCGTCATGGAGAAATCTTCAGAGGAAGGCATTGGCTCACATTGGGCTGTCTGGCCAACTATGATGATGATAAATGTGATCACGGTCCTGAAGGAGCTAAAATAAACTTTACAGTACATAAAGTCTACATTAATGTTAATTTTGGGCTATGATAGCTTTCTTCTCAGCTACTATTATTTCGCGACGGTATTCTGACAAATTTTATCCTTATTTTTTAAAACATCCTCAATGTCTAGCGAGATGAATTAGTACAGATTTAAATCCTGGAGATGAATTTATGATCCTCCTTTCATACGTTTTCCGTTTTTTTTCCTGCCGTAAGCTTTTTGGGTAAATACTGAACAGTAAGGTATTCGCGATCGCAACGCATGAATTCGCCATCTTGTCGAGAAGACCGGTTATAAGTCTTTAACTCTCCCTCTTTCTCTATCCTTAGTTATATAGGAATGTACTACAATGTTTTTCCCTTTTTTTAATATTTTTTCATATTTAACTGTCATTTTTTTTAAAAATTTCCACTGCGCTTTCTTTTTAAACTATGTTTAATGTGGTTTTCAGTTCCATACAGTTTCCTAACTTAAAAGTTTTTAATCTATTTGAAGATCAAGACATAAACTAACGTACTTCCTACTCCTATGACTCTTCACACGCTAATGGTGAAAGCATGTGAAGTGCTGCAATAGGTATAGAGTTCTGCTCTACGCCACCTGCAGCTAATTTCGATCTACAATAAAGCACGAGCACTTTTATCGTCCCGGTGCTTTTTATCATTACCTTTTAAGAAATGTTTACCAGCAAATAGTTATATATTTAAATTCTTCCTTCTGCGAGTCATAATGAACTAAATTTAGCTTTTTTACGAGAAAAAGATGCTTTATTTGAGTCAATATATTGCCAACTGCAGTTACCCTTATGATTTCTACGGGCTCTCTAAATAGTTGCATGCTGGTTATTTAAAGTTAAACATCACTATCACTTTATTTCAGCGTGTCAGAAACAAATATTGCTGGCTTAGTTCATGACCTGTACTTATTCATAAGTTCAAACTAATTTAGAAACATAAATCCGTTTTTAAATTAAAAGAAAATTACTGTTATTTTTCTATGAGAGAACCCAGCTAAAAACTTTGTGTGACTCCTTAATTCAAATAGCTGAAAATAAAATCTATATGTTAATTATGTTTCTTAGAAATCCTTATTTTTTTCTTTCTCTCACGTATCATACCATTCGTAAAAAAAAAAGAAAAGGTCAAAATCGCGTTTAAATTCGAAGAAAATTGAATTTAATGCAAAGACGGGTAGAACCAAAGATATTCGAATTTCGAGACACTACCAGCGTTTTTCTTAATTCGGAATAGAAATTATCAAAATTCTTTGAAAATTTCCAGAAGGGAGGGTTGTTTTGGATAATAACATTACGGAAAAGGTACTTTTATCAGAACAGTGCCTCGAGCTATGGAACTAATTTCAAATTCCTTTTGGCTTTTCAAAATGCAAACTCAGTTAGCGACTTTTAAATTGGTCTTTAACGGGGTGGGGAATGTAAAACAGTGAAGGGTACAGTGAAAACAGGATCATACGCTCCAGACCGGATCGCTTTCAAGTCTGGTCTTTGGAAAATGGCGGTGAGGGTATACCGCAAAACTTCGTTATGATAATTTTAAGAAAAGGAGCATAATTGAAATAAAAAGTTTAGAGGATACTTCTTCCTCGGCGATGCACTGAAATTCGGGCTGGGAGAGGGTATGGGTGTTTTTTAATGGGGTGCCGTTATACGATTACAGTTACTGGTGCAAATGGATTGAATATCCTTTATACATCCTTTCCCTTTTACCATCTTTGATTCGGATACAGTTACGAACTTCGAATTGCTAAACTCATTTCTGTTTCTACTTGCCGAGAGCTTACTGCACGATGTAATTGAATAAATATTTTTGCGCTGCGGTGTACGTGTGTTGTACGAATGTGATATGTATTTTAAGAATGATGTGAATGGTATTAGATGCAGATATCTTGGGCTTTTTGAAAAGTTATGTTAATTTTCATCGATTGCTGAATTGATATTTCGGTCTCGCTTACTTACCTAAAATCGATTAAAGCTAATTTTTCAGTAAATATTATAATTTCAGGTTTAGCCCTGATGACAAGCACTGTTTAAATCGCAACCCTAATTTATGACTTATTCAAACATGTTAAAAAATGCATTAATTATAGAGAATGGAAATTGATGCTAAAATCATAAAAATATAAAAAACTGAATGTATGATTTTTTTTCCTTCTTTAGTTTAACTCTTTTTCAAATAAAGAATATAATGGAAATATCGGGGTGGGGTAGCCTAGTTGGCAGGACGTTGGACTCACGTTTGTGGGAACGGGAATTCGAAACCAGCCGACCGAAGACTCCTCGCGTAGCAGATAGTGACTGGTGCACGTTAAATCTGTCGGGTCACAAAGTCCTCCATGTTCGCATAACAAATTATGCCTCGGGGAGTACTGAATAGAAGATTGATCGCATCAAAATGCGATAGCTCAAATTCGAAATTCTCATATCGCTGCAACGTATTAAATATATCGAAATTAATATGAAAAACGATAAAGAAGCTGTCAAAAAAAATATACGTGGATATTAAAAAAAAAATTCGGAATAAAAAGTGTGATTGCTAAAACTTAGTGTATTCCATTAAGAAATTTTTGCCAAAATAATTTCTATTTCCACAAAAATATTTTTTTCTCACAAAAATATGTATTTTTTATTCAACTGTGTTCAAGAGTAATAGTAAACAGTGCGCATGCGTCGTCACTACAGGCGTTGCTATGGCGACCGCTGCTGTTTGATAAATTTTTAGAATTCTTTTTTTCAGTTTTAATTTTGTTATGCATTAAGTTGCTGTCACAGTGATGTGTGACGTTTTTTTTCTAATTGTTTTAATTTAATCCCTTTTTAGTTTAATNTTGCAATAGAAGATCCCGATCTGGAACGGAGTGAACTGCCTATGAGAAAAAAAAATACACTTTAAATCACTTAAAATTTATCAAGAAAAACCATTAGATAAATAAAACAAATTTTAGATACTCTCAGTATTTTATATACAGGTTAAAAAAAATTTTTTATCGAGTACTAAATGTATTGAAGCCATCATACTCTGGTGTCAAAAATTAGGAGAATTTGCAGACTGGGTCGATTATCTTTAGAACTACTTAACCGATTTTAATGAAACTTGATATGTATATACATTGATACAATACAAAACAAATAGCCATTCAACAATTTTAATACACACGCATGAAAATGCGTAACACTCGTTGGAGTCGGAAGGTATGAAACTGTGGTTGCAAAATAAATAAATAAAAAATGGGTTAATAGGAGGAATGGTCCCCTCTTACAGATATACAGGCTTTACAGTTTGATTTTATACTTAAAATAAGGCAGTGTATCATTTCCTGTGGCAATTTCATATCTTCCGACTTCAACGAGTGTTACGCACTATCATGCGTGCGTATTACAATAGTTGAATAGTTGTTTGTTTTGTAGTGTACCAATGTATCGAATTTCAATAAAATCGGTCCAGTAGTTCTAGAGATAATCAACCAAATCTGCAAATTCTCTTAATTTCTTACACCAGTGTCGTTTTTTTTTTAAAAAAAATTAGTGTTGAATGTAATGCTATAAATAAGTATTCGATGACTAGTCATTAATGCATTAAGAAATTAATAGAATGTTTATAAAAGTGACGCTGGAATTTTTTCATATGCATGCTAAATGTATATGAAAAAATTCCAGTGCCACTTTAATAAACATTCTATTAATTTTTTAATGCATTAATGACTAGTCATCGAATACTTATTTATAGCATTACATTCAACACTAATTTTTTTAAAAAAAAAAAAACCTTTCCCTCGAACTCTACTTGCTTTAAAAAATTCGGTACCAAGTTTAACCATAATATCGATAGCTTGCATAATATGTTGCTTGCACCATAATATGAAATATTTACCCCGACCTGCCCCAATTTAGGGCATACGGGTAAACGTTTCTTAAAATCAAGAAAAACAGAAAAGTACATGAAATACAAACCATAATATGTGGTATCAAAATATGTTCATAAATAGTGCATCCTTAAACAAACTTCTAAGTAAACTGATCCAAGTTTAAATTGATTTATATCCTGCAATCAAAATAATGAAGTACGATAACGTGGTCCAACTATGCATTATATTAAAGGTGAAACAAAATTTAACGATATTAGGGTCCAACATTAGCCAAATTCTGTAATAGCTTAGAAAATTGGAGGACGATTAATTGAATTAGCCATATGTAGGACTTAAGATCGTTGAAAAGTATTTCTATTTTTTTAAAAAAAAAAAAATTATTTTTGAAGGAAAAACTGCATCTAAGAACACCACCATGACAGTAATGGTCAACGAAATTAAAAAAAAAACGATAATATGGTACAATAGTGCACTTTATAAGGGTTGCAATAAATTTGAATGGTCCAAAACACGTCAAACTTCTAAAGAGCATTTTCAGTGAAAAATGACACAATTTTCATATATGTTATTATAGTATATATCCAATGACAATTCCAGAAACCTGTCAAGTACCAATCTGGAAGTATGGCTTATCACTGTAAAATAATTACAAATTAGAATCACAGCTCAAACTGATTACAAGTTAGAAGTTAAACAAGAAGGATACATAATGAAACATTTATAATTTCAACTTTATGATTTTATATTAATGATTTTATATTAATTCCATGGCATCCTTCATTTGTAACTCTAATTTAATCTATCACTGCTTTTTAATTTCAGTTTCATACATTCTTGATCTCTTACTCTAATTCAGAGTTTCGCTGATTTGAATTTCTATTCCTTATGTAATTACTTACTTGAAAGCTTAATTGCGCGTATTAATAAAGTTGGGACTCAATGCCCCATTTTTTTTTAAATCTATTTATCGTCGACTATATACGGTGTTCCGCAATGACCATCCTTAATACACATTTTTAAATTACTAGTCAAAACAAAATAATATTTAAATGAAGATAATACAAAAACGCTATTGCAATCTGCCTAATCTCTGATAAGGAAGACGGAATTAAGGAAAGCAAAACCTGCTTGCTGCAGAAAACATAGAAAAATCAAAAGGTGATTTTTTGGATAGTCTTAAAATTTCAGAAGACAATCAAACTGATTTTGGTGTTGTCAATTCCGTTTTTACCAGAAGTGATTCTACAGATTTCGATAGCATTTATTTCATAGCTTATGTGTTTATTCGTAATCCTCGATGTGTACACTTTAGTTTGTTTTAATTTTGCATGGATTTTGCATACATTAAAGGCGGTTAGTACAAAACACCCTACTTATCATGTATTAGAATTTTAAAGTAATAACTTTAAAAAAGAATTGAACAATTTGTACACTAATTCTGGGTTAGTGTGTGATATTTAAGGATATTGTCACCTCAACCACAAAAATTTAAAAACTGACAAAATCTCTAAATTCTGATGAATGGAAAACTTCTGAAATCTTTTCTATTGGATTCTAAATGCATACATTAAAGGTGGTTAGTACAAAACACCCTGCTTATCGTGCATTAGAATTTTAAAATAATAACTTTAAAGAAAAAAAATTGAACAATTTTACACTAATTCAGCGTTAGTGTGTGATATTTAAGGATATTGTCACCTAAACCACAAAAATTTCAAAACTGACAACATCTTTAAATTCTGATGAATGGAAAACTTCTGAAATCTCTTCTATTGGATTCTAAATGCATACATTNCGGAAGAATCACTACGTGCAAAAATTTGGAGGTTACTTGAAAGTGAAGGGAAAAGAATTTAAGTGGTGACGTAAATAGAATGTGAGGGAAACGAATTCGTCCTTGAATGACAGTGGGGTCAGACGACCTTGAATTGTAAAAGGTGAAAAGGAGAAAAAAAACACAAAATGTGTTGCTAACTTAAGAGTAAAACGAGACATTTTCAATTCTCTTCACAGAGAAAAAAATGAAGAGAAATAAAAAGGAAAAGTGCAAAATTTATAAACAATGAAAGATTGAATTAAAATTAAATTAAAATTAAATTCCGGACATAAAAAAATTTGTCACACAACACTGTGACATCAAACAACCAACATTAAACTAAAAAGGGATTAAATTAAAACAATTAGAAAAAAAACGTCACACATCACTGTGACAGTTGCTGAGTTTATTTCTTATAGTTTATTTAAGTAACTCAATACTAATTACTAATTAAGTAACTCAATACTAAGTTCAATTTCTAGAAAATTTATTCAGTTATCAGCAAAGGTAGAACGAATCAGTACCTGTAAGATATGTGTTCCTTGGTGCTGCTCGAATAAGTCCATTGCAATAGAAGATCCCGATCTGGAACGGAGTGAACTGCCTATGAGAAAAAAAAATACACTTTAAATCACTTAAAATTTACCAAGAAAAACTATTAGATAAATAAAACAAATTTTAGATACTCTCAGTATTTTATATACAGGTTAAAAAAATTTTTTTTATCGAGTACTAAATGTATTGAAGCCATAATACTCTGGTATCAAAAATTAGGAGAATTTGCAGACTTCAGTCGATTATCTCTAGAACTACTTAACCGATTTTAATGAAATTTGATATGAATATACATTGATACAATACAAAACGAATAGCCATTCAACAATTGTAATACACACGCATGAAAATGTGTAACACTCGTTGGAGTTGGAAGGTATGAAACAGCGGTTGCAAAATACATAAAAAAATGGGTTAATAGGTCCCCTCTTACAGATATACAGGCTTTGCAGCGTGATTTTATACTTGAAATAAGGCAGTTTATCATTTCCTGTGGCAATTGGCTTGAATTACCCTGTGGCAATTTCATATCTTCCGACTCCAACGAGTGTTACGCACGATCATGCGTGTGTATTACAATTGTTGAATGGTTATTTGTTTTCTATTGTATTAATGCATGTACATATCAAATTTCAATAAAATCGGCCCAGTAGTTCTAGAGATAATCGACCAAATCTGCAAATTCTCTTAATTTCTTACACCAATGTAGTTTTTTTTTTTTTAAAAAAATAGTTTTGAATGTAATGCCATCAATAAGTTTTAGATCATTAGTCATTAATGCATTAAAAAATTAACTGGAATTTTTATTGGAAATTTAAAACACTGGAATTTTTTTTTATACGTGCTAAATGTATATAAAAAAAATTCCAGTGCCACTTTTATAAACATTCTATTAATTTTTCAATGCATTAATGACTAACGATCTGAAACTTATTTACAGCATTACATTCAACACTAATTTTTTTTCGAAAAAAAAAGCCTTCCCCCAAACTCCACTTGCATTAAAAAAATTCGGTACAAAGTTGAACCATAATATCGATAACTTGCATAATATGTTGCTTGAACCATAATATGTGGTACCAAAATATGTTACATAAATAGTGCAACCTTAAACCAACTTCTAAGTGAACTGATCCAAGTTTAAACTGAACTATATCGTGCAATCAAAATAATGAAGTACGATAATATGGTCCAACTATGTATTATATTAAAGGTGCAACAAATTTTAACGATATTAGGGTCCAACATTAGCCAAATTCTGTAATAGTTTAGAAAATTGGAGGACAATTAATTGAATTAGTCATATGTACGACTTGAAATCGTTGAAAAGTATTTCTATTTTTAAAAAATATAAATATTGTTTTTGAAGGAAAAACTACATCTAAGAACACCACCATGACAGTAATGGTAAATAAATTAAAAAAGTATGATAATATGGTACAATAGTGAACTTTATAAAGAGGGCAATAAATTTGAATGTTCCAAAACACTTCAAACTTCTAAACAGCATTTTCAGTAAAAAAATGCGACAATTTTCATGTATGTTATTGTAAATATCTAATGACAATTCCAGAAACCTGTCAAGTACCAATCTGGAAGTATTTGCAATGAGTATGGCTTATCACTGTAAAATAATTACAAATTAGAATCAGGGTTCGAACTGATTACAAGTTTGAAATTTAGCAAAAAGATTACACAATGAAACATTTATAACTTTAACTTCATGATTTTATATTAATGATTTTGTATTAATTCCACGACATCCTTCATTTGTAACTCTAATTTAATCTATAACTGCTTCTTAATTTTAGTTTCACACATTCTTGATCTCTTACTCTAATTCAGAGTTTCGCTGATTTTTGATTTGAATTTCGATTCCTTATGTAATTACTTACTTGAAAGCTTAATTACGCGTATTAATGAAATTGGGACTCAATGCCTCATTTTTTTAAAGGATTATTTATCTCTGACTATATATGGTGTTCCGCAATGACCATCCTTAATACACATTTTAAAATTGCTAGTCAAAACAAAATAATATTTAAGTGAAGATAATACAAAAACGCTATTGCAATCTGCCTAATCTCTAAAAAGGAAGACGGAATTGAGGAAAGCAAAACCTGTTGCCATAGAAAACAGAGAAAAGTCAAAAGGTGATTTTCTTGAATAGTCTTAAAATTTCAGAAGACAATCAAACTGGTTTTGGTGTAGTCAATTCCGTTTTCACGAGAAGTGATTCAACAGATTTCGATAGCATTTATTTCATAGCTTATGTGTTTATTCGTAATCCTCAATGCGTATACTTTAATTTGTTTTAATATTGCATGGATTCTAAATGCATGCATTAAAGGTGGTTAGTACAAAACACCCTGCTTATCATGCATTAGAATTTTAAAATAATAACTTTAAAAAAAATTGAACAATTTTACACTAATTCTGCGTTAGTGTGCGATATTTAAGGATATTGTCACCTAAACCACAATAATTTCAAAACTGACAATATCTCTAAATTCTGATGAATGGAAAACTTCTGAAATCTTTTCTATTGGATTCTAAATATACATTAAAAGTGGTTAGTACAAAACACCCTGCTTATCGTGCATTAGAATTTTAAAATAATAACTTTGAAAAAAAAATTAACAATTTTACCCTAATTCTGCGTTAGTGTGTGATATTTAAGGATATTGTCACCTAAACCACAAAAATTTCAAAACTGACAACATCTTTAAATTCTGATGAATGGAAAACTTCTGAAATCTCTTCTATTGGATTCTAAATGCATACATTAAAGGTGGTTAGTACAAAGCACCCTGCTTATCGCGCATTAGAATTTTAAAATAATAACTTTAAAAAAAAATTGAGCAATTTTTACACTAATTCTGCTTTAATGTGTGATATTTAAGGATATTGTCACCTCAACCACAAAAATTTCAAAACTGACAAAATCTCTAAATTCTGATGAATGGAAAACGTCTGGAACCTTTTCTTTTTATATTGAAGAACCATTTTTCTTTTTCATTTCATTTCATTTCACCGAAGACGAAAATAAAGAAGAGTGCTTTCGAGATTTTAAACACCGCTCTATAAAAAATAAACGCACTTTTCACCGATCCAACGAAATTTAACAACTTTTTTTCTTTATTTATTTTCTCCATTTAACGTATATGGGGGAAAAAGCGTTGGGGGGAGGGTTAGGGGGACTGAACCATCCTCCGATCGTCTGGGGAATATCTTTCTTCCTTCAAAAATCAACATAACTATCGATATCCAATAACTGACTTCCTCAGGAGTTTTCTTTAAGGGGGCTGTTAGTGGGGGGGGGGGGCNGGGGGGGGCTGCAGGGGGTGAATGGTGTAAAAAGGAATTTTCCAAAAGTTAAGAAAATAAAATCTAAAGCTAAGAAAAGAGGGTGGGGGGGGGAAGGGAAAGAGAGAGGCCAGGAAGAAAACTTTAAAATTCTGCCCACACTCCGAAGCGTCTTTGGCGTTTGAGAAGAAGATCTTTGGCATCGTTGGCGCGTAACACAATTTCCAGAAAGGCACCAAAAATGAAAAAGAAATAAAAAAGAAAAGGAAAAATGAAATTGAGATGAAAAGATAAGCTTTTTTTTCATAAGGCATTTTATCAAGGTTTCATTATCACCCATATGGTAATGTCACCTAATTTTTTTATAAAATTTGTGTGATTACCAGTTTGCCGATGTACAATTTAATCTGATCCAATAATTGATTCAGCGTAGTAATAAGCCAAGCACAACCACGTGATTTCAGCCGTATTCTGCTTCTCGAGTTGCAAGTAGCCTATTAACCTTTTCACTATCATGTTCGAAACTTCTGCACAGCAATTGCAGATTATGTACTTCCCGTAACAATTACTTATTAGAGTTTGAATGCAAAAATATATACTTACATCTTTATCATTAAGAGAGTGCATCAGATAAATAATATTTTTAAAAGGAATTCAGAAAGTACAGATCACTTATGATCACCTGGTTTCGTCTAGTTTTTTGGAGGGTTAATTTCAAGTATCTCGAGGTGCAAATTCTTGTTCTCATTTTATAATAATAAACTTATATTGCACCAGTGACGGTGGTTTTTATCTCACCTTCTTCTTGACGCATGTTTGGAAGACTTTTCAAGTAGGTTTGACAAAAATTGTGTATCGTTATCAATTTATTAAAAAAAGAAGAAAAACATGCGTTTCATCTCTGTAATACATATTCTAACAATTTGGCCATCAAAATCTTGCCAAAAGAGATCCACAAAATCTCTCAAGATTATACTATTCGTTACATTATCTTAAAGTACAGCATTTTAAATACCATTTTTGCAATTATACATTATTTAAACATTATTTTTACATTATTCATTATGGACGGCATTCTGCACAATGGAGCGCTGCAAGTTCTTGACTGCCTATACTTCTCAGTTACTGCTTTTGGTGTGTTTGAAGTAATTTGACTCACAACGTAATTATTGTGTTTTGAGAGTAGTACTTATCGTATACGTGTACGTGTTACCTGATTTATAATTTTTGTTTAAAAAAGGAATCGTCATTTAAAGACATGTTATTTAAAGACGTAAGAATCGTCTTTTGGAAAAAGTAATCGTTATGAAACACTTCTTACCTTTTCAACAATATAGCAACTTTGAAATTTAAGCCTAACTGATAATTTTTAAAGTAAACTTAATCTTGCTGCTCGAACAATATGCTAACACTAACGAATGATGGTACACTCCTTGCAACAAGAGCAAACAGTAATAAATAAGTAAAAAGAGGTCAAATCAGGACTTCCAAAAAAGCGAGTGCTTTCTAAATCTAGCAACCATATCAACTTTTTTAACAATACACCTCTAAATAGCTAAAACAAATTTTCCTTTCAAACTCATCAGAATTGCTTAATATCATTAATATCTTATGAAACACAACAGATTTGAGATCAGAAATTATACAATTTGTTTTGTTCATTGAAAACAAAATTATCTTTTTTAAAATATCACCTCGCAGAATAAGCTGTAGCAAGCAGCTGCATACTTTCTAACGGGAAGT